AAGAATCAAAGATTCTCAGGCGGCCTTGTGGAGAGAATCTGGGATCCGACAGCCACAGGCCACTGTGGGATCCAAGATTCTCTCGACGAATATGCAGAAGGGTTTAGGGTTTAGGCTATTCGGGTTTAAGGTATTGTTATTAGGGTTTAGGGCTTAGGGTTTGGGAATGTTTGGGAGGGTTGAACCAAGAACCCAAAGAGGGCAAAAGGGTACCACAGGGATCCTGGCTAAGAAACTCCCAACCTGACTTTGCAATCGCATCTCCTTGTCGTCGGGAGCCGTATGTCCTGAACGTGGCTGGAACCCAGAGCAGCAACATGTTACTGAATGATAACATCCTCAAAAGCGCAGACAGCACCGCTGGACTTCGGAAACTGCGAGGGAGGCTTTCCTAGATCACCTTTCTGGAGCCTCTTACTTGAAAAGTCCAGAACGGTTGACCTTAGGAAGCTTGTCAGCTTTTCAAGGTATGGGTACCGTAGTGGCAGGATCGAGCCACTCTTGTCTTGGCAAATCACGCAACACGAGCTTTGTGGTGGTGGAAAACAAGAGAGATCATCGAGTGTGTGTGAGGGCACGCACAGATATCCAAGGCGACAGGCGGTATCAGCCAGTCTATGCAACCGATACAAGAATGCTTTGTCGGAGGATTCCCTTCACCTCAGCTTCGAACCATCTTGAGGAAGGATCTCTTTGTGCTTGCCATCATGACTCTGCATCCTGACACCTCTGGAGGCAGCGGACGGGAGTTGGACACCCTCAGGCTCCAGAGATACCAACGCCAGCAAGGCTTGAAGGGTCCTTCGTCGCACCAGGCCGGCATATCAGCGTCAGAACCTGAGTCCCCACGAGGAAGGCCGGGCAAGACGACGACAACTGAGTTTGCATGAAGGGTCACAATGCTTGTCCATGTTTGGCACCTAAAGAAGAAGTCTCACTCCTAGAAGCAAAGATCCCGGTGGCTCTCAGATGCTTTGAGAGGCATTTGCGGCTAAGTGCAATTCCAGCCACTGATGTCCTCAGGCTGATGTGTGGGCGAGGGCAGCAGGGATATGTCCTGGCGCAAGCCGGGGTACACACAGCTGGAGTGAGGGGGATGGGGGGGGCTTACGATAAAAATGCAGGTGCAAGGCTTGGTTCTGACGCTGCCTACTTCCCCCCTGCGTGCGATCTCCTCGTCATTGGGAGTCGGGCATCCTGCCAGCTGCCAGTGGAAGGTGCCACCCCCCCCCCCCACCCGCTAGAAGACGTAGCAGGATGGGCGGTCCTGCGGGGCCAGCCAGCCAAGCCGGCACTCCGGCGTCAAGACCTGAGATCACACCGTGAAGGGCTCTGAAGCATGCTGCAAGCTGTGCTTTCAGGTTTTGAGGCACCTCACATCCACTGTGGGTGCAAGAAGGACTGCCAACACCCAGGCGACACCACTTCTCTCAAACGGAAGAAGGATCTAACCTCCTAACCGGTATTTTTTGGGATGGGAATCCTCGACTTCAGGTGACTGCAATTACAGAGACAACGATTACAGTACGGTCCAGCTGCTTATGTCCTCCGGCTGACCTGTGGGCGAGGGCAGCAGTGACATGTCCTGGCACGAGCAGAGACGCAAACTTTCACAAGCCTTCTGTAGGTTTGTCATAGGAGGCTTAGCTTGAACTGGCGCTCTGGGCCCTCACACGCTCCGAACTCCAAGCCGCACATCAACTTTCAGATGTCGCAAGCTGCCAACGGCAGGTCCTGACTGGCGGCATTTGTCTTGTGAGCCGACGCCATGGCCAGGATGGTCCAAAAACCTTCAGTCTGGCTGTAGCCGCCTGGTAGCCATTCATCATCGCATACTGCCAACTCAGCTCATCAAACCCTTGTAAAAGGCCGACTTACTGCTTACCCCCTCGCCGGCTAGGGCTCATGCGCCGTGAAAGGCAGCTTTGTCCAAACCAACACCCAAGCGCGCGCACCCTCTGTTTTCTCCGGGGAGGCGCACGCAATCGTCTTTAGGGCTCAGGGCTTAGGGCGCACTATGAAGATTCAAACCTCGGGGGCCTCTAACCCTGGGCCCGAACATGGGATCGCAACCCTAAACCCTCAATTCTCTGGGTACACACAATTAACCCTAAACCCGAAATACTAAACCCCACAAGTTAGTCTTTGGCTTTGGGACTTTTTGGGGGAGACCCGCGGAGTCATGTATCGCTTCCCCATCACTGCCAGCGAGGGTGCTCCAAGCTCCACCTCCTTCCAGCGCTTGCGCACCCGGAGCCCTGTAGGACATTTTTAGGACCTTATGAACCCTCAGCCATGGGATGTTCCCCCTTACCTTACTTAACTAGCACCCCCCCCGCCTCCCCCGCCATGAAAATCCCTACTAAGGACTGCTCTAGTACAAGGGGGAACCTCCCAGCCTAAGCCCTACAAACTTATAAACCCCGCCAACACAAACTAAAGCACTTCCCGAGCCAAGAAGTCGAAGCCCTCTGATAGGTTCGGGTTGGGGCCTCCACTTCTTCTTGCTAACGCTTCTGAATTTCCGCAGGGTTTCAGGGTGCTTAGAATTTAAGTTGCAGGGTACAAGTTTGGAATTCAGGGTATGGACCTTTAATCCCCTTAGCCCTAGAACGTCGCCCCTAAGAAAGGCGCAGTGTACCTTGGCACACCACTGAAACTGCTGAAACTGCCGACTGTGGCGGGACCAACACACTCTGGGCTTCGGAGCAGCAAAAACCTAAACCTCCAAAACCCAAAAGCCCTTAACTCTTGTACCCCATAGACACTCTGAACCCCTAAACCTCTGACGCCCAGGAATCCTTAGAAGAATGTCACCTCCCGACGATGCAGAGCCCTGGCTGAGAGCTGCTTGGTCCCCTTTCCCACCCCCCTGAGGCTGCCTCGCTCTACTTGCGCGCGTAAGTGAGCGAGAGCCTCTCCAAAGCAGGCGTGTGGAGGGGGTGGTGGGTGGGCCTTGCGGATCCGGTGCTGTGCGTAGGGGCCTTCGTGAAAGGAATGGAATTTAGGTGTTGCCTCGTTGTAGCTCTGCAATTTAGCTTGCCACCTCCGCTTCTGAAGGATGTGAATTCCTTCTCCATGAGACCGAGGGTTTCGGGTTTAGGGTTTAGGGTTTAGGGGGGAATACAGAGCACATGATGGAAAACTTGACAGAAGGGCCTCACTTCGGGTGTCATCTCGAACCCTTGGAGCCCCTGCATCGCCATGCCCGCTTGATACCTCGGCTTCGGGAGAGCAGTTGGGGCCTACAGTGGGCCTAGCTATTGGGCTACATATCTCAGCTGCTGTTCATGGCCTTCATCACTTGTTGTTGAATTCTTAAGAACTTCTCTGGCATCCTCTATAGACGGTGATGCCCAGGCGCTCGTTCTGGTAGTCTGCGAAGGCCACGTTGCGCCCCGGGATCAATCGGACCTCTGCAGCAGAGCTTCACGATCGCAAAGGACAGCCAGCGCCGCTCGTTGCTTAGGCCTTCCAGCCCGGAACCCTAAACCCCAAGCCCTAAACTCTGTACCCCTAAGCCCGTAATCAATCCCTAACCCTAAACTCTGAAAACCCCAAACCCCCTAAACCCTAAACTCTGAAACCTTAAACCCTGAAACCCTCAACCCCAAAACCCCCTAACCCCCTGCTGCCGATCGGAGGCCTCCTGGAAGCCCGGATACTGGCGGAAGAGCATTGAGAGCATGGTGTCCGTGGCCTGGGGGCGCGCTGTGGTGGGGCCTCCGAAGAGGTCAAACGCCAGGAGCTCAGACCCTTGGAGCCCGAAATCCGACCCCGAAAAGCCTTAACCCTGACCCAAACCCGGTTACCTAAACCCCAAACACCAAACCCTAAACTCCAAGCCCTAAACTCCACGAGCTGCAGGTCCCTTTGAATGGGGCCACAATCCGTAGATGCAGGACATTGCAGGACCCCACAAAGATCCCGAAGGAAACACGTGCGAAGGCTCGCGCGGGATCATCTGTGACAACCCGCGGCGCACAGACAGAAGCAGCAACCAGCAGAACAGCTCTGTTCTTGACATTGAACTGCTGCCCCAAAACCGAGGCCCAAAAACTTATTCTCAGACTTTACACCCAAACTGGACAACACAAACCGATGCCTCAGCCGGAAGGTTTTCCACGAACAGCGTCCGGTTTGGCCTGGGATGCGTGGGGCATCGTCTTTGGGCTTAAAGTTTAAGGTCCGGGGTTAGGGCAACGGCCCCAAGCCCCAAAACCCGGCCTTACGAGCCCGACTTGTCATGCTCCATGCCGCTAAGCCCTAAACACTAAACCCCACAAGCCCTGAACCCTGAACCCCAAACCCTAAATCCTAAACCCTAAACCCCAACAGCTGGGACCCGCTTTCCTGGGGCCGGCACTCTGCCGGCTTGGACGAGGACGTGGCCGACTGCAGAGAGGAGGCAAAGGTTTCAAGGTTTCTCCAGCTTCGGGCGGGTCAAGGTTAAGGGTTTCAAGGCATCAGGTTTAAGATTTCTAGGCTTCAGTGGGTTTCGAAGACTCAGCTAGATCCGGAGTCCTGGATTCCTCAGTCCCTAGTTCCGTTTTAGCAAATTGCAGGAATCAGCCAGTTTCCCTGCCTTGGCTGCCGTTTGGTTCGGATTCCATCCAATGCGGTCCTTGCGCACAAGGTTTAGGTTCAGGTTCGAATGGTTGGGGGCTGAGTGCCGGAGGAGGGAAATGGAGCTCAAACCAGGCACTTTACGAAGTGGAATTGCCGGCAAGTGAGGGGGGCATGGCTTAAGGTGCCTTTAGGCATTGGGTGCTTTACAGGGATGGGGATGCCAGCATACAAGGTTCAGCACAACCTCCAAAACACGTACACGGTCCCTTGCTTCGTGAACTTGCCGAAATCAAAACTCCACAGCATGATGGCGGCTTCTTTGGGCGAACCTTGGCCAGACCAACTGGTGACCTGCTAACATCAACCTGAAACCCTCATTCCGACTGATTTTGCAATGCACACCTTTTGTCCGATGCTGCGACAATGAGCCCCTAAGATGAAGCAGGCAAGAGCCAGGACTCTTTGGGGTCATCCTGACCCCAAATCGCTGGCGCTTCAGTCCTGGCCGCTGCCAGGGGAAGGTGCGGTTCTGCGACTAAAACAGGGTATACGTTGGGGTTATGTAGTATGGAGATTCGCTCTACTCCTCCACCCTACCTCAAGCGTCAATCCCTGATCCCTCCCGCTTGGCGCCTGATCTCTTCCTGGCCAGGGCCCAGGCGTGCAAGCTGCAAACCATCCCGAAACCTTCCACTCCACGCCATGCGGACCCTAAGCCCTAAACGCACTGAAAAGCCCTAAGCCCCAAAGCTTAAAGCCCTAAAGCTCGTGAAGTGGACCTATAGAAGCGAAGCATCTGGGTTTCAGCCATTCACAGTCGTGTTTGGCGAAGCACGGAGGTTCATGGGTAGTCATAAGCTGGATCTCTCAGCTTCCAAAATGGCCACAATCAGGTGCTTGACAAGTGCAGCTATCCTACTTACACCCTCTTTATTAGCTGGTTTTTGGAAGATCTGGACAAGGCCAGAGCCTTCGGAGGCGTTTGCCCACGACGACCCGTGGTCCGTGTGCGTATGCACATGCGCGCGCACGCAAGCGCGCTTGCATGCGGGCTTTCGTGTGTACACAGGAGGAGTAGGCTGCCACAAGAAACCCAGCACTAACCAAAAATCTCATGTGTCCCAAGAGGCCTCGACGCCCTGCACGAAGCTTCCAGCAGCCATGCGCCCCCCCTCCACCTGGACGTACAAAGTGGACTGTATGGGTTGCAGCAGGTGCTCGTGCGAGACCATGGTGGCTCTAAACCCGAACCGGCTCGCAAGGTTCCTGTCGCTATATACTTCCCTTTACGTTTAGGTTACACACAATCGGAGAACTGCAAGCTTTATCATGAGAACAAAAACTCGCAATGGCAGGGCAGTGGCTATAGCCTCGTCCTCCTTCCAGAGGTGTTTGCAGCTGGTGCAGCGGATGGTGATGACAGGCTCCTGCAACTTTGAGGCCGCAGGGTGTGGTCTAAGGGTTGCGGTTGATTAACCCAAAGTCTGAGCGATCACTCTCCCCGAGCTCGAAGTGAGGTCGCCTGGTTGTTGTCATCGTGGCTGTGGTAGCCTTTGAAGGACTGGATATAGACCTTACGTAAGAACAAGAACCCGTCTGCTCGTGCGTGCCACTGGGCGAAAGCTTCACTGCGGATTGATGCGATACTAAGGCCCGAACACACTTGGATTCCTCGCACCGTGGGCAGGTGAACTGGTCCGAGGGTGTCCAGTGAGCCTGCAGTGTTCGACTTACAGAATTCGTTGTGTTGGAGATCTCCAGAGGGCTTTGGGTCTCAGGCTTTGCTGGATGCGTGCGTCTCCCGAAACGGTCTGCATGCACCAGGCCCAGCATATGACAAGCCACGGAATCTTCCGCAGTGATGCCCAAAGCTTCCTGCAGGCTCTCCTGAAGTGTGGCTACCCGAGCAGAAATCATGCCCTGCCGCGAGTATCAAACACTTGCTTCTCCAACAAGAAGGGTAGAAAGAGAGAGAGAGAGAGGGAGAGAGAGAGAGACAGAGAGGGACTTCATGGGATTTTTGTTGAGCCGTCCTGTCGGAACTGCTGCATCTCGCTTTTTTGGTCCTCCGCCATTAATGCCTCGAGCCGCCCGGCCGTAGCTGAGGGTACGTTTAGGTCTTGAGAGCTTACAGGACAGGCTTTGAAGCACGTTTGGGGCTTTTGGGATTTTGGGAAATTTTGTTTTTTTTCAGGTCTTTAGGGCTTAGAGTGCTTAGATGTACCTGGGGCACTTGCAGGGCTTTCAGATGTGAGAGTTCAACGGTTTGTGCGGGTTGCGGGGGTTAGGGTGCAGGCATGCGCGGGGAAGTTTTTCAAGGGAGAAACTGCAGAACCCAAAAACCTAAAGCCTTAAACCCCCAGACCATCAAACCGCCCAAGCCTCAACACCCTATATGGCCCTAAAAACCTAAAACCTACAAGCCGAAAAAAGCCCCGCAACCCCATAAGCAAGAAAGCCCTTCCAATTTTACAAGCCCTGAACTCTAAACTCTAAACCGCCAAAACCCTGGAAGCGTCCACATTCCGCGTTCTCGAAACCCGACCTCCTCCATGGTATCCCACCCCCACCCCTGAAACACCCTAAACCCGCCACCGTGGGGCGTTTGGAGGACGGAAACATCCCTAAACCCTAAACCCTAAACCCTAAACCCTAAACCCTAAACCCTAAACCCTAAACCCTAAACCCTAAACCCTAAACCCTAAACCCTAAACCCTAAACCCCAGCCCTGCAGCTCCCCCTCTGCCTCATCGGCCATAGCAGCCATGGCCTGCGGAGGTAGGGCCCCGGTGCGGAGGCGCTCCGGTAGCGCCGCGTTGCGGCGGAGATGGGTGCCTTGAACTAAGGGCGTTGTTATGAGGGTGGTTAGGGTTTAGGGTTTAGGGTTTAGGGTTAAGGGTTTAGGGTTTAGGGTTTAGGGTTTAGGGTTTAGGGTTTAGGGTTTAGGGTTTAGCGTTTAGGGTTTAGGGTTTAGGGTTTAGGGTTTAGGGTTTAGGGTTTAGGGTTTAGGGTTTAGGGTGTAGGGTGTAGGGTGTAGGGTGTAGGGTGTAGGGTGTAGGGTTTAGGGTTTAGGGTTTAGGGTTTATACTTGGGGATATAGTGCCCAATTTCTGTTTTTCCCCTATCGTCCGTCCCCCAGCCGTCTCAAGCACGCAGTAAGCCAGCGCGGTGCTTCAGGCTGCTGGGCTCCCCGCAAAGGCGCTTGTACTGGAACTTGTAGGCCTAAGTGCGCGGTTTGGGGGCAACTCTGGCACAGTCCTCTGTGATGTGAACATATCGTACCGTTACCCCTATGGTCCCCTAAACCCTAAATCCTAATTTTGAAAGTCTGAACCCGAAGTCTTATTATGGTGCCGGTACTCAGCAGCCTAAGAGCTGCCGAACGCAAGTTGGAGCTTCTGAAGCCGAGCCCACCTTGTAGTTCTCGCTGCCCTCGGCCAACGGCTCACCTCTGAAGACTCTAAGTCCAGAATCCCCTTAGGGTTTAGGGTTTAGGGTTTAGGGTTTAGGGTTTAGGGTTTAGGGTTTAGGGTTTAGGGTTTAGGGTTCCCTTAGGGGTCCCCGGACTCCTCAGCGACCTTGTGCTTAAAGGGAAAGTGAAGGACTTGCTCCAGGGGCGATATACCCAGCATGTAATGATGCCTCGAAGCCCCATGAATTCAAATAGCTGCCTAACTAAACCTTGAATGCCCTAAACGGCCTTGAACCTCCAAGCCAAACCACCCTAAAATCTCTCGAAAGCCCCGCTCGAATCCCCGAAAGCCCCCTGTGATTCCCCCAAGCCCTAAACCCAACAAACTCGCTCTAGACCATGATCCAGGAGTTGCCTGCAGGGCATGCAACCTGGAGCATTCCCAGCTCTAACCTCATGGTGACAGACATTTGCAGGTACCATGAACTTGCGCCAAGCAATTGCTGGGATAAAGAGGGGGTCGCGGACACAAGGCTACACGCCGTAACAGCAGCTCTTGCAGCCACCAAAGCCCCAACAAACGGCACAGAAGGGTACTCTTCAACGAGCAGCTGCGTAAACCCGAACTATCCTCTATCATGCCCTACATAGCCCACTACTCAGGGCCCTAAATAATCCCTGTAGAGAGGTTTAGGGCTTGTGGGTTTAACAGGGCTTTTCCGGAAGGTTGCACGGTTTTGAACGCCTCCGCTTGTCTGCCAGGCTGCTCCTCAGCTATCCGCTTGCCAAGGCCGACCTTCTTGTCAAAGCCTTGGATGACGACCTGCTGGGACAACCACAACCAAAATGCCTGAATCCCACCGAAATTCCTGAAGCCCCTATGAAGCCCCTAAAAACCCTCAAAACCCTCAAACTATCACCTTCGAGCCTGAAAACCCTAAACTCGCACCTATCCGCCCGGGTTCCGACACAGCATACTGGGACCTTGGACATTCCCGAATGCATGTGTGTGGCAGATGCTACAGGAGCACCGCAGTCTGAAAGCGACACAGCGGCGGGAACAGGCTGCGGACTATCTGACAGCACCATGTAAAGGAACGGGCTCGGACAATTTTATGAACGGTTTTGGTTGTCCACGAGGAGTGGTCAAGAAGACTTACGCAAAGTAGCAGAGTAGCTTCCCAAATCCGAGAGGCTTGAGATGGTGATCTATCTGGACAACTTGAACTGCAGACTGCCGACTCTACACCCAGCAAACGAAAGCCGTCAAGTGTTGAGAACAGGCTGGCACTCTCCCTATAGGTGTTTCTGTTTCGCAGGCTCGATTTGCCCCCCCTTGCCCTGGACCCTGACATGACACGGGGAGCCTGGCGCTTGCTGTCGTCATTTCCGGCAGCCTTCGTGCTCCTGCTCATCCCAAGGCCCAAGACTAAGTCAGGCCCCATCTACGCATGGTGTGCCTGGAAACAAGTCTTAGGGCAAGGCCACCACTTCGAAAAAATCCGATTCAAAAGAGACACTTGAGCGCATTCTTCAAAGTTGCATACTCATCTGCCCCGTCTCTCTTGCCTTCTCTTCGGAGCGACCGCCTTGGTTGCCATCTTGCTAGCCTGGCATCCAGGCGGGGATCCAGTGAACACGGTGAATGCGTGCAGGGTGCAGGTGAGTACTGCGATTCAAACAATGAGTTTAACACGTCGCAGAAAAAATGCACATGGAATGGGCAACCTTCTTTCTATTCCGCAGCTGTTGCACTCTGGACCCATAATCCAAAGGAGCCTCTTCCCTCTACGGCACGGATCCATGACTAGGAAGCCTAAAGCCATGCACGACATGAGCACCAGTATCCCAGGATTTCCCACCCTGAACCCGTCAACCCTCTGAAACATTCAGCAAACGCGAAGAAAGCCTTGGCCTGGTGCAGCTCGGCCGCTCGCCGGCATCCATGCTCCGTGCGCGGCTCTCCCGTTGAGGCTGGGGCTTACCGGGTCCCCATACAAAGTCGCCTTGTCGAAGGAGCCTGGGAACCCAGATCGCCTTCAGACCCTGAGACTCGACGCTGGATCTCGTTGGCATTTCGGGCCATGGTTGTTGCTCGAAGGGTGTCTGGTGCGATGTCACGTGGCAGCGTGGCCCGTCCGCTACTTCGATCCCGATGTCAGGCGCGGAAATACATCCAGAACGTGAGGGGCTCGGCATGACTAAATCACTAAGGGGCTGGCAAGAAGAAATTTCCACCAGCCGCCCAAGTAGACGGAGGCCCGGAATAGCCTTGTCCCTTGATACACTATACATCCTCAAACCCCAAAATCCTGCCTTTCTCCGTAGGTGCCAAAACCAGTACCACAGTCAACACATGCAAACGAGTATTGTGGTACGATTGGAGTCCTGGATGCTCTTCTGTGTGGCGGCAGCTTGTGCAGCGTTCGCCGGGGTTGAGACCTGTGCCAAGAAGGGCTTGGGGGCCATAGTTTACCATAGGTATACCAGGTATACCTGTTTGCAAGATAGATGATGAATTCTAATGCATACAACTATCTGTTATGTACCTGCAAACAGGAGATGGCGGGCCGAGGGAGTTTTGGCCAGGACGTTTAGCGCTGTCAACCAAGTCGCGTGCTTGATTCTGGCCCTGGCGTTTGTGAGGGGTCTGAGGGTTCGGGGCACTTGATGAGGCGCTGGGCTAACCCAACAACCCCAAAACCTGAGGCCCTGAAGCCCCCCACCCCCAAGCCCGAAGCCCCGCAGACACCAGAGTCGGACAAACTCCCGGGGCCGGCACCGTCTTAATCTCTGGAGGCCTTGGTGGAGACTTGGATGAGGAGTTCAAAAAGCTATGGCGGTTTAGGTGAATTTCGTGTGTAGGCTTTCTGTAATTTAGGAAGGTCCTACAGACACTGCACAATTGAAAAGGAACATGCTGCGGATGCTGCCTCCAGGCAGCATTTCGCCACGGATGCCCACAAGACACAAGAGACTGTGAAGAAAAACTTCGTCTTTGCCGGTGCAACTGCAGACATGCTTGGACAGTTGCGCGTGGGTCGTGGTCGCCTTCTTCCGGATGTCCTGAGCTTGCGATGAGTGAATCCCGCAGCCCACAATCAGCTGCATCTAAACTTACATCATTCATCTTCACGTGGCCCACCTGGCCTCTCGCTTGACGATCTTCTTCGGACGTTCTACGTAGGTGCCGTCAGCCTGATGGCCACGGAGACGAGGAAAGGGAGAGGAGGGGAATTTGTGCTCCTCAATAGCTCTCTGCTCCTGGGGGCTCTCTCATCACATCCCCTGTCAGACCTTGGCAACCACGTCCGACTTTGTCTTGGCGTAAGCAATACCTCAGATTACGGCTCCAGACCCTGAGTCCGCTCACATCCGTGGGTCATCATCATCTGTAGCCCAGTGCGCAGGAACGCAGAGGTGCAGTTTGAACAATGCTGCGTGTTGGGAAGTGTTGGGAAGTGTTGGGAAGCTTGAGCAAGAGCTCCGATCGACCGCTGCAGCCCTCGTGGACTACCACACCACACGTGCGCAGAGAACAGAACCCCAACGGGCGATCCCTATCAGGACCCTCAACCCTCAACCACCCAAAACCATGCAGATGCACAGATCCCATGCCATGGCTTGGCGCACGCATGGGCTTGTTGTAGAAGGGGAAGCCCTGCAAGGACTTCAGGGAGTTGGACGCAGCGGGCACCTGGAGAGATGCCGAGGCACTAGGCATTCAAGGCTTTTGGGCTTTTGGGTTTACGGTTTACGGTTTAGGGTTTAGGGTTTAGGGTTTAGAGAACTTGAAAAGGGGGGGGATACAATACAAGGGCCAGGCTCTTCAGTTGAAGCATCCTTGGGCTCCGCAGGCGAAGTCTTACCATAGGCAGTCGAAAGAAAGCGACATTCACAGAAAAAGAACCCCCACCTTGCATTACGATTCAACTATGATCCCCACCCCCCCGCCAAATAGCAGGTTAAAGGCGGTTTGGACACCGAAACGAAGCTTACACGACAGTGCTTGTAAGAACGAGCACACTCTCATATCACCGAGAGAGATCTAATGAAAAAGAAATCTGGTCATCTTTCCACAACCGCCCGAATTTGACTAGCAATTTGAGAATGATGTGACTTGCTAAACTTGCTGACCCGTCTCTTTGTAAAGTCTGGGGGGGGGGGGGGGGGAAAGTTGGCTTGTGGGGCACGGCATGATATCTCCAGGTTCTGAATGCAAGTGGTATTCAGTGGTATTACACAACTCGGTGTGACTTAGCTGTGCCCGCCAGCTCACTCCATCTCTTTTTGCTATTCTCCCTCCCTCTCTCTCGCTCTCCATCCATGTCGGGACCTCCTTGAAGATGATCCAAGCCTCTGCAGGGGACGGCAGAAGATCCATGGTTAATGTGCAATGCGGTTTCGCGGTTTGGGGCTTATGGGGTTCCGTCGTGAATCTTGAAGACGGTTCGGGCCCTGAGTTTGGCAAGGCTGAATGCCGTGAATGGCGCAGCTAAACACGTCAATAGCCCACGAATGCCTGCCCACGACGCTTGAGAGACTTCATCGCGACAATGTCGATGATGCCGCCAAATGCTGCAAACACCTGCCAGAAAGCTTCCTTCACACGTTGGGTTTGGGCACATGACTTTAATCAATCGCCCCAAACTGCTTCCGAGCCTCACTACGCCCTGCCTTGAGACAACCCCCGACACTAGGCCTAGTGAAAGTCGCTGGCCCAACCTCCCGAAGAGACTTCTTCAAGGTCTCGACATTGATTTTGTCATTCAGGTTGTTGACGTACCTTGCAAACGCTGAGGCTTCAGGAGCTTCGGGCTGTTTTGTTGTATCTTGGAGCACCTACTTTGCAGAGTGTGTTGAAACAGCCTTCGACCTTCGCCACATCTCACAACCAATCTGTCAGCTGCTGCTCAGGGAATTCAGAGGCAGCAAAACAGACCTGTCATTCTGCATGCAGGACCTTCCTAACATCCAAGCAAGGATATCACACACTCAGTCGATAAGAGCTGGACAGCGTCTGGTTGGGAGCTCCCGCCTCCCCAGCCAAAGAAAGGACTAGGCAAGGCTGACATGAAAAGCAGATTCGACAAGCTTGGCAATGGGAGCGCGTTGCCTGTCTTGAGCGGTTAAGGTGCCAGAGTTCAGAATGCGGGGTATGAGTCTGAGCCTGATGACTTAGCATCATGGATGACAGAGAAGAGATCTGAAGGAGCTGAGAATTGCCAAGCTTGCTCATGCGCTCAACTGCACTACACCCTTTTTTCAGTGTGGGGGGGGGGGAGGGTCCCAGTAAAGTGAAACATGCTTGTACATATATATATATATACATATACATATGTATGTCTAGCTACGAGGCCTCTACAAGGGGTAGAGAAGCACACTACAGGTTAAATTAGGAGGACTACAGAGGCTCAAAGGGGAGGCGTGCGATTCCACATGGCAACAAACGCAAGCAGAAAGTCCCTAAATAGGGATTTTAGTACCCCCCCCCCCCCCCCCCCCCCCCTCATTACAGTTCGTTTTAAGGACAGTTAGTAGAAGGGGCAACATCCCAAAGTAAGAACGCTCACTGGGCGTACGGCCATGTCTGCTCCAGGCTGGCGTCCGGCCGGCCTATTGCCTACCTCTTCCAAGTGTGTCTTGAGCCACGGTGCCGCAAGGAACCAATTATTATACTTCGAACATCCCCACCCTCTCTTGGTAGAGATACTCTGCGGTTGGGCACTCCAGGGCCATTCTGGGGTTGGGCACTCCAGGGAGACTCTGGGGTTGGGCACTTTAGGGAGACTCTGAACCTCTAAGCATTGGCACTCCCAAACTCTGGGGCTGGGCACTTCGGGGACACTCTGGAAATTGGGCACTCCAGGAAGAATGTGGTGGGCAATTCGGGGCACTAGGGGGTTGGGCAGTCCATGCAGACTCTGAGGTTGGGCACTCCAGGGAGACACTGGGGCGGGACACCAGGGACACTCTAGAGTCGGGCACTCCAGGGACATTTTGGGGCTGGGCACTCCAGGGATGAGCGAGGGAGTAGACCGGGCGAGGAGAAGAGTTCCGGGCGAGGAGAAGAGTTTAAAATCTAACAACCCTACACCGAGGGTGGGGAAAACAAAGCGAACACGGAAGAACCGAAACAAAACTGCCGAAGCCCTAAAACCTAGAAAGAGCCATGAAAGCAGAGAATCCGGAAGAACTGAACTTTAATTATCCAACGTGGCTTCTCCGACTCTTCGCTGCTACCTTTGGCCCACTTGAGGTGCCAGCGCAAAGGTACCAAGCACTAGATGGCATCTTCCACAGCAATCCCAAAACGACGCACACCGCTAGCTGGTATTTGTAGCCTCTGGCCAGAGCTCCCCCCCCCTCCCATCATGTATCAGCGGCATCAGCTTGCTTTGCTCCTCACAACGACCAGACTCGCCACAGCACGTCTTCGACTTCATGCTCCAGTCTCCACACCGAGGATGCAGGCAATGAGAGATCTGTGCTGGTATAAAGACACATGGCTGTAGAATGAAATAGCCTGCCGTGACACCGACGAAACTTGTAGAAACTCAACGTGGGGCCATCTGTTACATTCGATTCTATGGGAGATAAACATAATATAAAGTGAATGATATAATCAGAATAACGAAGTAGGATCAACATATTGCAGTATACAAGTTGCCAAACGACAAGCGGTCCTAAGCCGCCTTTTCTTCGTTGTCGTGTGCGTTGGGGTACGACGTATTCGGTGAAACACATGCACGCACAAGGTCCGCTGGCTGAAGGCATCTCCAGGGAAAATAAACCTTGAAAAGAGCTAAACCCACGGTAGAGCGTAGGACCTTGGGTACACACAGGTGTCTCCGTTTGGAGCCACGTGGCACTCGGGACGTTATGATTCTCCCACTGCCAGAACTACAGGTACTATAACCGCATATGACCACAAGAAATTATACGATACATGTGTGTATATATAGACATCTATGTATATACTCCTTGATATATAATGCGCAGTGCATATTTTTATAGTAGTTCTGTTTGTACTAGAATAGAAGTTTTTTGAATACGTTTAAACAGCTTAAAGTATGTGTAAAGGTATGTATGAAACATACAAACGAATCATACCCACATCTCAACAGGAGTGTTGAAGTCCAGGCTGCAAGGCTACTTGCACCTCCGCCCAAACCCTATAGGCCCAAAACCCTATAGGCCCAAAGCCTTCAAACTTTTCTTTTGGGGCATAAACCAGGGGAAACCTACTAGCTGGCTGCTGTCGGCCACTGGCTCACTGAGGGATCTCCGTTTGGGCTGAAAGCCATCCTCGGCCAACACAGCAGCTGACTTCAGGACTTTCCGAGACAAAGGGCTCAGGGTTTAGGATTTTAGTGCTCAACACACACCTGCAAAATAGCCACCTCAACGCAACAGATTGTATGGGCAGTTTTCCCAATTCCGAGCACACAAATTCTCATATCATCCCCTCCTCCGTTCTTCACACACCCTAAGCAGAACGTTCCATTTACCATCAGAATGCCCAAATTCTCATGTCACCCCTCCTGGATTCCGGACTACCTAAACATGAAGCATCGCAGCGAATTCGCCTTGTAGATCCATCAGCTATGTGTGATTCCTCATTGCAGTCAAGCCAGGGGTGTTTGGGGATTTTGGGTGAGCAACTGAGCCGTCCTGCCAGCTGGGTCGCGCTCACCAGCCGTGCTCGTGCATACCTGCCCCGCTTCAACATCACGGCTGACACACTCCTAGCACATCTACGTTGAGCACGAACCCTCATCATCATCCTCATCACATCTCATCACCATCACCATCATGAATCATGTCGAGTCTAAAGTTTCCAGATATGTTCCGGGACAAGGGGAAAGCCCTCCAATGCCTCCGGCTGGCCAGCCCGGGATCCGCTTGTGGGCGATGGCTGTGCCAAATCTGGAACAGGGGCGGCGCGCTGAAGGAGAGAACTGACTTTAAGAGGTCACAGCCCGCAAGTCCTGAGCCGGGCTACAGCGGACCAGGCGAGTGATCTGCTCGAGTTATGTCCCAGTCGTGAGCTGCTTTCACTAGCTGTTGGGTTGTTTGGCGTGCTCTCCGAACTGACATCATCAAAGCTCCACCAGATAGACAGATTAGAATAGGAGCTCGACTCGTCTTGAAGGGGAGTCCTGGTACGAATTCCTACTCCCCCGTAAGAACACCGGGCCATTCTCCCACACATTGGCCTGAGAGAGGATGCAACACTGGCACCATGCTGGGCCAGCGCCTCCGGGACTGCTTAGGGCTTAGGGGTCTTTAGCAAGTTTAGGGAGTTTCGCTTCGTTTCGAAGACTTCAGTCTCGGCGGGGGTTTATGGGGCCTAGATGGGCACTCGTGATGGTCGACCGACGGCATGCAGCTTCATGCGAGTTGTCTGGACCGTGCCGGTAGAAGAGCCAGCTCTGTAGCCATATAGCCCTGCGACATGCTATATTCGAAGCTCGATCATCGCAGCGATCAACATGGTTCAGGCGCACTGCACACCGCCTTGTCTCGGGCCGCCCGCTGCTGATGCGACGTTTCCACTTCTTCGCACCTGGAAGTCAAGACTATCAGGGATCCTCCGACGCCGGACTGTTCGAAGCAGTGCAGACTCAAGACCTTCTAAAACTTGTCTTCTAAAACGCGGGCCTTTGCGAGCCAAGCAAACGGCCATGATCCCGAAAAAACACAACCTCTTCTTTGCGTCCTGGTTGCCATGCCTCGCGGGCCTGCACCCTGGCAGTGTACCCGGCACGAAGTTCGTCCGAGAAGGTGTCGTAGACGACCTCTCGGGTCTTGCCATGACCCAGAAAGTTCAAGGTCGGGAAGCAAACCAAGCCTCACCAAACGCATTTCGGACGAGACTACGCCACAAAGTTTATCAACCTCGCCCAGAGCCAACAGGGAATTTTTTTGCCATGCATAGTCTAGCCTAGCAATCGATATACGATATACCTTCGCAAAGTCAAAGTGAAATTGCCCGGGCTGGCGGGTCTCCACCCTTTTGTGTATACCAGCTTCACCCTTATTAGGGTACGTAGACCGTAGACCTCTCGATGGCCCAAGGACTTCGCTGCCCAACGCACCTCCTTGGCTGCCATGGCCTCGTAGGCCGCCGCCAGACCTTCACTCGCAATAAGGCTAAGAGAGACTTGCAAGGGGGCCTGGTCAGCTCCCTGGAGTGTTTGGCATAGTTTAAGGGGAACCTCCGTTTAGAAAGCGCCCCATTTCAGGGTCTTTAACAGCAGGATCTTCCTCCGCGCCCTGCGTATCGGGCGCAGGGTCCTGGGTCGCCTCATCTTTGGGAACCGTCGCGGATGGGCTCGGAAACGAACCATGTCGTGTTCTTGCACCTCAGCCTGACTCATAGGTCATGGTACGGCTAACCCCATTGCGGAACCTGCGACTTCTTGCAGCCCCTGTCTCCATCCTTATGAGGAGACAGGGAACGCTTTTGCTGTTTGACCTTCTGGGAGGGAAAGGGAGAAGAGCCAGGAACAAGAAGGGGAGCCATTCTAGGGCCACCGAGGAGCTCTCTCTTCCACCGACCTCCATCGCCCGCAGCGCGTCCTTCTCCATCCTTGGGTGAAAATGCAGCAGGTGTTCGAAGCCTAGCCTTTGAGAGGCGCTCCGATTTCTGGAGCGTGTAGATGGGAGCCCGATACAGGGCTCGAATACAGTGGTTCTATAAAGTTGAGAGCGAGTGACATGGCCCTAGGCCAACGCAACTCCCTGACAAGCGTCTGATGCTCCTCGTCTTCGGAATCTTCTGCATCATCCTCCATCCTTAGGCCACAAAGTCTGCCAACATCAGGATGGCTTGAAGTCACCTTCTGGCTTCTGCGACTCCTGCATCCTAGACGGACTGGTTGCATGCATGGCTACTGCATAAGTCTTCCAGGAGTCACTCCAACCCTGGGTCGGTTGCCAAGCTGCAAATGATACTCGATTTCGGGCTTGGGGTCAGGACATCAACACACACTCACACACACAACAGGCAATTCCACCCCTCCTACCCTCTGGCAACCTCAAGATTCCGGCAAAGTGCACCTGCTTTCCTTGCAGGGTCGATACCCTGTAGGTTTATACTGCCAGGAGTCAGATCCGCCTTGAGGCTTTTCGGCCCCTGTGGGTCGCTGAAGGCAGGAGATAGGTCAGGGTTGCATGCTAACGGCAGCTCACGGGCTGATCCAACGCAAGCTCATGCAATATGAACCTGCACTCTCGAATCGCGACGGGACTCGACGGGGCCCGCCTCATCCTTACCAGTATTGCCTTTTGCTTTTGCCACAAATCCGCCCATGGCTTCTGAGGGGAAGCGGCTGTGGCAGAAGGCGGTGACAGACTGCTCAGCGTTTGGGGATGTGCTTGGCTTGAGATGCTGGGCCGGTTGTGGGCATGGGCAGACCCACAAGCCCCGCAAGAGCTTCTCATGAACCCTATCCTTGATCCTTGCCCTACACATGCAGACTTGAGCACAGAGAGCAAGGGGAAGAGGATCTTGACACAAGATTTCGTCGAAGACGCAGCTCAAAACAGGCGAATCTCTGGATGCACCGGCGAAGGCCAACAGCAATACATTCGGTGTCACAGAGTCAAACCCGAAACCCTAAACCCTAAACCCCTAGTCCGTAAACACACACACACACACTTTTCAACCTCGAAGGCCGCGGATACGCCGGCCGGCGCCTCGGACACACCGCCTCTAGCAGGAAAAACGCATGGATAGGGGGTCTTTGGGTTCAAAAGTAGCAAGGCTTAGCAAGGCTTAGCAAGGCCTAGTGCCAACTCTTGGATCAAGATTTGACCGACAAGCACACGACAAACCTTGGGCTTTGAATCTTGTAGGGCTTGTGTTCGCCAACCAGCAACATTACAGTATGCTTGGTGAATGCAACATGATGCCTGACGACTCTAGCACTTTGCCAACTACGCCGCATCACCCTCTAGCAGAAGTGCTCTTCTCATCCGAAACCCTAGGTCTTGGGGGCTAAAGGGTTTTTGGGGTTGGGAACATCGGCCTAGGAAAATAGCTGACATACTCCCACATCAACAATCAGACTCACGAGTGCATGCCGGGACACAGCGCGACGTGGGGTCATGTGGATGGCCTGTCTTCGAAGTGCGCCACTACAAGAGTCGGCAAATGGCGGGATTCATGTCGTCTTCCTGGTTTGTTAGTCTACTGTTCTGGGCAGCTTTGATAGGTATATAAGGTCAGGATACGGCGGAGAAGAAGAAGTCTGAAATGCTCGGTTCTCCCTTCGTGGCTCCTCTTGGCCCTTGGCGAAATCAATGCAGGTCTTGCAGCACGAGTGTAATCACGAGAAGCTTTGCCGGCCTGTCCCACGTGGACTCGTTAGTCCGGCGATTCCAGTAGAAGCTTATGGCATACTCTGGGCTGATATGCTCCTGGCATGTGCTGGACTCGCGAAAAAGGCTTATAGGGTTGCGGGCTTAAGGTGTTGGGTAGTAAACTGCAGAAGGGTAGCTGTGTCAAGCTGGCTCATGGCAAACCATGCCATCAGTGCTCACACACCACATTTGACAAACATTTTCAGAACCCCTGGGCAACTCCCTTGCAACCCTTCATATGCACGTTCTGCCTCCCAGTCGCTGGGAAGCGGCTGCTCGGACCTCGATGTGGTACGCACCACTTGCGGTGGCTTTGGACACTAATTTTAATGAGGATTGGGGCATTCTACATTTTTTTTCAGGATAGGGCCATGCTGGACTGTCACGCTGGTGCCATCCGGCAGGGTGAAGAAGGAACAAGACCACCAGAGCCACAACCCTGCTGAAGCGGCGGCTTGTCTGGCGCAGCTTGCTCTGCTTCTGCGGCAGGTGTACGTGACCTTGAAGGCATGTCTGCTATAGGGCCGACGACACGAACCCTTGTCATTGCGACCTCTCCGTCGCAATACTCGCCGGCACCCTGCAACCCCCGAAGCCCTCCCCCATATGGGGGGCGATCGAAGTCGATGGCCTCTTCCTAAACTTGGCTGGAACGTGCACAACAACAGGTAATATTTGGGGTGCCCCCCCGCTTCATCTCCCAAAAGTTGGGCTCCCGAATGTTCCCCCCCCCCCCAACCCCCCCCCCCCCAAACCCCCCCCCCCCCAAACCCCCCCCCCCCCCCCCCAACAAACCCGCTGCTGAGTGCTGCCCAGTTTGCTGAGGCTTCTTCGGGGCCACCAGGCCAACGCTGCCACGTGGCCTCCGCTCGACGGTGAGGATCCCCGGAGTGAGAGGGCTTCGGGCTAACAGGGTGCTCGCCGGCCTTTAGGGTTGTAGGGTTGTAGGGTTGTAGGGTTTTAGGGTTTTAGGGTTTTAGGTTTTGGGGAATTTTAGGGTTTTAGGGTTGTAGGGTTTTTAAGGGTATCGAGGGTGCAGGAGGCATACCGGCCACCCTCAGACCACGCGGGGGGGCCTTTTTGCAGGCGCTTCTTGGGTCGGCAGCCGGCGCCTCCGGTTGCAGGTTTAGGGTTTAGGGTTTAGGGTGTAGGGTTTATAGGGTGTAGGGTTTAGGGTGTAGGGTGTAGGGTTTCGGGCTGTCTTTGAGGTTTGCGTGAGGCTCTGCACTTCGCAATCGCGACGGTTGATCGAACCGTTGATGGGGTGAAGGGCTTTCCAGGTTTGGGGTTTGAGGGCGCTCCATCGCGAAACGTGATTGAACAGTCCCAGGGACCATTCTGGGCATCCCTGCCTGCAAACTTGTAGCTAATCCACGTTGACGGCTCGGCCCCACGCAGAAATGGTGGGTTGCTTTGTGACAAATATTTCGTGTGATGTCGCTTTAATTTGGTCTTCAACCTATATAACTCTGAACCCTGAAGCCCCAAATTGCAAACACTAAACCAATCCTACTGTCTAAGCCGGAACCAGTACACCCCAAAAATCCCTAAAATCCGAATTCCACAAGCTGGCAAGCTGAACACCACGTGACGGCATGGGTTCAGGGTTGAATGGATTTCGTGGTTCGCGTGCCAAGACCCTGACACTCCCCCGGAACCCCTTTGTGCAAGCACGACAACGCCGACACGCATCACGGATGCTACAGTTCAAGATGGGGAGTTTTGTAGATCAGGGGTTGTAAGGCTTCTCGCTAAGAATCTAAGACCTAAACTGTACAACCCGAGATGCCCAGCTAAACCGCAGCCAACGGTCCAAAATCATACACACTGAGGCGCACCTGCTTCTGAGGAACTGAGCCCGAAATCCGTAAACCCTATTGAACCCTACAAACCCCAAAACCCACAGCACCATATTGAGGATATCCCTGAACAAGTTCCAGCCAGGGCACTTAACAGCGAGCCCCACGCTGCCACGGGGCGTCTTGGATCTGGAATCCCTTAGCGACTGGGTTTAGGCACCACGGCTTTAGGTTTGGGAAGGGCTGAGAGGATGTAGGGTGGCTGAGGGGAGAAGGCTTCAGGGCCTTAGGATTCTCGAATCATCGGCATCGAGGATCTTGAGGCGTTTACCGCTTTCCTTTCTCCCTGCAAATCACAGGGTCCAAGTTGCACCTTCAGGGTAAAAATGCTTGCTTTGAGTTGTTGCACCTGCAGATAATTCATTCAGCTGTTGCCTGTTGAGGGTTCAGATGTTTGTTTCAGCCTTTGCATACTTTTGCCCGGGGGTGCAGGGAGCCTGTGCTTCCTTGAGCTATGGAACCATTGACTGAAGAGAGGAACCCTAACGTGTTGCCGAGCTGTACTGTACACTCCAATGAAGAAACCTTCTACGTGCAGTTTCGGGGTTCTGTGGCCTCTCACCCGTGTGTCGAACCCTGCAGCGTGGATTGTAGCTTCAGAAGCAGACCTCCTAACTCAGACTTGCCTTCGCTCATTTTGGGGCTTGGATGTGAGATTTGTCGGGTCCTAAGCCAGTGATGCACTGAACACGAATTAAATGCAAAACTCCCGCATGCGACGTGGGAATTCCGCATACTGGGAGCCCGAGCGTCGGCGTGGTGACGTTCGGCCGGGAAGTGGCGACGTTCGGCCGGGAAGTGGCTTCCGGCGGTGTTTTGGGCATGGGCTGCGGCCTGACCAAAGATCGCTTGACATGCCATGAAAGAATGAAAGGCAAGGAGGGAAGGCAATGGACGGGAAGACAAGGTGCTGAGAAGGTTGCAACCCATGCTAACACGCGCTTCCAGGCTCGAGGATTTTCCGTTCCGCGACCCTTGTCAGTTTGATGATTGAAGCCGACCTCTAGCGCCCCAACCCATGGCAGAGTGTTTAGTATACACATCCTGATAGGCTGAACGCAGACTCCCACATGCTTCGGGGCTGTCCCCGCTGGGAGCCCGGGCGCCGGCGCGGCGACGCTTTGCCGGGAGGTGGTTTCCGGCGGTGTTTTGGGAACGGCCAGCAGCGGCCTCAGCACCAGGCAAGAACATTTGCGAGAAAAGTCCCGAAACCTCGACCAAAGCCTGGCCGGACTAGTTGACTAGTTAACTCCAATAAGCTCCAATCTCCATAGCCTAAACCTTGCAACTGTAAGCCACAAACCCAAACCCCTGTTCCCAGGCTCCCTGTATGTTGGCGCAGCTTGAGAGCTGGGTGTCCGGACTTCGACGCGGCTTCGCTTGTCCCGAGAGTGGGCTTCGGCCGGGGCTTGGGCATCACCGGCCGGGGCTTGGGCATCACCGGCCGGGGCCTGCGGTCAGGGAATGAGGATGTCAAAACATGCTTGTACGGTTAGGTTTAGGTCTTTAAGGGTCTTTCTGGCAACAAGCCCTAAGTCACTTGCTCTGTCAACTGGTGCGCCTGTGGCCGTTGGAGGTCTCCACCTGCGAAAAAGAATCATTCTCAAGAGCTCCGGACGCCCGTCAAAGCTGGAGTTTTATTTCAGATTCCACAGCCAACTCCAGTCTCCCCTCGAAAAAATGATCATAACATATAGAACAGCCGAACGATCTGCTGCCTGTAGGGCTTATGACGTGGTGTTTGACCACAGGAATTTTCAAACGGGTCCCCTCACAACATCCTTCCCATGAAGAGGAGCGCTGCGCCTTGGTGGCAAAGTTCCCGACACTTCCCCTGGCAAGAGGTGGCTCATTTCGCGAGCTTCTCGAGGCTTTAGATGGTTCCTTTTAGGAGTCCAGCAACTAGAAATGACTCCTGGCGTATTGCCTGCATGCCTACGAGAAGGTTTTAAGGGCAATTGGGGGTTCCACACCTTGTGTATTCGGTTGCCAAAAAGCCCTCTCCTCGGCCCCAAAGTACCCTTGAAAGCACCTCGGCTTGGAGGCTGAAGCCGTTGCTGCCTCAGTACCAACTCAAGGGCTCTCTCTCTCTCTGGCTGCAAGTCTGGGAAATCTTGAGCCTTCGATTCCTCCTCCCTCCCGAACCAGCAGATGGGGCTCGTGATCGAAGCTTTTTGGGGCCTTTTGGCGGGGGGAGCTCTGTTCTGGCACGTGCCTTGAATAGGGTACTGACAGTGCCCCAGCACCGACACGGCTCACCATGAGGACTTGGCCCAGCAACCATCTTGAACAGCCCTGAACAGCACTTCTGTTGGATCCTTTCTGCGAGAGACAGGCGTCCAGGGTGTATCGGGTTCAGGGTGTAGGGGACATCTGCACTGGGCCCGCGCACCGGCATCGCGCAGGCACCTCACATCAAGCGTTTCCTACTTGCGGCAATTATACGGGGCTTGGGATGTGAGCTGCACATGGGTACAACGTGCCGCCAATTTGCCACCAAGAAGACATCTTCGGGCTCCCGGCTGGAGCCAGGTTTCACGACTGGCGCAGCCGCCGCATTGGCCACATTGGCCTCCACAGCCGGCATCTGCAAGTGAGAGAAAGCCCCTAGCTTCCCCGGCCCCCAGCATACGGAGGTTTACGAAAATGGGGAACCCCACGACATATGGACCCCCAAATAATGGGATCCCCTTATAATCAGGACCCAAACCCCTGACATCGTAAAGCACAGTATGGCCGCAACCAGTCACAGAGGTCCCGGCCGCAGGGCTTGTCCCTTGTCGCTGCTGCAGCTGCTCTGCCATGTGTCGGCCAAACTGCACGAACTCCTTGTCACGCCTGGCAGGTTGAAAGACCAAACAGCGGCAAAAACTTGGGGCCTTCCGAATTTAGGGCTTTTTGTCAGGGAATCCTACTATTTGGGTGTCTATATTAAAGGCCCCTTATTTTCATAAACCCCCATGCAACTCAACCCAAGGTGCTCGCACCCTGCTGCCTGGGTGGCGGCACGAGCTTTGCGACCGGGGGCCTCACCTGCCCATGCCGCGATCGCCACTCAGACGCACGGAGGGCTTGTTGAGGGTCATACACGGGTTTGTGCGCGACTACGCTGGAGTGGATTTGGGGGCCCTTCAAAGTAAAATTTAAGGGTTGCGACCCATAGACAGCACTAACTGTGTCCACATCCCCTCCAACATGGGCCACCAGGGTGCTCTAGAGACTCTGGAGATACCAGTGGCATCCGCGTCACGAGAAGAGAAAGGAACAACGAGACTCCCAGAAGACACAGAAGACACTTGCAACTGCAAGTTCTTCTGAGCACCCTGACCTGCGAATGGGTCGTCCATGCTTTTCGGCAGCTCTCTTCTTCTCTCTAGTTCTCTCTCTCCCTGCTGTTCTAGGAAATCTCGGTATGTTGCAGCCTATATATATGCTTATCAAACCGAAGACCGTGGAATGAAACGAAAAGGTCGTCGCACCAGCACCAGCCACGCAAGGGGTTGCGATTGCCCTTTCCCCACTTCGCACTAAGCCTTGCACATGGAACTCCGCATGCCGGGGAAAGAATTTGAAGATGAACATGTGCGGGTGTCCCCGAAGATCAAAGAGCCAGTTTAAGTCGGCATTTTCAGGTCTAATCTGATTCATTACGAATCTCAATCTCGAGCTGCCCGCCAGCACTCCGCGACACTCCAACAACGCTCTGTTGCTGGGCGTAAAACTTCATCTGTGGAACCCTTTCCAGCTTGGACGCGCCTGCTTCTGGAGAGTGTAGGCAGGAGCCTGCCTTTGTGCCGCCTGGCATACGACTGGCAGATCTCCCCAGGCTATAAACTGCACACTTTCTCTGTTACACTTCCAAAAACTATCAAAGTGCCATGTCCCACACATTCAGCAACTCCAAATAGTGTCAAAAGCTGCATGTAGCTAGTATTCTCGGCACTGTAGAAAACATCATGCCGTGTGCAAAGCAGGGCAACACGGTGCACATTCAAGACAGTCCGCCGAGGCCTTTGTGGGTTGGTGTTGCGGGCGTATGTCAGAGTTGGTTGAGCGTTTTTGTAGCCCAAAGCCTCAAACCCCTGCGCCCCAAAACTCTCATAGGACTGGCTTGGAGGCGATTACGGAACACAAATGCTGAGCCCGTAGCATTTAAACTAACCTAACACCTACAGCGTTTTGGAGAATGCTCACCGGCTCCCAACGCTGTAAACATTTCTGCTGTCATCCTGTAGGTTCCGGGGGCATCCCCTTCCAAACGTACAACAGAGTTACTCCAGATATCATTGTGTCGAGTTGCAGACCTGCTTAAGCCTTAAAGCATCGCTTGGCTTGCGCTTGGCTTTTGCTCGGCCTTGTTGCAGCAAGGTGCTTTTGGATTGTTTTGGTCCACCGGTGTTTATCCAGGCGTTGCGTGTTGATGTAACATTACCACAAGAACCTGGCTTGGTGTGGCTTGGTTGTTGACGATAGCTTCTGCTTCTCTGAGTGGGAAAGTGGACCCGAAAGTACCAAACGAATGGAAGACTTCATCTGCAAAATCGGCGATGACACCCGAAACAGTGGCGCCTGCTGCAGGGGAGCTGGGGCGGGAGCTTGCCTTTGTGCTGCCACCTGGCATTCGACAGGCAGATGCGCTTTCAAAAACAAAGCCATTTGCCAAACATTCCGCGAAGATCTCAAGCAACTGCGCGGGTTTTACAAGAGTCAGAGATATTCGATCGGCTTTTCATGATCGGCATGGAACATGAAATCACGACAGCAAAATTACCGACCCGGCGAATGCAATTTCGAAAGGCGCATGGCAGAACCTGGAATCTGTTTAGGGTTTAGGGTTCAGGTTATAGGGTTTAGGTCGAGGTGCGCCGCAACTTTTCTCTCGCACAAACCCAGCTATGCTTGCTGTTCGGCAGCTGCAGACACTGCAGCGTACAGCAGTCGAGGTGCTGGTGGCTGCAAGAGCGTTAACAGTTTGCCACTCCAAATGCTATAAGCTGCGCATTTCTTGGTGGCCAGCACTTCCAAAAACTATCAAATTGCCACGTCCCACACATTCGGCAACTCAAAAAATAGTTTCAACAGCTGCTTTTCCTAGTTTCTCGGCACGGTAGACAAACGTACTCGCATGCGGTGTGCAAATCAGGGTCCGGATTAACTTTCAGTTCCAACATGGTGCACATTCAAGCATCTTCCGTTTTCGGGACCTCAAACAATTAACACCAACAGCGCTTTGGAGAAGCTGCAAACTTTACACTGTAAACATTTCTGCTGTCATTTGCTCTCGACCCTGTAGGTTCCGGGGGCATCCCCTTCCAAACGTACAACAGAGTTACTCCAGATACCATTGTGGAGTTGCAGACGTGCTTAAGCCTCAAAGCATCGCTTGGCTTGCGCTTGACTTTGTTCCTCAAGTACCAAACGAACCCTGGAAGACTTCATCTGCAAGACCCTTCATCTTCCGCAATGGCACCCGAAACAGTGGCGCCTGTTTCGGGGGAGCGGAGGCAGGAGCTTGCCTTTGTGCTGCCACCTGACATTCGATGTACGAAAGTCAGCGAATGCAATTTTCAAAAGGCATATGTTATGGCAGAACCTGGAATGTCTCGAGCAGTTTGCCACTCCGAATGCTATAAACTGCACATACATTTCCTGGTGACCAGCACCTCCAACAACAGTCAAAGTGCCATGCCCCGGCACATTCGGCAACTCCAAATAGTTTCAACAGCTGCTTTTCCTAGTTTTCCCGCGCTGCAAAACGCGGTCCGAATTTACTTTCAGCTCCAACACGATGCACATTAACGCTGTCCGTCCGTTCTTCGGCACCTCCAAACAATAACACCTACAGCGCTCAGCGCTTGTGAGAGAAAGGCCCCACTTTGCTCTCGACCTTGTAGGTTTCGGGAGCAACCCCTTCCAAACGTCCAACAGAAGTTACTCCGGATATCATTGTGTGGAGTTGCAGACGTTCTTAAGCCCTAAAGCATCTCTTGGCCTTCGTTTGGATTTGCTGATGTTTTTGGATTACTTGGATATTGGGGAAAAGACGTGTGTTGATGAAACACTTGACGAGAAGTTTGGCTTGGCGTGTCTTGCTTGTTGACGATAGCTTCTGATTCTCTGGGTGGGAAGGTGCACCCGAAAGTACACAAGGAACCCTGGAAGACTTCATCTCACCCGAAACAGTGGCGCCTGCTTCGGGGGGGCGTAGGCGGGAGCTTGCCTTTGTGCCACCTGGAATATGGAGGAATGCCGTCAACTCGTCGGCATCTCGGGCAGCGACAGCACTCAAAGCAGCGGCGCCTGGGGAACGGCAGGAGCTGGCGTTCGCGCGCCCGCCTGGCAGACGACAGAGGGTGTGAGGTTGAGTACCCAACCTCCTTGATCCGCCTGGATCCTTGTCAGACTTACAACCTCGAACCCTAAACTGTATGGATGCTGAAAGCTTTACTTGCACAAAATCACTTGAAAGCAGAATTCGAAGGCAAAACCCTGAATCCCCTAGCCCTGAATCACCAAAACCCGCAAACCCTCGAAAACTCTACCGGTAGATCCGAAACTCCTGGGTTCGTCGGCCAACCTGTCCTACAGCCCCAAACTCCGGAACATCCTGAACCCAACACTTTCAAAACCTAAAACCGCAAACTCCAGAAACTCCTGAACCCAAATTGTTCAACCCTAAACCCTAAACCCTAAACCCTAAACCCTAAACCCCAAACTCACCTCCCCCCCCCCCCGCCGCCGGAGCCACCTGGACCTGCAACCCCTCCGTCGAGGAGGCGACTTTGCGACGCTGCTGGAAGCTGCGGCCATCCTCACACATTGTACTCAAGGTTTTGAGCGGGTTTAGGGTTTAGGGTTTGGGTTTTGGGTTTTGGGTTTAGGAGGAGTTTAGGGGTTTGGGATTTCTTGGACTCAGGGCGCCCTCCCGAAGTACCCACCCCGTCCCCCTCCTCCTAAGGCGGCACCGCTTCTGGCGGTCTTCAGGGCATCTCAAAGGCTACTTTTGCGATCGGGGTTTAAGGTTTGTGGCTTTGGCGTTTCTTTTAACAGCTTTGGGGAATTTGGGGAAAATTTTGGGGTTCAGGGTTTCGGGGTGCAGGCAGCAAGCTAAGCAAATCACACCAGTGGTTGAGACCAGATTTGATTTGGGTGTTGATCCGTGTTCTAGCGATATCTAAGGGTTTCGTTCACCCTTCGCCTTAAAGCTTCGGGGTTCGACCTAGAAACATCCCCACCCCCCCACCTTTGTCAAGCTATTGAGCTGAGGACGGCGCAGGCGCGGCCAGGAGGTTCACTTTGGGACCTCCTGGGAAAGACCTGAGACACCGGCGCTAGGTGGCCCACCATGATGCAGCGCTTTGTGGAGGTGCAACTGATGATGTTGGACACTTTTAGTGTGCTCCCCCCCCCCCCCCCCCCCGGAAAAGTCAAAGCTCTCTACTAAGCGGTCCGTGGGGATTTGATGCGTTTTTCATAGTGATAAATCTAAGCGGGGTTGGATACGAAAGTGATGTGAACGGCCCCGGGCGATTTTTTGGGGGTCGTGGAAAGGAGGAAGATTCAAAAGCACGGCCGTGAAGACAAGAGACCAGGGCATGAAAATGCAGAGCCCGGGGACAGAGCATGGACATTGAATATTAAAGAGGGTCCCCAAACAGTGCTCATCATGGGAGGTCCGGGTGGCTAGTGGACCACCCCTTTGTCAAATTGATCGGAACTGCTTTTCTCATACGGGTGTGTACGATAATCAGGGATCCCTAATATAGACCCCCAAATAGTAGGATCCTCTAATAATAAGGACGCCAGTAAGGTACCCCTAATATCGTAAACTCCCATATGGCCATTGTTGAGGAAGCTCTTAGTTTGGGCGAAGTTATTCCAGGCTTTCGGGGTCTCGGGAGAGAGAACAACAGCAATAACAACAGCAATGCTTGCGAAAATGATGAAACCAACGATCCTACCAACAATTAGATCAACAAGAAGAAACGATGAGAACAACAACAGGGGTAACAAGAAGAAGTAACAACTGCTTAACAGCAAGACTCTTGGCTCGAATAGCTCATTCAAGGCTGCTGCTGAGGCATAGGCAACTTCGGCCGGCTCGTCTGCTTTGTGAAGGTCTGGATAAGGCCCTCATCCACCTTCTGCTGAATAACATCCTGCCATGTTGCGTCCATCCCGCTTGCTTCGGGGTTTCGCGTTCTGGCCTTTGCGATGTTGGGCTACCGGGATCTTCGGGGTTTAGGGCTCACTTGCTGCTAAGACATGGGTCGTGCTGCCGCACTTCCCTCTACTGCGTGGAGACTGTCAAAGCGTGAGCCCGCACAAACATGGGTCAAACATGTGGTCCTCGGCAATGTAGTTGTTCTCTAAGCGGAGATACAAAGGAATGCCTGGTGGGAATGCAGTGCAGTCCCTTGCTTGTTCTGCTTTGGTTTCAATAAATTTATTGCTTGCTTCAAAGCCGGGCTGTGTACAACTCTGACACGATCCAGCTGTCCGGCCTTTCTCCGGATCTTGCGGGTTGGATCGAGGGTACCTAGCACCGAAGTAGGTCAAACACACACGACGCACAAGCACCCACAGGGCACAAGTCGCTCGTCTCGATGGCGTCCATCAGCGAGGTAAAGCCCTCGGTCGTAATGGCACAATCTGACAGATGCCTGGCAAGCTCAAGCAAAGAGTTCAGGGTTTGATCTTGTCGTTAGCCGACCAAGTCTCGGAGCCCGACAGCCAGAACCAGGGGGGGGGGGGGGGAGGAGGGCACGCAATGAGTCCCTGCCCTAAACCCAAAGCTTCCACACGCCCCACGAAACACATGACCGGAGCGCAGCTCCCATGGCGCAACTTCTGGAGCGACTTGCCTCAGAGCGCTTCTCAGATGGTAAGTTGCAGAGCAGGGTAGGGGGGGGGGGGGGGCCCTGGTCAAATTGCAACGGGATGCTCCCTACATCCTACGACCTGATGGAACTGAGCCGGCCGCCCAGACAGAAAGTTGGCCAGTGACAGCATGACCTGCGAGGCTCTTTGGGGGGTTTAGGCGAAGGGGGCTTACAGGGTTTCGTAAGACGGCCTGGTCATCCAGCGTGGAGCATCCGTACATCCGATAGCGGATGACCTGGGCGGCAGACTGTGCCTGAGGATCCTCCCAAACCCGCAAGCTCTGAGCGACGCAGCGACGCAGCTAAACCGACAAGCCCGCCCCGTAAAATGAGCCCCCAGACAGTGAGGACCATCATTCACTCGTGAGTAACTTGATGATAGCTGCACTGATTAGGGTGCTCTTAGAAGCGATCTAGTATTCTAGTATTCAAGAGAGGATGCCAGGTGCAACCACATAACAAATTATCTGTGTCATCTGTCAAGTTGTGCACTGGCCTTGGCCCCCGCGACGCCCATCGAAACGAAGAGCGTCTGGGCATATCAAGTGCATGCGGGATTGTTGCCTCTGAAATTCCTTGTCAGTCGCCAGGACTTGGTCGAGTTGAGTCAAAGGCAGCCGGCTACTATTGACCGGAAAAACTTCTCTACCCGAATTTCATTGTGGCGAACACAGAACTGCCTCAAACTGGTCGATGGTCAGCATGTTGCACGAGACATCCAGCTCTTGGACGACTGGGGCATCAGCGTCCGGCCTGGGCAGGAACCATGTAATTTGCTGTGCGCCGCCCTCAGAAGTAGGGTTGCCAGTCTATGGTCTGCAGCCGGTGTCTGTTTGTGTGTTTGTTTTCGCCCCGCCCTCAGAAGTAGGAGTGGGTAGCCCATACGGGTTCTCCTATGGGGGCTTACCTGGTTCAGCTATGCATTTGTTTGTGCATGTTTTGCTGTGACACCATGGTGCCCAGTGCCACCACTACCACAACACTTGGGCTTTCCCCTGATCCCGAAAACCCAATGGTAACCTTGGCAGCAATGTCTTCGCAGGAATCAGAGCATTGAAGGCTGATACTTCCCCCCACAAGATGGCCACGTAGAGGCTATGCTGCACGCGGCGCCTTCGAAATATTGAATTTCAAAGGATCCATGCGGGAATTGACGCAGCACGCCCGCAGACTAGACACAGCGTGAGCATGACGGGTCCTCAACACTCAAGGGGCGGGTGGAGGGCGCGAGGCGGAGCGCGCGGAGGGCGCCGAGTCTGGGCCTTTTGTCGTTTCCCACACCCGCGAACGGGATGTCTCGGCTCCCGGCTCCTTGTCCTCGCCCCCCCGGACCAGTGAACCGGACATCGCCTCCCCATCGCCCCCCTCTCGTGGAATTATTTCCTCTCCCTTCCTCCCTTGACCATTTCCTCTTCGCGGCCTCTTCCGTCAGAACGCGATCCGATAGCCGGCCTTCCGCGTTGAAGCGCTAAAAGAGAACCCAACCCCAAGACACCCCAAGAAGGTTCAAGAAAACAACGAGCTTGCGCAGAATCGACGTTAAGCGTCCAAGACACCCCCACCCCAAGAGCTTTGGCTTCTGAGCTCACCCAAGCATCAGAAGAATTTGGGGCTGTCCCCAAGAAACCCCGCACAAGGCTCAGGCCCCCCAACCCTCAATTGAGCGAAGCTTCCCTCTTTGCTCCAGGAGCGCCGTCAGCATGGCCTGAAGCCCTTCCAGCATCGCCTTGCAGGGCTCTTTTCGTGTTTTCACTGCATGTGGGTTGTGGGCTCTCAGAAACACGGCTGACACGCCAAAACGCCGAGCAGCGCCATGGAAGACAAGACGAAGCGTTGCTGCGACAAAGCGCGTTTCACTTGAGGACCATCAGACGGAAGCACGACAAGGCCATGGTACATCGTGCCGGGGCTTGTTGTTGCGACGTGGGATTGGGTGCTACGGAGGCCTTTACGATGGAACCGCAGAACCGTGTGGATTACTGGCGCCTTTACGATAAACGAGCCCCTTCAGTATGCAGACAGCTTCAACCTGAGCAAGCACAGAAGATGGTGCAGCTAGGATGGTGGGCATCACAAGCACTCGGTGCTTCGTCTGTGAATCCAGGTCACTACTGCTTACCCATCGAACCCCAACAACACTTTTCAGGTTCAGGGCCTTGAGGGGGCTTGGGGGTTACAAGTTTAGGATCTGCTGTTTAGGCCTTGTAAGCTTTTGGGGGGCACGATTCAACAGATTCAACAGGCTGAGTCAACCCCCAGGATGGCCGCCTGAAAAGCCTCTGGCGTGCCGAGACGGCCCCGCCCTGCCCAAGAGATCGTTCGAGCTTGCTTTCCAGGGGGCTGCCGCATTTCAATATTTAGGGGTTTTGCGTATGGCGTTCATGAGGTGTGAAGTTTAAAGGTCTTTTCAGGGTTTAGGATTTACAGTTCAATTTTTGCCCAAGAAGAGGCTCGCGCTGGTCCATGGAGCTGTGGACAACTTGCCCGACATGGCCAGCAATGGCAACGACATCTGTTTCCGTCGCGCGTTGAGGTTTGGGGGGCCTTCGCAGGACATTCAGGTGCATCTTAGCAGGGTTTAGATTTAGGGGAGTGCCAAACAAAAGCTGCACCAGGAATAGAACACCCCCCCCCCCCCCCGTTGACAACAACCCCCCCCCCCCCCCCCGCCCTTCGCCACCAACTCCCCCCCATCGCCACCCCCCCCCCCCCCCCCCCTGCGCAGGCCTTTGACCTCAATGCCAGCGGGCGTTTGCTGAAGGATGGGGCCCTGTGCCTGGGAGCTCAAGGGTCGGGCTTTCTGGGACTTGATACCGACATTATGGATACCAGAGGGGCTCTTTATCTCCTTCTTCAATTCTCGACTAGATCGCTCCCACTAACATCGTCGTGAACCAGCGACAAGCATGGGCAGCCTGGTTCTATGCTGGCTTCTTTCGGGCTTTTCGATGTGCTTTCTGCGTTTAGGGTTTAAGGAGGGTCTGCTGGCCATGTTTCAAGTGTTCCTGGGCTTGCGGTACATATAGCCGATGTCCAGCCCTATTCTCAAGAGCGTCGAGGGGGCTCAGTGCTCCCAGAGAAGAGACGCAAAGTCTGAGCATGCCACAAAATATCCCGCCATGATGCCGAAGAACGCAAGGGGGGCTGCTATCGAGGCAAGGGTGGATTGATGGCAGGGTCATCAAACCTTAGGTTAGTGGCGGTCAAGGGCGCAAGGTTACCTTGATCTCCAAGGCTATTCATGTCTGTGTGCACACGCGTTTAGGGGACACTTAAAGCATGCTCTCGCCATTTACAAGCCGAGTTGGGTGTACTTCTCTCACGTAATTACAAAGGTCTTTAGGTTGCTGCTGGGTGCCGAGAAATGCTAACCGAGATATCGATCTGTCACCCGGATAAATGTTTCTGCTCAGCTCCCTTTGTCCGAGCAACTGTTGCCATCAGCTTGAGACGTGAGGGGGATGATGTGCGAAACAAAGCGAATGGCTCTGGCCCAAGCTCACTTCTTCTGAATGGGACTCAACTGGCTCGGCATGGATGAGGTGAGCGGGGCGTTGGATTCACTCTGACACGAAGCTGCAACAGAATCAGATCACGATGGCGTCAGGTAACACCCTGAATTGCAAACAATTCACAACGGCATCTGACTTAATGGCTTAATGCTGACTGTTGACTTCATATATTCCTTGATTCGTCGAGCCTTGCAAGATGACCAGCCGAGGCACACCTCAACCCGGACCTTCAAGAGCTGAAGCCCTCTGCCTATTCATTCCACCCCCCCCCCCACGGCCACCTCTCCAGAAGAAGGCTCTTTTCTCATAGGGACGCGGGGGGCCGCCTTCTTGGAACGTGTCGGACGCATCGCGTGAGCTGAGCTGTCGTCGACTTCTCGGGAACCCTCAACCGACGTGTGCTGTGCTCGCATAAGATGTGGCCACGACAGCTCGAACCAGGACCCAGTACAGCGCCGTTCCGGGCCTTGCAGCATGTACTGAAATAAGCTCTCTACCCCTCTACTCACGTGCCCAAAGGACGCGGGGTCTAAGTCTAAATCAAGCAGCCAAGCGAACACGAGATCAGAGTCTGATTGAAAAGCGCCGGCTACAGAGCAGTCTGATAACAGAGTAACCAGCAGAGCGCGTCCGCTTTGACTTCCCTCAGGCTGGTTCTCGCGCCGGTCTCACCAGAGCGGAGCTCACACCACCATCTGCCCTTGCTCTTCCAGGAACCTGGACTCCCAACATACAGCGGGGCATGCCCCCGAATTCTCACCCTAAACCTTAACCCTTAAACCCTAAGCCCGATATACCCTAAACCCTAAACCCCCCCTAACCCTAAACCCTAAACCCTAAACCCTAAACCCTAAACCCTAAACCCTAAACCCTAAACCCTAAACCCTAAACCCTAAACCCTAAACCCTAAACCCTAAACCCTAAACCCTAAACCCTAACCGTAGACTCTAAACCCGAAACCCTTAACCCTTAACCCTTACCCTGAACCCTAGGTTTAAGGCTAAGGGTTGGTTTGGTTTCGGGTTGGGGTTTCTACCTGCACTCTAAGCCCCCGAAACCCTAAACCTCCTCGGGTACCTACCATGGTCCCTCCTTCAAAAGGGGACCCCGATATACCCTTATCTACACCCCAAACCCTAGACCCTAAAACCCTAAACCCTAACCTTAATCCTTAAACCTAAACCCTGAAACCCTGAACCCCTAAACCCTAGCCCGGTATCTCTTCGAGGCACTTCTCCAGGGAGGGCGTCTGATGACGATTGGGATCCCGGATGCCCTTGTTATTGAGGTCGCAGTACCTTGGCTTAAGGCTTATGGTCTTCTTGGGCTTAGGATGGGAGGGTTTAGGGTTTGGGGTTTAGGGTTGAGGATAGGAGGGCTTAGGGTTTTGGGTTGAGGGTTAGAAACAGATCTACTCCCCCCCCCAGATCATCAGCCCTAAACCAGAGATTGCCATGGAGCTTCTGAACAACAGCTGCGCATGGTGCTGCCCGAACTGAGCCAGAAATCCTAAACCCCAAAGCCCCTAACCCTAAACCCCAAACCCTAAACCCTAAAAAAAAAATGAAAAAAGCCCTCAACCCCAAGACCCCTAAGACCCGCAGTCCCAGACCCTTGATGTTCGCCTTTGCTGGGGCCCCTGGCGACCACCAGGCTTCCCTGGTATTCGGGTCGGATCTCTGAAGTGTCTGCAATGCGGAAAGGGTGCTTGCCGTGGGTTTGAGGGTTTAAGGGTTCAAGGGTTCCAGGGTTCAAGGCCCAATTTTCTGTGAGATCCTAGCGCTGAGTGTTTGTTTTGGGTCTAGGGCTACGGCCCCTAATTTCCAGCTGAAAACCCTAAAGCTTTGCACGGACATTTGATTGGTTTGCTCGTGCTTGTTCTTGTTTCGCACTTTGGGGGGCCTTTGTCTGGGTGGCTCTTGCGGGTTTCATGGAACTAAGTGATCACATGGACAAAAAAGTTATCGTAAGGTGACTTAATGAGGTGCATGCTTGTACCTATGATGAAGACGTAGGTAGTTGGCATCCTTGTTACGGCAACTTAGACTTTTGGTTAAAAGAACCTTTATCTGCTTTAACAGCAACTAGCATCCCATACTTTCGTCCTGCAGTTTAAAGCGACATTGTTCAAGGCCTGCAAAACGACTGCGTTTTTTTATAAGCCTTCATGGATGCAGGCCTACTTCTGCATGGAAGTGCTGATTTCTACCCAAACCTCTAAGCCGTTGGAAGCCCTTTAGTGCTTCCTTTGGCTCAACCTGGAAAGAAAATGACTTCCCAACCGCCAGCCTTGACCTTCTCTACCAGAATCTGCTTGTGGCCATCGGTGTACTGGGAAGTGCTTGGCTTCAGCAGCAAGAAATGTTCGGAGTTCGGCTCGGCGGCTTGGGTGTTTAGGCTGTGGGGTCCAGGGTTTTTGGCAGGGTTTAAGGATTTTCGGACTGAGAAGGGGATTGTGTCGTTGTGTCATGCGTTCTCCTGTACTGGTGCAAGATCCATGTGGCTTCCTGCCTTGCAACCTACGGAAACCCAACACCAAAAGTAAGGGCTCTGGGGGTCAGAGTTCTTTGGCATCTGCCCACACTTGCCCCCCCCCCCCCCGGGAGCGTCCTCGGCGGGTTGTTCGTCAAGTCGCTGCCTGCCGGCTCTGGGACGTGGAAGATCTGATTTTGAAAGGCTCTATTCAAGTGCTCCGACGCAGGCCAAGTTGGAGGCGTTCAGGTCTTGGGCCCACTAGGCCAGGTGCCCAATCTTCTCATGGCAGCCATGTCCTCTCGCAGCTCCGAATGTGACATGGCCTGAGTAATGTGTTTCTCCTGGGCACAAGCTTTTGAGGCTGCCGGTGGCCGTCGCCGTCAGTGAACATACAAGTGGTTGTGTCTGTGTGTTCTATAGTACTTCTGGGATGACGGACCTTTGAAAGACCACCCTACAGCCTCAAAAAACTGAAACCCCCTGAAAGTTGGAGGGGGGGCGGCCTGTACCCTGAACCCCAGGCCCCCCTCCCAAACCTCGCGTGTGGGTTCCAAGCGCCTCTTCGTCGGAGGCGGCATGTCAACCACGGCACCCGCTCCTAGCTCGAGCTCTCGCCTTGGTTGAGCAGATGAGGAAGTATCCTTCACGATTCCTGAAAACCAAGATCTCTGAACCGAGCCTCAGAACACGGTCATACGAACTGACTGGGCGGCGGACAGCGCCGTCTCGCCTACAAAGTCCAGGAACTGCCGGAGGAAGTTCCTGGCAAATGCAACTCGGTGCTACGAGAGTACTGTATGAAGTTGCTGCGTTGCTAGTTGACTTGACTGTTGCATCATACAACTTCAATACTATCATATGATACTCAAAAGTAAAGGTATATTTACGTTATGTTGTAAAACCATTCGAGTATAAACGTTCTACATACCCCAACTAAGGCCATTGTAAGCAGCTGTCATCATAGGTGCCTTACTTCTAACCCCAGTTTGAACCATCCACCGAAGTAATACGGTAAGTAGGGGCATCTGCGTGACGACCGGTACTTTCGCGGACTTCTCACCGTGCAGACGGGTTAATTGTCATGAGGGTCTCTTGTAGGCACCGCTAAACGACGAGGAGTATGCCATAATGGAGGCCAGCCAGGGGAGTGTTTTTAGATATGCTAGCTGCTAGGAGATACTAGAAGCGCCTGGTGTCCTGAACCCGACACCAGGTCGAACCTACCAAGGGTCTGGGAGGCCCATATCCCCGTTAACGCAGGACCACGCCCGGCATCTCGAGTTACCAGCAAGTGCCCCGAGTTGATGCACCTGAAGCATCTACTCCTAAATCTACCTTGCCCTAGACCTCTCCGCAACTTGGCCAGGTCTGCTCCGGATGCTTGGTGGGGTCGTTCACGGAGTTGCCGTAGGCGGCGCAGAAAGTCTGAAAGGGCACGCGATCACGGGTGAGTCATGTCAGTCTTGCTCCATAAGACGCGTGCTCTTCAAGTCTTATGCTGCTTGTGTGCCTGAGCGACTTTTCAGCCCACACCCAGCTGCAGAGCAAGAAGCGCAAACTCTATTTGCTGAGCCCGGATTCTTGAGGGGTTTTAGTTTATTCTAGTATACATACATACATACATAGATACATATACATATATATATATATGTATATATACATAAACGGTCCGGGTCCAATCCCCCGCCCCCTGCGGCCCCCCCTTCAACCCCAAACGCCAACCCCCCATTCACAGCACAGGCAGGGGTGGCTAAACCTCAACCCTAAACTTATGTAAACCCTAGACCTTAAACTGTAAACCTCAAAATTTAAACCCTAAACCCTAAACCCTAGCCCCCCAACCACACCCACACCACAGGGCCCCAACTCCTAACCCCAACCCCCAATCGCACCACGGGCCTAAACCTTAGACCCCAAACCCCGAACCCTAAACCGTAAACCTTAAACACTAAACCCTAACGGGGGGGGGGGGGGGGGGGCCGAGGGGGTCGGCCCACCCTAACCCCCCAACCACACCCACACTGGGGGCGTGGGGGTAGGGATCCAAGGGACGATGGGGGGTGGATACCATGAAGGGTGGGGGAAGGGGGGGTGGCAGCCCGAGACCCTATATATACACATATACACAAAGGGGCCATATACCAACAACAGTCATATCAACCCTAGTTCAATGTCCCGGCCTGCCAGGCTGCTCGCCAGTTTGGCGATGTCCTGCATTCAGCAGCAACAAGCATCGAGACATCCGACATCAGGGTTTTAGGGCTGGACTAAAGGATTTGTCGGGCTGAGGAATGTCGCACTCCTGGCCTCTGTCCGACCTTCACCACCTCTGCCATCGGGTTCAGGGATGCCATCGCAGCTACCGGCCTCGGGGGGGGGTGGGGGTGTGAGAGGGGACTCTAGGGGAAAGGCCCATTCTTTTACTGCCCTCCGACCTGGATTCTGTTGAGCTGCTGAACTTCCTGTCATTGAATTGGCTACGCCGGCATGCAGTCATTTTGCCTTACCAGTAGGTTTAACAAACTCTACTGAACTAAGCAAACGAACAGCAATGCAACTTCGCATCCCAAAGCGGAGCAAGTATATGTATTTCGTGCTACATACCCTTTGAGCGCGGAAAGATGCTCACGTCGTGGGAAGGTCCAAGCCATACAGGCTTGTACAACCTTTGAAACCAAATTCGGGGTTGGGGGTGAGTTTGGGGGGGGGGGGGGGGCTTTGGGAGTTCTGTATTGCATCAGCTTGACGGATCCACCGTCTCCAGAACTCCATGAACAACGAGTAATCTTATCTTAGACCCCCTATGATCCTATGTGTCCGGTTGGTTCCCCGGGCCCGCCCTACCCTCCTCCCGTTCCCCACTCTCCAGCTTGCAGACGAGAAACCGAAACTCCGGCCCTGGCCCTGATCGAGCTGAGGGCGTCAGCCGAGGCGTCCCCGCGGGAATCTGGCGCAGACGCGTTTGAAAGCAGATGGGCACATTTTTGCACCCTGTGGTGATCGATGAATAAAGATGGTATATCTGTTTATATGCGTGTTCGGGTTTGTATCTCTATCTCTGTTGATCTTCGGTGCTCTGCGACCGCTGCAACCTTTCATCGGACATGCAACCGGGCATCTACCAATACAGCGATGCAATTACTGAGGACTGAGGAATGCTGGTGAGGGCTTGCTTACATGCTCAGTGAACTGCGGCCATCCCCATGGACCCCACAAGCTCCATGCAAGTACGGCTTTCTGACGATTGAGACTTGCTTGGCGCTTAATTAACCCTGGAATCGGACAGTGCGTGGCATACGTACTGTTGATTAAACAGAGTCACAGCAAAGTTCAGCAAAGCTCGCGCAACGCTGGGTCGATTTCACGTCGAGTTTCGGCAGAGCGGTGGACGTATGCCGGCCGATGCAGCCTTCGCAGACGCCATGTTCACGGAGGATAAGCGACTTGCGGCGTGAGTTATAACCTGCAGTCGTAGCAGTGCGCAAGTTGTGAACACAACATAAACTCCTCCTCTGTGGTAACGCAGCGCAAGGCGTCCAACAACTCTTGGCCGACTCCGAACAGAAATACCGTCACTAATCTAGTTTGAAAAATGTTATATAAGCACTTCCGAGATCGGTCGCCCAATGTAGGAAGCCTGTTTGAATTTTGACAAAACGTCTGGCGACCTTGGACAGAGACACAGGAAGATGGTCCCTGAGCTTTCGGAAAACCCAAGAAGCCACGTTGAGACTCACGGGTCCTTCCGATGGCCGATACTGTGAAAGCACGGGGCTTATGCCCATAAGCATGCTTGCTACTCGATCCCACATGGCTCCCCTGTGTGAAGGCTAAAGATTTGAGGACCAAAAAACCGTCATACTCCCAACATCCCTCAGAGACATGCATAAACTATGTTTAGACTAGATTCCCCAGTGCTAGCAAAATCACAGGGGGGTCGGGTACTTCAATGCCTTTCACACTTTCCCCAGTATTGTCCCAGCCGGCGCCGTGATAGCGACGTCCCTGGATACCTTGGTGCCCGGCTCGGCTCCTCCCATGGAGTTGTAGGTAGATGTCATGGCCCGGAGCTCCTGCATCTTGCTTGAGGCGAAGAGGCACAGGGCCAGCTGGAAGAAAGTCAAGACGACCACGAGGACCATCATGCCAAACACGCCTGATGGCCAGATCGCGTGTGAGGACGTCAGCAGCCTGAGGAAGCCAAAGATCTGCACGACCAGCGCCACAATGCCGACGCCAACGACCCAGTTTGCCAGCTGCGCCCCACAGCTGCTTTGCCTCTGGCCGACAAAGGCCACCAAGATCGCCAGGGAAACGGGGACAAGGATCTGGAGCAAGGTCCAACCCCAAAAGGAGGGCCGGATGAGCTCATTGTGCACAAAGGCCTCCTCCAGGGTGATGGAGTTCATCACTGCCACGCGGTCGGGGTTGCGGCCCATGACGTCCGGCTCGCCATCAGCCCAGTAGGTGAAGCCTTGCCACTGATACTTCATCCCCACAGAGCTGCCATCGACCCACTGCCAATCCTCTGCGCCAGGCGCCCTTCGGAGACCGAGCATGCATGTGTCAAGCCCACAAAGCTGTGCCACGTAGTGGTTCTCACGCTCGTCCTGGATGGTGATTAGTGAGGCATCATGGGCCTGGCACCAAGACTGCGCAGCCTTGAAATTTGCCTGCTGACAGACCTTGATGTAACACTGGACACCGCGCTTGGTCCATCCGCTGGGACACGGATCGGCGGTGCGCTTGCAGATGAAGGCCGGCAACTCCCACTCGGGGTCCGTACCATACCAGCTGCCGCGACCCTGTGGGCTGCTGCGGGGTCGGCCGCAGTAGGCCTCGTTTTCGGAAGTTATTGGAAGGCACAGACAGCAAGTTCGAGGACCAATGTGCCGGACAGGAAATAAGCACGGAGACGCTAAGATTTTATGCACACAGTTCAGAGAGTCACAGCGCGATGCTTTCCATACTCACTGCGCTCACTCTCCTAATCTGCAGCATCCACAGCTTTAACCGACAGACCTAAAACCTCGGCCTCTGAACCCGAGCTCCTTCTGAGCTGAGCTATCTGTGCCCGTGAACCCGTGAAGCCTTTCAAGACAAGCCTTCATCTGCGAAGCTTGTTGCCTTAAGGTTTCGGGGCTTCTTGGGCTTGGGCCCACAGAAGTTGCAATGCGATGCAACGTGATGGTGCTGACCGAACTGTCACTTTGTTTCGCATGCTTGTTGGGCTTTTAATACGACTATTTTCGAAAACTCGAATTGTGTTTGCTGATCCGTCTCCTGCTTCACCATGGGCTCCGGCATGTCCAAGAGCCCCCAGTGGTTCATGAAAGCGGCACGTCCACGTCCGGATGTTGGGCCCAGTTGGTTCCAGTTCCTGAACCCAACGAAGCCAGGCTCGACCGAGACCTCGGTGGTATCCGGCCAGAGCCACTCGTTGCTTTGGGAATCCTGGCTGAGCCCGATCCAGCAGGACTCCCAGCCGCAGAGGCTCTGCACAAAGCTGTTCTCTTCCTCTGAGTCGATCTTCGCCAGGTGCCCGCCTCGCTGGCGGCAGCCCTCCATGGCACCGTCGAAGTTCTTCCAGTCACAGACCAGGTGGTAGCAGCCCCCTGCATGTGCAATCCAGCCCTTTGAGCAGGTGGCATTCGAAGGTTTCTCACAGACGTACCAATTCAGAGGCATGGCTTTCGGAGCGTCGCTCCACTTCCCCAGCGCGGAGCTCTGGGGACTCCCCGCCGCGCAGGTCTTGGCCTTCAGCATCCCGAACTGGAGCGTGAAGATGCTGATGACCCCGAGCACCAGGATGCTGGCAGAGAGGAGGAGCAGCCATCGAACGATCGCATCTTGACGGTTGCCGGCGCCCAACATCACCTTCATGTCACTAACTTAGAGGCCGCAAGGCCCGGTCCTCTGCACTTTGACAGAGGCTTCTGTGCCACAACAGCGGCAACGCCATCCATTTTCCTGGGATGGCATGAGCCCCCGGCTCCCTGAAACGGGCTCTTGGGCGGGTCTTGCTTTTTGTAAGGTGGCTCTGCAAAAACCGGGGGGGGGGGGGCAATTACGTAACACCCCTGAAAAAGCCCCAACCGAAGAATCGCAAAAACAAAACAAGCCACCAGGCACCCTCGAGGGGTATGCGGCCGGGATCGGTGAAAATCGCGGCGTCTGCATCCTGTCATGCTTCAGATCTCTGGCACGGAAAGATGTTTTTTCTGCCGAAGAGGGCTAGAATGCATTTCTTGTGGCACTTCGATCCGTGGGGCTGGGGCTGAAACCTTCGCTACTCTGAAGCCTGTGGGATGCCTTAAGGGCCTTATAAGGGCTTCCTTTTCAGTTCCAGCTAATATTTTGAGGGTTTCCGAAAGTAGGGGTTCCTGCTTGGTTTATGAGGGAACCCTACGAGGTTCTCTATCTTCGTAAACCCCTGCTTGGGCACTGCAGAGAAAGGCAGCACAATGCCCGCTGGAAGACTCTGCACGCCAAACCCTTTGCGCCACCAACCCTACAGTTTACAGAAAGTCGTCCACTGCGCCGAAGCTCCCCAGACCGAAACGGCCCTCACCGCTCAAACAGCTCAGACAGGCCGTCCGCCTTCAGAGCTTCTCAAGCAACTTGAACACTAGGCCACAACAGCTCAGTGTGCAAGGACACAGCTTGCACCCCTGGTTAGTTGCACTCATACCCCGCTGTCGGGTGGACCCGGGAAGGAAAGGAAGAAGAGAGAAAGCAAAAACACGGAGCTATTCTTCGGGCAACGGGCCCCGGGGTCCCAAACCCCTAGCTAGATTCTGATTACCCTGCCATTACCCGATGATTACCCTGCGATTACCCCTGAAAGTCCCTGGGCTTGAAGCGAAGTCTGAGAGGTGGGAGTGAGTGCCTCTGTTGAGGTCTGGTGGGGTTGTAACCTGGCCACAGGGGGTTCTTGGAGGGGGGGGGTGGGGAAGGAGGGGAGGTGGGCACATGAGGTGGGGGGGAGCTGAGGGAGGGGGGGAGGTGGGCTGCGGGGTTTCACAGGTCCCAGGCTAGTCAGAAATCGGGGGGTTGTGGTTTTCGCCTACTGATTGGAACTTGGAACTGCTCTCTTTTCGAAGGGTTGGCTTGCAGTGTTTGGGTGCGCAGGGGGTTTGGTGGGATCTGGAGGTCTTAGCTTTGCTTGGAAAGGCAGTTATCGGAATCGGTTTAGTTTTAGTCTGTCTTCAGGGGGCCCCTTTGAAATATCCAGGTCCTAGACTGCTGGGGCTTCTGGCCATCGAGTAAAGTTCGGGTGGTTAGACGGCCATATTTCAGTTTCAGGAATCTATGCGCGAGTGGGAACCTCACATGATGGACGTCTAGCATAACCTTCAAAATGCTGTATTGGGCTCCGCTATCTGAGCCCCTTAATTCCCGTTTCGGCAGTATGAACCCTGAAGGTGTTGCTTGGATGGCCAGTGTGGCCACGGCCCACCTGCACCACCTGCACCACCTCCACCAACTCCACATCCGCCGCTCTCGTACGTCGACAAAAAGTTCGACAAGGTGTACTCGTCATGCCGATTTGGGTCCTCTCAGACTGAAAGGGAAGGCACCTGTCTGTCTGCCTGAGTAAAACCTGGTGCTTGGTATATGCACTATCTTCAAGTCCTTGACCCCGTTGTGACCCTCTTCGCAGAAGTTCCACCATGCCTGCGGGCATTCTTTCGCTTGGGACGACTTCGAGTGTCATACCATCTCCCAGTGCACATTCATGCACAGTACATCACAGTGCAGCCGCCTGCTTAGCGTTCTCGTCTGTTCGCTGCAGGCTCTTGACGCGGTCGACGAGATCTGCCTCCAAGTTCTGGGGGCGAAAAGACGTCTTTCAAGTTTTGCTCAAGGCCACCATCATCAGCCCTATATCATCCTCTCCCCAATGCCCAAAGCAGAGAACCTCCTGCAATTGCAGCTGGAGCCGGCCTTGCTTGCCATCTTCCCCACGTCCCAAGCAGCCAGCTCCGCAACAGGGCTCTTGAGGGTGAAAAATGGCCCCGCAGTCGTGAAGCGAAGTGCGGCAAGGAAGTCCCAAAAAACCCCCCCACCCCCCCACCCCCACCCCCCCACCCCCCCACCCCCCCACCCCCCCCCACCCCCCCACCCCCCACCCCCCCCCACCCCCCCACCCCCCACCCCCCCCAAGAAAAACCCTAAACCCTAAGCCCTCAACCCTCAACCGTAAACCTTAGACCCGAAAGCTCGTAGACCCCAAACTTCCGAGCAACAGGAGGGCGAGAGTGGCGAGAATGAGCCTACATCCCTTCGGCGTGGCCGTTCTTTCAGCGTGAGAACGCGCTGTGGGAAAACCACCAACACTGACCTTCTACGATTTGGTTTGATATATCATGAGAGCGCAATTGTGTATGGGTTTAGGGGCATTAAGTAATATCCATGCCCTCCCCCTCATACTAACCCCCCCCCTACCCCCGAATACTACATACTCGCCATATACTAAGTGGCCTGAAGTAAGAATAAGAGCTCATATCAAATACTCCCCCATAAACTCAAGGGCTTTAAGTAAGAATAAGAAGTAAGAATAAGTAAGTAAGAATAGTAAGTATTAATAAGTAAGAATAAGTAAGAATAAGTAAGAATAAGTAAGAATAAGAAGTAAGAATGCGAAGTCAGAAGAAGAAGTAAGAATAAGAAGAAGAGCTGGCTGTCAAGCGCGAAGATGTTTTGGCGACAAGGCGAGCTCAAAGCCTTGAATGGCAGATCCGAGTTCAAGAACAACTAAAGATATGTGGAGCCCACCCTAAACCCTAAACCCTAAACCCTAAACCCTAAACCCTAAACCCTAAACCCTAACAATCCTAAACCCTAAACCCTATAAACCCTAAAGCCTAAACCCTCCCGTGCTGAACTGGTGTTGAACCGGTGAGACGCGACTGTGATCCTGCCTGTGGCTGGCGTGGTTTCACGGGAGGGGGCGTAGCTTGTAGCTGTTCCACTTCTCGGGTGGTGATTCTGATTTTGTGAAGACCTAGATGGGCAAGCAAGTGAGACTTGTTCTCATATGACAAGTGTCACGGCCGTCGAACTAGCTGGATTTGGCTCGGTGAGTCTTTGCATTGCTGCTTGCTTGGCTTTGACCTTGGCTCCGCGATTGGAGTGCGGAATGCAGCAGACCGCCTCCAGCTGATGTTTCTTGGGAAGAAGCTCAGCTACTTGCCTGAATGGGAAAGGCATATTGGCACAGTCTGCATGGAAGCCTAAGGGTGGGAGCTGACCCCGGATCCCGAAAACCACGGCGGGTGTGGAAATCAAGCGCCTGCTTGCGAGGCAGAGCCCAGAGAAAGGAATCACAGCAGTCGGGCAACAAGCCTTCGGCGTACAGGCTGGTGGCTGCTCCATGCTTTAGCGTACCACACTTAGGGAATCGCACTGTAAGGGCTATGGATTTGCCTTTGACAGCCTCCAGGCGTGTCCGCAGGTTGCCCAAAGACAACGAGCACAGTATCTACTTTGTACAGTGCATCTGCATACCTGTCACTACCATTCGCTGCTGCTCTTTGACATTCAAGTCGAGCACCGCCCCTGAATGGTGCCTTCCACAGCTAAGTCCGGACACTGAGTCATTGGAGGTGCCTGCGATTACTGGATGCGAGGGCATCCATCCATGAAGGGCGGGCTAACGGCCATGCCGCCGCGGAAATGCGAGCCCCGAGGGTCTCAGGCTTCGTGTTCTTCAGATAAAGTGTTAAAGTAAACCAAAAGTGGAGTTCACAACACCCCCGAGTCACACACAGCAAACACCCCTTCACGTAGATCACGAGATAGCTACTGGGTTTGTAGAACTCGCCAGGAATTCGCAAAGGGCTCCTACAAATCACGTGGCTTGGGTGAAGGAGAGGTTGACATCCGATTGAAGAAAGTTTTAGAAGGGGAACCTAAAAGGGGGACCCGAATTTAGCACCACTCCCCTCTATTGCACACGACGACGTGCGATTCCTACATGCAAGCCTGGCATTCCTCGATGGCTCACATGAAATCTGACACGGCTAGCTTTTCATTTGCACGAGTCTTCGCTGGATCCTGCCGGGGGCCGCATGGAGGATCCGCCAGTGGAAACATGTGGAACCACCCCGGAATACCCTCATGCATGCGCGATCGTGGGCCGCGGGCCCAGGCCTCCGGCTGTCCAAGCAGCCGCACCTGGACACAAGCTTCGTTGACATCCTTCTGCATGTCGGCGAGCCTGGGTGTCTCAGTGTGGTCAGGGCAAATGTCTGCCCTCAGCTTGAAACCCGGCATGCCGCTAAGGGTACCAATAGATAATCTGAGTGAGGGATCTTATGTTTATGCAAATAAGAAATAAACAAATCAAGAAATACATTATAAAGATATACATACTACATTTATATATACATGTGCGTGTATTTTATGTAACTATATGTGCACCCACCAAAAAAGCACTGGCCCTACCTTAGAAAGCCATATCTCCAAGCGTTTGGAAGGTTTAGAGGGAGCAGCAAACGCAGAGAAACGCCAGGCCGCTGCTTCATGAACACGAAGAATGGCGGCGCGGTCCATTCGTCCAGCATCTGCATGGGCATAGGCATACCTTGCTCAAAGCTACCTGGAGCTAGTCTTGCCTTTTTGGGGATTGTAACCGTCAATCGCAAGAGCCGGGCCCCACGTTGATGTGAATGATTTGAAAGATCCGGCCTCCTCCTCCCATTGCAGCCATGGGGTTCTTTTTCTGCTGGTACCTAGGCGGGTCTCAAGACATGACAATTGACCCCAAGCACTAATCTGCGAACCAGTTTGACAACCATTGCCCCCCGAGCAGCTTGTTGTACGCGTGGCCCGCTGCCGCACCGGCCGCTGCACCCATCAGAGAGGTGAGCTTGCAATTCATACTGCACAGCCTGATCACTGAGTCTCGCGATCTGGCTTGCTCTTTCGTCTGCTTCGAGGCGTCGGGAAGGGTCTAGCGAGTCTAGCAATGTGCAAAGTCACGTAAAGCTTCGGGCACACACCTCCAACCCAGGCACAGTGCCAGGTTCTTGCCTACCAGCCATTCTCCCCCCTGCAAGCAGCAAGCACAAGCCCTTGCATTCATCAATGCAGTCAAGTCTCTGCTTCTCGATGGTGGTAACCCTGCCATGAGATGGATGTGAACGGAGAAGAGACTAGAAGAGACCACCAACCACAAGCAGGGGAACCGAGACTCGAATGACCATGACGGAACGGAGGGTATGGAGATGCGGAACGAGGACCTGACAACGATTTGGACCACGATGCAGCTTGGCGTCTGCTTCTGCAGCTTCTCCATGCTGTCTGCTGCGTTTTCCTCGTCTTTCGCGTCCTGCGCAGCATTCGGTGTCATGGCACCGGACGAGGCCTCTTAGCTCTGGGCTTTCACAGAAAGACGGGAGGAGGTCAGGAGGTCCTTCTCATCCTTCTTCATGAACAAGCTCATGGGGTTGATGGCACCCAGCATGCCACCGATGGCACCTTGCTCACAGCCCCTATGACTCTATGAGAGGCCGCATGGCCTCACGACACGCTGGAGTCGAGTGAAATGCACCTAGCAACGCCCGAAGTCAGGTGCGATGGAGCAGAGATTGGGAACCGGGTATGCTGCTCGGGACAATGGGGGGCACCATGGCACCTGTGATGCCCCCTGGGCAGTGCGTCTGACAGAGGAGGAATGCCAGGCCGCCAGCTGCGGCGGCACCTTCAAAGGCGGCTGAAAGCGGCTGAAACCCTCAGACTCGCTCGGACATGACATGCAGCTGCCTGCCTCCTGCAACCGCCCCGATCATGGAGGTGGGCTCCTGTGCAAGTCGTGAGCCAGCCAGCCCCCACGTCTGCAGATGCCCAGCCCTTCCATCTGAGTTGCGCCTGAACCTCCGTCTGGAGCCCTCCATGGCTGAAGCGGCTCTTGTAGATTGGCGGCATGGCAAGCCCTGAAAACGGCCTGAAAAAGCCCACAAGGCTTTGAGAAGCCACCGCAGTTTGAACAGGTTGCAGGTGTGGTGTGAGTCAATGGGCCAAGGCCATGAACAACTTTAAAGTCCGGTCCATGTTCGACACTGCGTTGCAAATGGCGACTGGCCGTAAGGTGTGCGAAACCTTCCATGTGGGTTTCCGCTCCTAACTCTTTTGGGCTCCGGAGAGCCCTTGAGCCTGGGCATCGGTTCCGAAAAACATGCGCAAGGCCGTGGAGGTTTTTTGTGAAGAGTGGCTGTGGAGGGACATGCATGCGTGGTGCTTTTTTGTGCAATGTCCTGGGGAAAGGCGCCCCCGTTTGCGGAGAAAAAAAGTCCTTAACCACAACAAACAAATGGGAGGGTGGTCTGGGGGAGATTCCATACGGAATCACAACATGCATGCACGCGGATCATAGAATGTTTTGGATCTGCCTCTTGCTCCTCCAGCCACTTTAGCCTTCCAATATAACGCTGCGTGTTTTGATGCACCTACTCTGTTGCGTTTTACATACATACAATTACGCATTGTAATGGATTATATCGTAGACTTCATTGCACATAAAACTACTAAGTAAATAAAAAACAAATACAAATATACATAAACAGATTAGAAAAACAAAGATAAATAAATGAAGGAAATACATAAATAAATATGTATGTGTATATATATATATATTGTACATATGTACATATTGCAGTCAGTGCACTGCTGGAGTTTGCTGCCTTTTCAGGTCCAGCCGCTTGTCGCGAGGGGCAAAGAGCAAGCCCAATAGCCTGGACAGAGCTGGCGGCTGAAACAGCTAACGATGCAGCTTCCGGGAACGCACACGCAGGACTCTGGTCACACTTCCCCGTGCAACCAGTGTGCGACGCAAGAAGGGCAAACCATGAATACGACCCCTCAAAGCCACTTGTGCTCGAATGGTGAGGGACCACTTCTGCTAGACCCCCGAAGTTTCCGATTTCCTGAAGTTTCCGCAAAAAGGCCCACTAACCCCGACCCAAAACAGAAACAACAATAAAAGGCCTACTAAATCCTTTCGGATGCATGTTCAAAGCAGCCCACCCCTTAAGCTGCAGCAGGCGGCTGGAGCTCACCTAAAATGCGAGGCATGACCTGCCAGCTATGCGCCACCTCCTCAGGCACCAGTGAAGGTTTGAAGAGGGTTTGAGGGTTTTGGGGTCTGAGGGTTGTTGGGGGGGGAATGTTTGGGGGGGATTGGGGGTTTGAGGGTTGAGGACTGGGGTGTTTGGGGTTGACTCAAGCTCAAGGAACTGGCACTGCTTTAGGAGGCAGCGAATGGTGAGTTGTTGGTGATTGACTAAGGCCCTTACAAAGAGCACAGGGTTTTGATAAGCCTCCTCCAAGACTTTTATGACAGAAATTTTGCCCACCCGCCGCTGTCTTGGATTGCGGGGGCAGGGTCGCAAGCACACAGCCAAAGCCGAGCGGCACAGCAGCGGATGATGCTGCTGGCGGCGATGGCGCTGGGCGTTTGGGACAGCTGCTTCAGAAGTCTGCTGGAAACCTGAAGTGCAGGTTGCCCTTTGACCCCAAGCGTCCTGGACCCTAAACCCCCAAAATCCTAAACCCTACACGTTATCCACCCCGAACCCCGACACGGGACTCTGCGCAGTCTTGGACTTCTCCTTTCTTCACATAGGGTTTATAGATCCAAGAACCCCGAACAAGAATGGTTATAGCCAATGATCTTTATCGCAACCTCCAAGGAGGCGTGGGGTAGAGCAAGCAAGCAAGCAAGCAAAATGCCTTAGATACAGGGGAAGTACATTAAGCATATTTCAGAACATATATGAGAACAAAAAAAGTTAACAGACAATGACGGTACATTGCAACGAAGACGAGTTCACAGAAGAAGAGCCATGAGAAATGAGCAATGATTCATGGGCATTTCCCCAAAAAGGTGGCACAACTTGTCTACCCAACATACTACAAACCTTAGAAAGGGAATCTCTGAACAAAGGGTACCTCTACTTTCACAAAAAACAAGGCCATGAGCTGCACTTGGGCAACTCTTTTTGTCGCTTGTGTCTCTTACCGCTTACCTTCCTTTCCTGTCTGCTCCCCCTAGTACCCTGACCCTTTCAGCACTTTTTGGGTTTTAGGGCACGACTCGGCCAGATGCCTTCCAGAGCCCCAGTGGTTCACAGGCACGGCTTGTGCTGCTGCAGGAGATGGCATCGGGGAGGACCTAGCAAGCCAGGGGTTGAGGCTTCCAGGGCGGTGCACGAAGGGGTCCGAGGGTTAACAGTTTACAGTTAGGGCACTAGGGCTGTGGGGTTTGATGCCGCGCCCCCCCCCCCCCCCCCCCGGGAAAAAAATCAAGAGATAAATATACATAAATCAATACCATCATTGTCAGAATAACCGGGGTGATAATGCCTACGCGCTAAATATTATCCATTGTGTTTTTGTGTTTTTTTGGGGGGGTCGGGGGTGTGTGGCCGCCCCAGCACTTGACTTCGCCAACTTCTCATCATGGTCTCTGAATGATCCCTCAAACAACTTCATCCCAGCTAGCCGGTACAGCAGCCATGCAACTCGCTTATTTCCAGTTCGCTTTGCTCTCGAATGTCTCCTGCCAGAACACCCGTCCACAACAACAGTCATCCCATGCCTTGCAGACCTGCATCATAGCGTAGCTGGACACAGCCAAGCGCCACCTACAGATCTCAACAGGGCGTCATGAGAGCAGAAATGGAGATGTCTAGAGTCCGCAGAAGGTGGATGGATGTGGATGGTTACCACATGTTCCAATCGCCGTCCCACCCCCCCCTCCCCCTTCATGCGTCGGCTAAGACTTCAGAGGCTCACCTCCAAGAAAAAACAACAAAGCCCCGCCGGCATAGAGGCATAGAGTTCGTAGTTCGAAAGCAGAATAGAAACCCGACTACATTCCTATGCGGTTCGCCGGATGAGGAAGTTCTCACTTTTACGCAGTTGCAATCGAAAACTACAGTGCGGAAGCCCATGTATCGCGAGCACTGCAAGGCGATTCAAGTGCTACGCTGAGCTACCATCGATTCCATTGGGGGGCTCAGGTGTGGGTGACTAACAGCACTCCTGGGAACTTTTGTGTATAAAGAGGTGAGAAAGCATCCCTTGTGCTTCTTTCAGCCATGACCCCATGCAGTCTTATCAATGTACCTGGCGTGTAACTCTCTGCACTGGTGATTACCCCGACTCCAGACTCCAGGATCAAGAAGCTTGAGCGCTGCTCCGCAGGCGGTGATCACCGCATTGAAGGCAACCGATGGCGGGCGCAGCCTGTCTATAAAGGGCAACATAGGATTCTGCAGACGATGCGCTGTGCCTGCAATCACCATCCACAGCATGGCAAAGCCTTGCAAGATAATGGATTTCGCCGTGGCTTCATGACATTCAAGTTAACAACTTGGACCTATATTGCTTCCAAATCAACTAAGTTGACCCTTCTTTCTGTCGAGGTCGGGCCATGCCCCTCTTGGCAAAGGCTCCTCTGCGCTGACATCGACGTGAGCAAGTCTCTGGCAGCGCGCCACTGGCTCTCCTGAAGATGCTTCGGACTTGATTTTGTGGTGCGCTTCTCAAACTGCGGGAACTTCGGGGTTTGGGTTGAGGACACTCAGCATGTGGCGAGCATTCTGCAACTACCCGCCAGAACTTGTCAGCAGTTGTGGTTAAAGGAAAAGACCGCCAACGAATCAGCAGAAAATCTGACCCCACCTGGATCGCCTTCAGAGAGAGAGAAATAAATGAGAGAAGGAAGACTCATTAAGGACTTTTCGGTTACCCGACACTCTTAACCTGATTCACAGCGAAAACAAGCACACCTTCCCCAACAACCGAGACAAGAAGCATCTTTAAGTACAATCTCTGCTTGGTTCCCGCTGTGCGGGCAATGTCTCTCCAGTCATCGAACTAGCTCACACTTGTCTCACACCCACCCATCCTTTTCGCAGGCGCTGATGGCGCTGCTGAAGCCTGCAATCTGAGCTTCGGGCCTGTAGGACCCTTGGGGGGGTACACGTTAACGTACACCTAGGCTGGATTGCGATTCAAAAGTGTCGTTGCGGCCCAGCGAGTCAAGAGTTTCACCACCGGAGAGGCCACACTCGACTTCTGAGCATAATCCGACGCGTGCTCCGGTAGCACGTTTTCAAATGAATCTTCTATCTTCAGGTCCTCTCCGTCAATCATGCTCAGCATACTTCTACTCGGGGGCTGTTGACTTTCCAGACAAATGCGCTCTCAAACGCTGCAGCACAGCAGCTGATGGCATCAGCCAGGACCGCGACCTGGAACAGCCCCAAGTTGTAGCAGAGAAGCGGCACGTAACTCATGAGGTCTAGTTCACTTCACCACATTGAAGGTTTATCCTCATAATATAGGACAGGGATGTGTGGGGAGCAACGGCTCTCTCCGGTCCTTTGGCAAAGCCGGGGAGTCAGAAGTCTCTGGTGCAGTCAGAGGTGCGGATCAGGTGGCCAATGCTCTGCCATTCGCCATGCCCCGCCATTCCCCCCCCCCCCCCCCGATCCCCCCCCCCCCCCTCGCTCGCGCGCCTCAAAGAGCCGCGCCAACAGATGCAGCGCAAGTTCCCAGCGGCGGCCCTTCTCCTGAGCTGCGGGCCCGGAAGGAACAGACATCTTTCAAAAAGCGAGAGTGAGAGAGAGAGAGAGAGAGAGAGAGAGAGAGAGAGCGCCCTCTTCTCCCCCCCCTCCACCCCCCGTTGGCAGGCCATTCATGTGCACGAAGTCCCGGAGAGTATCTGGGGGTTCCGCATCTTCTTTGGTTTGGGGTGTTGGGTTTTTTGCCAGCCACGCCACGCACGCACTGATGGCACCATTGTGGCTGACGACGCCGGGCCTCTCGGATACTTGCACTGGCCGCGACGTGCAGCTCTCAACCGCAAAGGGCAAGCTCGCCCGTCACGGCTTCGCAGCTGCAGACCCCGAAAAGTGAAGAGCAAAGCCTGTGAAGACACGTAAACCTGAAAAAGTCGAAAGATACTGAAGACTGAACTTCAACCATGCTCGGAAGCGGCCTCACTTTCTCAAGCTCCATGTACGAAAGGAGCCAGACCGCAAGCTCCCAGTCTTCCTTGTCTTGACATTCTAGTCAAGGCAGCTCTACAGCGCTCATCACGAGCTTTATTCCTCAACACATGACAGGAGTCCGTGGGGTCGTAGCAATCATGATCGCGAAAGGGCTCTTCAGTGGCCCCATTTGCGCCGCTCTAACACACAAGCAAGTCCAGGCTCCTGCTTCTCGCAGGCGGTGATGGCGCTGTTAAAGCCTCGGATTGGAAAAAACCGCACATGAGTTCAGAAACTAGCAGGATCCCTCCTGGTTGGTGGGAAGTGCCCCCCACTTCATCGCCCTGCGCGCACGCATTTGGAAAGCTGCCTTCTTGAGATCTTCAGCCTTTATAGGGCCAGAGGAGGGGTGGGGGTGGGATGGAGTTCCAACATGAGCGACGCGCGCGACTTCGAGGGGCCGGGAAGCTGATTTCGTTGGCCCGAAGCCCTGCCGCTGGCATGCGAAACAGCAGTCGGAGGGCTGGCTGCCACTGCGAAGCCTTTTAGGGCTGAGGGTTTAGGGCTGTGGGCTCGTCTGTATATCTCATGCGCACGCGCACTCATGCAGCAATAGGCTATCTTGTACTTGATGAAGCCGATGGCTGTTGAGTGTTGTGTTGTGTGTGTGATGACGTGGGTAGTAAGTACTCTCCAACATAGTGATCTATCGAATAGTGATACCGACATACTATAATGACGCTAATTTCCGGACCCCCCCCCCCCCATAGAAAGAGTAAGGGCCTACTGGCCTACCCTTTAGAAACCGCCGGATGCCAACTGCTCATCGCGCCTTGCCGCAGGCACTGATGGCGGCGTTCCAGCTCACTTCATCGGGCCGCATGTTGCTGCCCTCAAGGGCGGAAAGCAGCCTGATGGGGTCTGGAGTCTGGGGTGTATGGACGATGGGGGCTTTGATATAAAAATGTAGGGAGGGATTCGGCAATCCAAAGGAGTCTATGCAGGGGGGCTATTATGGTGCCCCGGATTAGAAGAACCCCCCACATCCAGGAACGAAGGCGCATCATATGGGCTCCGAGCAGCGCGAGGGCATGTTGCCACTGGCCCGCTTTCCTGACAAACTCTCCCGAGCACCCAAAAGAAAGGGTGCAAAATCACACAAAAGCCTGGCACCACGCCGGCAAAGAGCCGGATTCTGCCGAGCATAAGCTTCAGGATCCACGACATGCCAAGGGAAGCGAACAAAATGACCGTGGATCAGAAGGAGCCGCCGAGCTTCTCAAACGCACTGATCACACCGCTGAAGCTGACAATGTCCGATCGAACCTGGCGAGTGAATGGCCAGCAGAGCGAACGGAATCTTTCTTGCGGACATGAGGTTTCCATGACAAATTGGCACGTGCTTGCAGGAGAACGGTTGGAAGCTCTGTGGGGATGTCGCTTGGCTTGCGAGGTTGAGGGTTTACCGGGTTCCCAACAGGATGCAACACGCTTCAACGAACTTGGACCGAACATAACGGGCACGTGAACAAGGTCAAGACATTAAGAATGAGAGCGAACGGCATTCCCTGCGAGAAGAGTCTGTGTGTCTGAGGGTCAGAAACCCCACCCAACTCCACATATTCACTCTCGGCATTTTAGGTTCAGGGTGTCAGCGCACGTGACCTGCCAAGGCATCCTGTCTAGCATTCTGGAGGTTGACGCCTTGGATTATACGGGGCTCTAGATTAGACGGTCCCTCGTGTAAGGGATCTCGTTGTAACGACTATGACAGCCCTAGCTTGGGAAACACAAAAATGCCAACCTTCAACAACTTCTTCAAAAAAAGCTGCTGAAAGAAGGCCTGGCACGCCCGCATCTCGTCCAGGAGTGAAAGGGCCTTGGCTGTCCAATGTACAGAGGGAGAACTCAACCCCTAAGAAACCCCTTTAAACCCTAAAGCCCTCAACCCAAACAGGGGAACACGCAAGACATCTTTCCAGAGGCCTGCCGGGGGGCAGGCTGCCACTGTGAGCTCTTCTCGCAAGAGCTGATGGTGCAGTTGAAGCCTGGGCTCTACAAGCAGAGGGTTTGGGGTTTTGAGGGTTTGGGGTTTGGGATTTAGGGTTTAGGGATTGGGGTTTAGGGCTTGGGGCTCAGGGCTTCATGGCTTCAAGGCCTCCAAGGTGCTAATCACGTCAGGCGCGACCTTTGCACGCCGCATGTCCTTGCCAAGAGTTTGAAGGGTATCTGCGGCGTGTGGAAGTTGCAATGAGCTCCTAGATACCACGAACTGGGAAGGGCGGGGGGGGGGGGGGGCTCGCGAAAATTCAGGAGCCCCATCCTAAACCCCTAAACCCTTAGGGTTGGTTTGGGGTTGGGGTCCGAGAAAAGCTGCAGCGCCGTCTGCCACTCCCTTGACTTCTCCGCAGCGCTGATGGCGCTGCTGAAAGAGACCCTTGGCAGAGAAGGGGGCTGCAAGGATTAACTGAGGGCTGTTCGAGGCCTTCGCCCTTTACAGCCCAAAAGCCATGACCCCAAATACCTTTAAACGGTCACACACGCACACATCTTCCCTGACCCTATTAACCCTGAACCTTAAACGTTAAAACCTGTGTACCTGGGCACCATGGCACACGTCTGGCGTGACACGATGATGAGGCATCTCGCAGAGCAGCTGTAGAGCCGCCTGCCATTGGGCCGCTTTCCTTCGTAGCGCTCCGGGCTGATGGTTTGGGGTGGGGGTTTCAGGCGTGTAAGGTTGCGCACATACACACGTATCAGCACCCTATGTCGTTCATAAGAATGATGATGATCATCATCATCATAGTCATGATGAAGCAGATGACAATGATGATTGTGACGACGACGATGATTATGACAATTTGCAACATATCCATGAACAACGACCAGATCGCACTCGATTATTCTTGCACTTCAAGTGGGTGAATTCTCAGCACGCTTGCCGGCTGAAGCTCGCAGCAGCGTCCAGGGCGCTGTTCATCAAAATAGCCTGAGTAGGCTGGATGCTGTCCGTATCATCCCTTGTGAGATCAGTTTTAATTGAACCCTGAACCCTGAACCCTAAACGTTGAGCTATAATCAAGGGCCCAGCGGCATTCGGCAGCACCACCTTTGCTCGCATCGCACTCAGCAGCTCTGGTGCAAGGACCCAGCACCTCGGTGTGCACCCTGGGGATCCTCGAAGATGGATGACTTCGTGACTCATGGCGCTGATTGTTCGAAGCCCTGGGAGCAACGAAGACATGTTCATTCGTTAGTGCTTGTGGACATGCAAGCGCAATGTCCATGCCATGGTAACCGAATGCGTGCAGTCCTCAGCGGAGGGGTCATACCTAGGGACCTTAAGGCATATCTAATAGGAAGATTGGGATACGCAACCCCGTCCTTTAAGAATAAGCAATACAAGAAGCCCTTATGACAGATGACGTGCAGCAGCCACAAACGCCACAGCAGCCCCCCCTCCCCCAACGAAGCATAGCGGAGCCACCCTTCTTGAACGCCGGCGTCCACTACACTGCTGTAACCTCGGACACCGAACATCATCACTGGGTTTGTGCAAATCTGAAGAACTTTGAGGCCAAGATCAGAGTCAACACTGTGACGGGAAACAGCGACTGCGAAAAACCACGGGCGGTATGACCGGGTATGACCGGTATGAGAAACCCTTTTATGCCGTCACATGATGATGACTGTGACCTGGCACACATGAAAACACATGAAAAGGTTGAGTTTTCTAACGTTGGGGTGCGCCTCCGCAGGTTGGCAGCACCGCACTGGTTGGCAGGCTCACCCACACAAGCATTGATCGGAAGATTGATGAACCATCGGAGAGATCACTTCTGTCGAGAATGGTCAGTCTGCCAAACCTCTGCAAAAGCCGAAAAGCTTATGATGTCAGGGAGGAGGCTCTCCTGCATCTTTGCCATGAGCCGAAGGGCAACCTATCAGTCTGCGAGGCTCTCGAACCACAACCACCCTCTTCTGCACTGAGCCGCGTAAACTTGTCAGTCGTTGCATGGTGAGGTTCCGCACTCGCAGAGACTGTACGGGCCTGCCAGGCACCGCTTGCGCCGCAGGAGCTGATGCTGGTGTTGAAGCCTCGCTGTGGATCTGTCTTGCACCCGGGGCTTTAGAGGCCTGCTTCGGTTCCGCCGCTTTTGGGGGGCATCCAGGGCGCTTGGCGGCCCTCAGCTTCGATGAGTGCAAATTTAAATTCTGAGCCTCACAACAGTTAGCAAGATGGAGAGCACATTGTATGCACATTTGTACAATGCACTTTCCAAGCCCTCTGTTGAACTGAAAACCCAGGACTACGCAGGGGGTCCGTTTGCCGACCATTCGGCCAAGCAGCTGATAGCATCAGGACGGTCACCCGCATCTGATAACCTTGCGACGCTTCGTGCTGGTTGGAGGCTGTGGCTGCACAATACGAGCGGAGAGACGTGTTCCACGTTTCCCAGGAAGCTAGGAACAACGAAGCCCTTGTTTCGTGGTTGTGGGAGGGGGGTTCAGAAGGGAACCTCAACCCGACATCACCCAAAGCTTCCAGGTAGCATGTCGTCATGTCTGGAGATGCCTCCTCAGCCCTGAACAAGACCCGTGCACTGCTCCAAGACAAAGCGACACAAGGTGAAGCAGAAACAAGTGCACAAATGGGGGTTTACGGAAATAGGGGACTTAAGGAGCCCAATAAGGTACCCGAATTTCGGAAAGCCCAAATTGTGCCACAGAAACAGCCGAAGCGCAAGCTGCCAGTATCCAATTCCAACGGAGCTGCGGATGGCAGTGTTGTACGTGATCCTCAGACACGGTACGACGTGCAAATGTCAGATTCATGGATTTTTGCCCTGAATCAAGCTTCGATTGGGCAGGAGTCCAACTTATCGACGCATCACGCACTTGACGCACTTGACTCACTTGACTGCAGATGGCCAGACCAGCCAAGGGGCACATTCGGGGAAGTCGTATGTGCCTGCATGCCTGCGTATAGGGCATGTTCCTTGTATACCCTCGGTTCGAACGTGCAAACGGCAACTGCGTCAACGCCCAGGTTGCATGATGTGAGAGCCCGCTGTTCCCGAGAATGAGCAAAAGACCATCACGCCTTGTAGGAGTGAGGAGGCGAGACGCCACTGCTCACCCCGCGCGCAAGCCGTCAGGGTGCCTTGGGCATTGCGAGAGCCCTCAACTCGAAAGCGGCAACTCGTCCCCGACAATCGTTGTGCAATGCTGTGGCCCAGGAGCTGTTGTAGGTAATCACGTTTGGGCGCACGAGGCAGGCTGGCATGTCGACCAACACTGCCATCGCCTCTGGCCAGCTGCTGCCTTGACGGAAGACGAGGCTTAGCGCTCAAGGTTTACGCACGAGTCTTGGGCTTTGGGGCTTCTTGTTGAAGGAGTTGAGAAGCATTTAAGGGCTTAGCTAGGGCTAGGGACATGTTTTGGGTTCGCGGGAGACGATACCAGGAACTTCCCCCCCGCCTCGTGCAAGCGAGGCAATAGCGCGGCTGCACTGAATGACGCTCGCGTCTTTCCTCGCCAGGAGGATTCTTGTTCGGGAGTGAATTGCGTCCCCCGTAAACAAAAAAGCACCCCAGCACCAACATCAGATGCCCCTTGTATGTGGAGTATATGTGCGAGGGTGTCTGTCGGTATGGCGAGGACTGTTCACCTGGCACCACTGGCTGCATGAAGTTCCAACTGAGAAGCACGCAACGCGGCATGGGGAATGCAATTCACAAGTGACAGGACGCCAGAAAAAGTGGCCACATCCTGACATCGAAGGTCTTACCCGACGCGGTGGACTGGCTCTTTTCTGCACACCGCGAGGGGGAGGGGGTGTCTCTAGCTCAATGTTTCAGAAGGTCTATACTTTAAGGTGCGTTGGTAATTGTGAGTAGGTTAGACGACGAACTCCAAGAATGTTTACATAGAGGCCGCAGGAACTCAAATCTGAGGATTGGGCCCATCGGATCTGATCTGCATCACCTCTTCCTCTCAAGGCTGCGAAAGGAATGCAATTGGGCGGGCGTTGCACGTGCAACCCCGTGTCTGGCGTCGTCTCTCTCCTGCATAGCAGCCTCTCGCGCCAATTCTGTGGCAAGCCGCTAGGCTGTCGGAGGCATGGCTGGAGATCGCGAGCTATCGGGGGAGTTTTTCTGGGGCCGCGTCTGTCCTGCGAAAGCCCTCACTTTTGCGGAGCGACCTTTGAAGGATTCCATGATAAGAAGTACCATTCTGACCAGAACAGCCCCATGTAAAATCAGGCGCGGCTCGGCTACTAACCGATTCTGCGTCCTTGAACCATGCGCACATCTCTCAGTTCTGTGCTGTACTCGTCCCGGCAGTCCCAGGCCAACTCGCTTGTGTGCCTTTTTTGGGCCCTTGCCGGAGTGTCTAAGGCTAAGGCAGAGGGCATGGAAGCTCAAGAACCGCTGAACCCAGCCGGCCCAGTACAATCTCACCACCAAGAACTAGCTCGAAACACTGGGCCATCGGAGTAGGTCTCGGCTTCGCAACTTAGTAACTTTGAGACTTAGGGTTCAGGGCTTCGGATATGAGAGGTGTTTAGGGAAGCTGGAACATCCTCCTTCAATCCCCATGCCCGCTGTCCGGTCGCCCTCCGCCAGGCCATAGCCTCCCTCACTGCACCAAATTCCTCGAGGCTGGCAGCCTTAGGCAAGGCAGTGCAATGATTGAACCCCTCATCTACGATCACGCTGGCTTGCAAAAAGCAAGACCTACACAAGGTGTTGAACATCTGTGTGGTGTGGTCTCGGGACAGTGGAAGAGGGCCAGATATCTGGGCCAGCCCTTCGCCACTGCAACTAGCATAACTACCCCAGCAAACCATCCACTTAAGCTCTGATTGAACCCTTCCGAAACTCCGAAAATCCTGCGCAGCCATTTTGTCCACACCAGACATTCGGCGTTCTGCACCTTTGGCGCGTGCACTTCGATTACGCAGCTGTAGTTCCACAACTGCAACGCAATGGAGGATACTACGCAAGCAGCGCGAGCCTTGCTTTGCAAGGGCTCGTCCTCCAAGACCTACTCATAAGAATGGCATGCAGATGGTAGTCGCCGAAGACCACACTACTTGCAAACCAGATTCACCATGTGCTGCTGGCTTCGATCGCGTGGGATCATGTCCTCAATCAGATGCGTCGCCCTACAAAAGGGGCAAGGCGAGGGTCTTGAAGTATGCACTAAGAGGCTGACTTGCATACACGAACCTCAGCCCCTGACAGGTGGACAAAAGAGTGCGGCCGAGCATCATGCTCCTTGAGGAACCCAGAAACCTTGTGAACAAACACCGGGCAGGTGCGGTTCAGCTCGTTCATGCTGACCCTGCAAGCAGCAAAGATCGCAAGAGATGTGCAATCAGAGACTGATGGGTTGAACAGTTGACCAAGGCAAGAATGGAGAGCCGAATCACAGTTTATAGACCCCGGCACTCATTCTCACGAAACCAAAGATCGAATCAACTCTCGTCACATTACACAATTACACATCCCATTCCACTCGCACGGCACACATGAAGGCTGGAGGATGCTGCAGTGATCCTGATATTTCTGGGGTGTTTCTGAGGCTTCTTCTCGTCGGACAGGACTTCGCAGGTGCGGACGGTTCATCAGAGCATGCAGCATGTTGACGGCATGACAGAGGTCATGCAGGTTTCATGAACCCTGGGTTAACAAGTTTTCATGAGTTCACTCTGCTTGAGTTTTCGGGCCTCCACTCTTCTACTCGAGTTATGGCAGGGGAGTTTTTGGACAGCTGCCAAGCTCAGGCTCACAAGTATCCCGGCCTCAAAACAGGAACATGCATCTTCTGCACGTTCTGGAGGTGCTCATCGATTTTCCTATGAGAGATTCGACTTTTTACCGAGTTGAAGCGGGGCCAGAGGGGCAGCCCAGGATCTTAGAGCGCCAGGTCTTGCAGGTCGAAGCCCTCTGCGCGGCTTTCATTCAGGGTGTATCGTGCTTATAGACATTTCAAGGCTTTCAGAAAGCTTTAATTTCTTTTAGGGCTTAAGAGGGTTTATGGGATTCGAAAATCCTTTTGGGGGGGCATCTGGGCTTCTGAGCTGAAGCAATCTGGGTCGCCTCTCAAACTCGCGCTGGCTCTTCTTCGACTCCGCAAGACCATGCCTCCGGTAGCTCTCACAACGCACAGTCCATGCAGGGTTTCGGGTTCGGGTTTAGCGTCTAGAAACATCACACTGACTTCCTTTCCCTACAAACCCCCAAAAGCCGGCCGGCTGCAAAAGGCCCCAAAGCCCCCTTAACAAGCGCCGGGGCTGCTTGAAGAGCCAAGGAAATCTTCGGAAGATGGATTCTGCTCGGTCTTCTGGATCCTCAGAGGCCAGGGAGGGCGAGGGAGGGGCCCGGAAGCCCATCTCCTCAAGTAAACAAAAGCCGTAAGATGGGCCTTGCAGGACTCCAGACCCAAGATGCCAGAGAGGTCTTAGACTCAGACTCAAGTCTATGGCACAGATCTCACACTTCAAGCTTCTAAGCTTGAAGCCCAGGAGTCAGGAGAGGACTGGAGACAAGGTGCGCGGTCATACTTGATCACCGCCTTTCTCGAGACACCAGCCTCATGCAGCATCTGGTACAGCCTGGACGGGGCGTTTCCTCTGCAGAGGCTAGATGATCCCGGAATCCCGAAAGGTGCACGAGCCATCTGAATCCCCGGAGCTTTGTGAGGTCGTAGATCTTGTCGGTAGGCTCTCTGTTCTGGAATCCAGTCGGAAAGCCTCAGCTGGAAAGCTCAATGTTTCAGGGGAATGCTGGGTTTCACGAGGCTTCGATGTTGAGGTGCTTCTGGGAAGGTTGACGCACACGGGGCACACCGGGCCCGGGTTGGGACGGGTTGTGAAGCCGTAATGCCAGCTCGGCTGCTGTACTCCTGCTGCAGCAAGGTGTTGTGCTTGTAATTCCTCAACGCGGTCTTGAAGCGGTGGGGGTCATGCGCCTTGGCTGGTGAACTTAGGAAATAAATGCTTGCGGAGATGCGCCCACGTCTTCCCTGCGCATCTCTCACAGTGTCAATGCACGCACTACACCCAACTTCTACTGGGCATAAACCCTTCCGGCAGCTGATAGCTCAACGCAAATATTGAGTTACAACAATCTGTATGCCGGTGCACGTATGCATACGTACACGTGATCAGGCATGCTCCAAATAGCATTCCCCCTCTAGTGGTGCCGCGGTGAGTGTTGGCATTTAAGGGGTTTTCGAAGTTTTTTTTGCTCAAAGTGTTCGTCTAATACGCGCGCGAATGTGAGGCCGGGAAAAAGTCGCTGTGGAGGGCGGGGACGTGGTAAGGGGCTATGAGGTGCACTTGTACATCCACTAAGATTGACGAAAGTTTAAGCCTTGCATCTTACTATAGCCTTCATCAAAGTCAAAAGCTCGTCAACTCTCCGTTCCCGACCTCACTCGCTATTCTGTAATTCCAAAGTCTTGTGTCCCCCATGGGATCAAGAGCCGCGGCACTCGCACAATGCAACATGCCTTTGCAAATTCAATGCCGATGTGATGTTGCGTCATGTTGCGTCTGGGAAACACCTGACACTCTAATGTTGCGCATTTCGCATCCGCTTCGACGCACATACGCCCAGCCGTCTCTGCCTCCCTGAGCCCGCAAGGGCCACAGCGTCTTTGCCAAGCCGCCAACTTGCGACCGCAAACTTGCATTGTGCGTGTTGAACTTTTGAAATGGATGTCGCAGCAAGTTTCGAGCAACCCTGCCAAACTCAAACTTTCCAAGTGCAGCAATGGATCATTTCTGTGCACTCAGGTTAGTACGGACTTTCAGCTTGCGCTTCAGGTGAGCCCTTTACGCCTTGAATCTTCTAAAACGCCGTCCTGCCGGCAACTTGTCTGCCAAATGAAGCCCTTGGAATCTACAGGTCACCTGGAACAGAGAGTCCTGGGGTCGCTCGAACGGTTCATCGGCTGTAATCGCACCACATGGTGTGCCATGGTGTGCCCTTTTTGAAAGGCCCAGCATCCCCTGAGGGCTATAGTGCAGGAATCGCTACGGGCCGAGTTCGGGTACAGGGCCGGTCGTGGGTGCTGCCGCACCCCGTGCAACGGGAGGCAGGCCATCAAAGTTGCTTAAATGCGACAGCCAAGCCTGTCGTGCCGGGCTTTAATTGTAAACGCTTGCGCGCGCCGCCTCGGCAGCCGGGCCGGCCCCAGGACAGGAAAGGAGGAAAGAGGGTTTCGCAAAAAAGGGAGGAAAGGGGGGGGGGGGGGGTTGGGGGGGGGTGGGGGGGGGGGGGGGGGGGGGGGGGGGGGGGGGGGTGGGGGGGGGTGGGGGGGTGGGGGTGGGGGTGGGGGGGGGGGGGGTTTTTTGAGGCACTCCCCCTGTAGGAGCCACCGAAAGGCGGGACCCTCACACGGCACCGGTTTGCAGCTCCTCCAAGCGATTGGGGGGGGTCCCACAGGGGGGGGGGGGGGGGGGGTGGCGTCAGAAAATTTGGCACACGGCTTGTTCCAGACGCTTCTCGGCAGGAAGTCGAGGCGAATAAGGAGGGATTTAGGGCGGTAGGGGTCGATACCAGGGGATGGGGCGGGGGTGATACCAGGGTGTGGGGGATACCAAGGCGCGAACCGGGATCATCTGCGCGCACACATGTGCACGAAGAAAACAAACATGTGCTGATATGTTGATTTGCACCCAGGCTATCAACTGCCATCTGCGTCCGAAGCTCGAGGAATGCCATCAGGAGCTGACCTGCACCATGACTGAAAGACCAAACCAACTCGTACTCCTTCCTTAAAGGGGCACGTCGGGGGGTCGAATCTGCCACGCCCGCAAAAGTATCCCGAACTACTCTGCACTCCCCTCCCACCTCGCCTGACTCCTCACCATCGAACATGAAGACCTGGCTTTCGGCCTCATCCTGTGTCTCATCTTCGGTCTCGTTCAGCACGGTGAACGACTGCGCTCGGTGCTCGGATATCCTGAGGGCCCAGGTGCACATCTCGGCTCTGTCTCAGATGCACTCGAATCTCAGCGTGCGCAACCTGCAACCGGCGCTTGTAAGCATCTTAGCAGCTGGGCAGCCTTGTGTGATCGTCATGCCCACCGCCAATGCCTAAGGCAAGACTCACAAAGAAGCTATGAGAAAAGCTGCTGACACCGAAGACCATCTTTCTTCAGGGTAAGCATTTGGCCACTGACATTTACTGTATGGTTCGCCTACCTTGCTATCTCACAGTTTTGGGGACCGCCAGCTTTGGTGCCTCTGTTTAAGAGTGTGCTGGCCCAAGCGCACTGAGGGGCACAAAGAAAGGGACCAGGGAGAAGTCCTGGTACCCCGCTTGGACAAGGCGGCCTTCAGGGGACCTTCCGGACAAGCCTCGAGCAAGGAAGGCTCACAAGAAGACTCATAAGGAAGTTCCTCAACAAAAGAGCACCGAAAAAGGAGGGCCAGGCCGAGGAAAGGAAGAAGGTTGACCCGGAAGCACTTTCCCTGGGAGGAGAGCGACGGAACGGCCCGACCAAGGCTCTCAGCCATGCTGTTCACCCTACACTTCCTGCCATCCGCACCTTCCGACTTGCTTTCAGTATCATCTGATCTTTCCTACCAGTAGCTTTTTTTTATGTATGGATTATTTTCCGATGGTGGGGCCAGGGCTGCTCCAGGCGTCCCATGGGCGGATGGCCGATTAAGCGGGTCATTTCCCACCTTCTCGCAATGTACCACAGGGTCTCCCTCCATTTTCACTCACGTGCACAGGTCACAGTTCTGCACCTGTCCCAAAGCAAAGCAAGACCCTGGCCCTGCCAAATGCCAGGCCACCTAGAATCTCGTGGATAGCAGGAGTCAGCGAGTGATGGCCAGATCCTCAGGGCAGTTCTCTTTCATAGTGTGTCCATGCTTGGGTACCCCGAATATACAGAGCTCCTCATATCGGGCTCTATCATATTGCCCTTAAAATGGACCATAACTGGCATATATGAGTTATGGGAAGTTTGCTGGTTCAGGCTTGTCTGGAGTCCTTCATTGCCGATGAGAGAAAGGAATCGAAGATGCGTCACCTGCAGCTGCCAAAAAAGATTGGGGAGACAAACTCGGTTTAAGGTTTAGGACTAGGGTAAATGGCCTAGGATGTCGGGCAAGGCATCTAGTAACACACTGAGACATAACTGGGAGATGCCGCATCCTCCGCATCCCATAACTCAATTTGACCCCAGCGCACCATCGCAAACGCACATAGAACCAATTCCCGCCGATGACAAGACAAGACACCGGCCGCGAGGCATGATCTCCTGCCAGAGGCAGATCGCGCATGACACCCTAAAGCCCGAGAGGCCCCAAACTCGAAACCACTCGCAGGGCAGGCATATTGAGGACAATGAGGCTTCGGAGACTTGGGATCTTTCTCAGAGGTTCCTCTGTGAATCAGCGCTCGGACCGGCCAAGCCAGAAACACCACCAGCGACAGCAGCTTCATGGTCCCGTGATAGGAATACGTACTAGTATGGGATACAGTTCGCTATTGGATCATGTCTTGAGCCAGAGAGGGTTTGCGGAGATGGGCGCGGTTCCAGAGCCCAACGCTGGCATCCAGGGAGGAATCTGCACAACCCTCACTGGGTGAGGTTTGTGTGGGATGCAGATTGCCTACCTGTTCACTGAGCGCCGCGACCTCAATTGGATCACGAAAAGATTCCCGAAGAGACGTGCAGCCTGGCACCAGGGCGAAACAGAACCAGCTCCCAGCACAGGGGGCCTCTGGTCGGCAAGTATCGGGCTTGAAGTAGGCTCCAAAGCCCTCCTGACCCTGTTAAACCCTGTTCAACACTGTCAAGCCCTACGAACCCTACAAACCCTACAAACCCTATTTGACCCCATTGACCCGACTGACCCTATCAACCCGAAACCCACACGAGTAGAAAGCGGGCTCTGGGGCCTTGGTATGCCCTTCTCCGGGTCGGTCGCCATGTGTCTGCCCTGGCAACGTGACCAGACCCGCTTAGGGCTCAGGGTTTTGGAGATCCCCCTTCAGAAGGACACCAACCTCCCCACCCCCCCCCCCAAAAAAAAAAAAACAAAGAATAATAAACTTCGGAAACCCCTATATTGGATTCTTAAGGCTTGGGCTTTGAAGGCCTAACTTGAAGTGTGTCTGCTCCGCCAACTGGTGTGAGAGCGAACGAGCAAGCTGGTGCTGGAGGCCCCGCGTCGGCATCTTTATATACTTCGGGACTCACGGGGCCCCAAAGTTGGAGGAGAAACTGGCAGTTGTTGTTCATGGCCGCGTCTCTTCGTCCGCCAGCTCTGGACAGCGGCGCAGCACAGCACGTGCGCGGTGAACGCGAATAGTCACGCAATGCTCTTGCAGGGCTGAGGCAGGTTAGGAATGATTGGGGCTTGAGGTCCATAGGGCCTCTAGGGGTGTTTAGTTCTGGGCTGGTTCGCTCTCGATTCGCAAATTTCGGGATGCGCCTGTCGTTGGTGCGGAGGAGTCACCGTCCGGCTTTCCACGTCCCAAGCGAGGATATTCCTGGCCGGGCCGAGGCTTCGAAAGTCTCAGATCGTATAGGGTTCACAGGCTCATCCGAAGCTCCTTCAGCAATCCCTAGACCCAGCAATAATTAACAACCTGCTTGGATCTGTAATCCGTGGCAGGCACTGGCTCCGCTGAGGCGGGCGCCCGTGCCCGTTTCGGTTGCGATATGAGAAGACCTCTCTCTGCTGGTCCGCCTAGGGCTGAAGGGGTTCGGGTCACAAGTCCTCACCATCGAACCTGCAAGTGAAAGCCAGCGAACACTTGAGGAACTGAACCCCAACAAGAAAACCCTCCGCGAAAGCCTCGACCTTGCGCATGCCTGCCAATCCTTTTAGACCCCCAGTCGCCACTCATATGAAACCTTCTAGAGCATACCCACAAATAGTTTGCGGGCTACAACGGAAAAATCTCTGATCTAAAGGGACAAGATTTCTGAGATGAATGCAGAGTTTAGAGGACAGGCCTCACTTGAGATGCTCTGTGCTGCAGAGGTGACACCTCGGCAGGGCTGTAGGGATGCTGACCGACGATTTGGCTGTGGCGTTTTAGGGCTCAAAACGGACCTCCCTTGCCCTGCAGTGCACTTTGCCTTTCGCGGCAGATGGTTGTTTAGCTTCGTCGTTATTGTTGACCTCTCATCTTCACTTGGAGATTCTCACACTGTCCTCCAGCATTTCAATCCCTTAAGGCCTTGTGTTGGAGCGGCTTCGGCTGCAATGATGCTACTCTTGCAGTCCTTTGTCTGGAACCTCTGTGTGAAGACTGGACTTGACATCTCCCAAGAAATCACGGCTTAAATTCTGCACAAGTAATAACAGGCCAACAATCCAACGTTGCTTCACGCTAGAGAAGTCAGTGGACCCTCTCCATAACTGCTGCGGCTGAGGAAGGCCCGCTGGCTCACTGCGCATCCCCAAACCCTGATACGCAAGGGCGTGGGGAGGCTTCTTCTTCTCAAGTAAGATCCCTGCTTTTCAACGACGCTCGAGTCTTGAGGTTCATCGCTCCGGATGAGTGGAGCAACAGTGGAGCAACTGAGACTCTGGCTTACAGCATCTGCATCTGGCCGCGGGTGCGCCCTGAAGAAATCTGGCTTGGAGGCTAAGTGGGGGGGGGCGGGGGCTTGGAGTAGGCGGGGGTGGACCGGGGGGCAGGTGGGCGGTAACTTGCCAGACTCTGTCGGACGCACTTCATCGGTAGAGTCGTTCATCTTGCGAGGGTCGGCCAAGCAGGAACCCTGAACCCTTAACCTTGTAGCGACTCACGTGCTTAGGCATGGGCCGTTGCAAAGGATGCGCAATCTTCCGACCAAAGATGTCCACCTGAGGTTTCGGGGGTGTAGGGCGGTTTAGATGCGAGTCTGGTCATAGATGCGATTGCCTGCAGCAATAGCTCAAGGCAACACAAACTCTAGAACTTTCACCTGCTTGCACATCAACCTGTTTTCCTACGACCTGTGCAGGATGCCACCAAAGGCAACAAAGACATTGACAGCAACTGACCGCAACATACTGCAACATGCCCGTTCAAGCACCTTCGGCGCTTGATAGTGCATGTCGACAGACGTTGGCAAAGAGTCAACCCATGAGTCAATGAGCCCCCAAGATAGCACAGAAACATGACAGGGACCTCCTGCACCGGCGAAGTAGCAGAACCAGCACCCGGACTGCCACGGCCCTGGCAGATATGTGGCGTTCGGAACAGGCGTTCAAACTCCCCCGATGCCGAAACCCTCAAACCCTGAACGAGTGCTGGACCCACGAATCCGAATCCCCCCCCCCCTCCCCCCACAGTACGTGATGAAAACGCCCTTGCGCAAGCTGATAATGCCAGCTCACAGCTATTGACAGCACTCCCCTCTGGGTCCGAACCTCCTCTTGCAAAGTTGAGTCTTCGGGCAGGCGTCCTGGCCAAAACATGTCTGCTATAGGACAAAATTGGGGCCTACTCAGCTCGGAGGCTGCACGCTGGCGGTGCATGACCAGAGCTGACATGCTGGTCCCACGCACCTAGCTACCAACTGTTACTGTGACCCTGCACTGATCTTTACAACTCTGTGGCGGTGGCGTGCAAAGAACCCTGGGACATTGGTGGAAACGGTTTTTTATGGTTGTTTCTTCACATCCTTTTGCCTGAAAAAGCTACCCACCAAGCTCACTCCCTGGGCCTACCTGACACCCCCAACCCTAAACCCAACAAATCAGGAAGCCTTACAATCCCCAAATTGTTCGCTGTAGCAGTATAGGCGACAGGTCCAAGTTCTACAAATGGGGACACCTTGAACCAGACTTGAACCAGTCCAGCGCCCCAAAAGTCGAAGTGCTAGCTTTTCAACAAAGAGTCTCAGTCTCCCTAAAACCCTGCACCTTAAACCCCTCAATCCCGGGCAGGAAGGCCCAGATTCGCTCGCGGAGGGCCCTTTGGCCTTTGGAAGTCTTTGCAAAGAGCCGCTGGGGGGGTTGAGTGCTCCACCTTTCAGGGTTCAGGGTTCTAAGGGCTTCAGGGCTCTAAAGGCTTCAGGGCTTAAGGGCTTACGGGTAGACGGACAGCAGGACGGCACGCTCTGCTGCTAAACGAAGGAACGCTGACCTGCTTGGCTGTCGAGCACCCGCTCTACTCTTCTTGCGCAGCTGCCAAGCAATCGGAAAGCAGTTCGTGCCCTCCTCAGGCTAGCGACGTAGAGCACAACCTCTCCCCAAGAAACAGCACCCGGGCTGCAGACAGGACTGCGTTCTCGGTTGGCACGTTGAAGTGCCTCTCACTGCAAGTCACGACGCGCACCCGACAGGGTGTGCAGCGCTTGCATGCTCATGCTTTAAAGTACCTTGGAGTCTCGATGGTGATATATTCGTGTGGTGCGGGGGGGGGGGGGGTGTTCGGAATCCGGAAAACCTCGAGAGACACATGTATGTTGCAACATCTTTTCACAAGGGACTCACAAACTCCACTGAAAAAAACCAAACACAAAGGCCGCCTCAGGTCCCAATGTTTCGGATTTATGCTGCTGTGGCTGTCCCCGAATTGTTCTTATTCGCGGACTACTCCTTCTGAAACCACTGCAACCATGAGCTCCTGAGGCCATTGCGCTTTTGTCTACAATTTGCAACGACATGAGACAACATGAAACAATTTCCACTGAACGTCAACACCTACACATAAAACAAGAACAACAACTATGAACAATGCAATACCGAAATTTGAAACGATCCTCTACTACTTGGAAACAAACCCAACTAAACCCCGTGCTATGAAAACCCTCGTCGCAACCAACTGACCTATTATTCGGATTTTACTTTACACCCTCGTGCCGACTTCCCTAAACCCGATAATTAGACCCCCAAACACTATAAACCCTTTAGATCCTGAAAGCCCTTTAGGCCCCAAACCCTGAACCCCAAAGAAGCCGAGCTAAACTTCAGGGCCTGCGCCCGCCCCGCGAAGTCTTCTCCACCCCTTGCCAATGCCAATGCTACGGTGGGAGGCTCAGGGGAGCATGGGGCTTATTGCATCTCCTCAACCCTAAGCCATCCTTAGCCCTAAACGCTCACCGTCAGGCCCTATAAGTGCAAACAAAAGCCTTCTGCATTGAAAGGGAAATAAATCCAGAAGGACAAATCCAGAGGCATCCAAACATGCTCGTATGTGAAAGGCCTAGCGAAGGGCGGCCAGCAGCGGAAGCCTGATCAGCAGGTGACGCGTGCATTTTGACCAGACTTACCTCGTAATTCTTATCGCTGATGCACTCAGGTATTCCAAGCCCTCAACACGCCAATGATTACCCAAAGCCACTGCCGCTCCCTGTAGGCGGGCCCCTGCCTCTGTCCCAGCTTCGCTTGGCTCGTAAGCGGACCTGTCTGTTGGCCCCTCAACTAGCATCTGCCAGCCTATAAAATCTCGAAGAACAGCTGCCACGCCCTAGAGTTGGGAGGGGTGTCTACAAGCATCACGACTTCCGGGCCTCTGTGTTTGAGGCTTGAGGCTAGCCTTCTTGGGAGCCGCTGCCGCTGCTGAGCAAGAAACAAGGATTGTTAAGTTCGAAGGAGGAAGGCTTTCCCCCAGCGTTCGCCTACGGGCTATGTTCCGGCCCAAGCTTCAGGAGTCTTGGGTGGGGGGCTGGGGTGGGGGAGGCGGGGGCAGGAGAGGCTGTTCAACTACGAAAAAGCATTGACCCACAGATGACTGCTGCATGAGCAGCGTACCCTGCATAAGAGCTGGCCGCGTAGAGGCAAGAGCCGCCAGTCTGCCTCAGGATACATTGGATACATGCCATATCTAGGGTTGTTCAAAGCGGGGAGCCCTGTGGGGGATAGGGGTTTAGGGATAAGGCTGATGCTTGGGGATTGGGGTTTAGGGGCTTCGGGCCACAAAACCCCCCGACTCTTCTGTTCCTGTACGATTGGAAGTTCTTCCTGGTGTTGTTGGTGAAGGATGAGTCTTGTGCACTGATGCACCGGGCTGCTCACTCACTCGCTCGCGCTGCCGACCACATTCAACAGCTCACTCTCTCGCACTCTCCCGCTCCCGCTCCCTCCTCGGCAGTCTGTTGACCAACAGCCTTTCTCGCTGGTGCAACGGGGCAGATGCTGCTGCCAATGGCAGCGATGGTGCATTTCGTGAAGTTCAGTGCTGAGCCCACGATGCAAAACCCTGAACCCCAATCGAAACTGGACCTGGCCTGGCGACCGTGTTGTGCGCATCACGGCGCAGAGCTGACATCAACTGGCAGGCACGCGCAACAGTGTGGGGGTCAAGAGGCCCTTTCAGCAGGGCATGGGACGAGGATGCAACGACTGCCGCAACATGCGAAGTGCTCCAGTGGCTCACTCGGGCCCCCCGGAACAGTCTCATCACTACGGTAACTACGGTCACGAGAGAATGGTAACGCAGCTGGAGAGGGGTGGAGGGGAGTTGATTTTAGGGAGGGGGTCCATCCGGCAATTCTCCAACCATTCGGGGGGGGGAGGGGGGGGGGGGGGCAGGGGAGGGGGGGGGGGGAGGGGGGGGGGGGGAGGGCGGGGGGCACGGGGGGGGGGGCCTAGTCTAGAGCACTCTCACAACTCGCCCAAGGCACCGAAGCAAACTTCATGGTGCGCGCCGACAGATGCTTGTTGATCAGTCGAAGGAACCTGTGAGATCACGAGAGGGAACCCTCATATTTCACTCTTGGAAGCTGCAACAGCAGCACTTCTTACTGAACAGCCTCAGGGATGAATACGGTCTGAGCCGCAGAAGTACATAAGGTGTCGTGCTGGCAAGGCTTCCATATATTCAGATATAGAGTTTCGTAACCCCTTAATATAGTCCACCAAGAAGCCGCATAAGAAGGACCCAAATAAGGTACCCCTAATATCGTAAACCCCTTTAAGTCCACCACTGAGATGCAGGCTCACTCTCGGGATGACTGACGTCCACGCCTGCATCCGGAGCAACAAGCCCTATACGCCCTATAAACCCCATCAAACCCTACGAATCCAATAAACCCTTTCATTATAAACCCTGTAAACCCTAGAAACCTTGTTGAAAACCCCTTCAGCCCTAAACATTCTAGAAAGTGCCTGAGCCCTAAATGGGTGCTGGTGCACTTGGGCGGGGGTGGAAGCCCAGATGAGAAATCAGAACACTGAGGTGTGCGACTCAACAGTGGTACTTCGCAGGGAATCTGGGAATTTTGGGCGACTTTTTGGGTTTAGGATTTAGGGTTGAGTCTTTTGAAGGGGGGGGGGGGATAGAAAGTACTTACACGTAACCCCAGCCCCCTCACTCCATGCCTGTGCCCAGAAGCCGCTGCATGTGCCCCTGCAGTCTCAGACAAGTCGAGAAAACTAAAGTGCGGGGGCCCCGGTGAGCAAAGTTGCACCTTCAAATGCCGGGAATGAAAGGAAGCGGCGGATGAGACCTGAAACCCCCTGAACCGTTCCTGAGCCCGGAAAGAAGGCTCAGTGGCACCTGGAAGGCCGGATTGGTCAACTGGTTGCAGTCCTTGGCATGCATGGGGGGCTCAACGGTTATCAAAAACCACGGTGCAACCAAACCGCTCTGGTTAGGGAGGACGAAAGGACACATGCCTCCTCCACTCACGAGAACGTCACTGGGCACGAGTACCCGCCTAACCCGCCGAGAATCCATTGCTGTTTCACGCCTAACACCAGCCAGATCTTTCAAAATCACTGAATTATCTTAATTAGGGAGTCTACCATCAACCATAATAACCAGAATACCCTTTCTGACCCCAGGAATATGCCTCATGCAGGCATAAATCTAGACAACCGGCTGTCGAGTCATCCATTTGCCGCGCTCTCAGTTTTCCAGAACCATATAGGGGGCCCTTGTATTGCCCCTTTGGGTCCCAAGACAGTTTCTGGAGCTTTGGAGGGTTCCTTGGCATTGCTCGTTTGAGGTGCCGCTGGCCGCTGCCCCTCTCAACAACACGGAGCTCAGGCAGCAACCCACTGGAAGAACAGGCGCTGGATTGAAGGACCGCACCTGCTTTCAGCGTTGTGAGTTGAGCGCATCCCAGGCGGGCTCGTGCGTATAAAGCCCGCCCTGAACGGATTGAGTACGCAGCTATGAAGATCCCGTCTAAGGCCTGCAGACAATGGGTGAACAGCCCTCAGTGATGCCAAGCAGGAGCAGTGCCTTTGCCAGAAGGCCTCGTCCACCACCTTGACCAGAACTTAAGCTCTGGAAGGCAGAAGAGGGGAGAGTGTTGCGCTGCGGCGTGCTGCAACTGCTCGCCGCTCGTCTGTACATCACAAGGCATAATCTCAGCGACTCAGCGACTCTCAGCCCTATAAGATGCCAAATGCAGGCAAGCGCAGCCCCCGATAAGCACGTTAGCCTCACCTCCACCTGCGCATAGCCGCCATAGCCGCCTTGGGCCATTGGAAACGCCTGGGGCGTTCGGATGAATCGGATGAACAGGCTCAAACCTTGTCCTGCTTCTGCTGATCGGAGTCCCAACCTCAAACATCAACCTGAAGGCCCGGCCCTACTCACAGCTGATCGCTTCTCCCTAAACAGGGACCATGTAGGCCAACCCCCCCCCCCCTTCCAACACACCCAGATGGCAGGTGCCCGAACCTCCTTGGTGGGAGTCGCTGCTCTGGGTGAAGGCTGCATGGAAGGAGGCCTCCGGACTGCGAAGCTCTGGCGCGGGGTTGACCCGAAGCCCCAAAAACCCTGAGGAAACCCTAGAAAGCAGGAGTCTTTTTTGAAGTCAGGCACTAGGATTTGGGGTGCAGTGAAGGGTGTTGGGATGCTGGATTCGGTACTGATCAAAGTTTGGAGGTTTTCTTGAGGCCCCGTTTGTTGGTGGCCAGGCGACTCAACACGTATCCCCTGTCCAGCCTCCCGGCAGACACATTGCGCAAGTCGGCAGCCCTGAGCGCGAAAAATCAAGTTCTGGCCAACCAAATGCACTTCCCCACAGCCTGTGACCCTGATCCGAGGCGCCTGTCTTCAGTTGGGCTGAGGCCCGAAGGCGATGTCGGAAATGGGAAGTGCGTGCTTCCTGCAGCTATGGGGCTTCCCCCCCCCCGCGCAAACAAAAAAAACAAAACAATGCTCGGGTGTCCTCGGCCCATCTCCGCCGTGTCCTCTGCGATGCTCATGTGAATGTCTCTTTCTCTGTAGGTCACTTCACAAGGGGGGTTCAAGGGTTCAGGATCTATACAGACCAAATGCCTTCCATATCGGGGGGTAGAGGGTTTAGAATGTTGGGGCTTCTGCGGGGCTTCTTGGACCCAGGAGAGGGTGGGGGAGCTGACAGAAGCTGGCTGAGCACTTGCCTTGCTCAGCGTCGGCTCGTTCACTCGACCGTTGCCCCCCCGCCCCCCCGCCCGTGACGCAGTGCTGTCTCCGAGCACATGAAGCGACTGCTGTCTCTTACTTCAACAACCAAGGGTGCGCTCTCGGTGCTGTCTACCACTTCCTTGCTGTTGACACTTCCCATCCTCTGCTTGCGCTTGATGCTGGGAGATGCTCAGACCGAACTAACGGAAGCTCAAAAACGCCCGTAAGTTTAATCTTGTATAGGGCTTGATGGATAGCGATGCTCCACCCATTCTTCTTCTGTACACATAAAGGCCGTCTCTCGCAAAGGGAGCCCGACCACGTTCCGACTCTCTCTCCTTTCTATCGTGCTTTTCTCTCTGTGACTCTTACCTCCTTGTCCCACTCCCGGTCCCAGTCCTACCCGTCCTCCTACTACTACTGCTACTCCTACTACTTCTACTCCTACTCCGACGCCACCTCCTGCTTCTACCCCAACTGCCAATTTCTTCTTTGCCAATAAACAAACTTTGACTTCTGCTTCTTGTTCTTCTTCGACTGCTTGGACTTCTGGCTCGCTTTGTTCTTCTCCTCCTCCCCACATGTCACATGTGTGAGGCGTCGCCGCCCTCCGCGCTCTGGGCGCGCCCAGGTACACACGCTATCAGAGTGAGACTGAGCGAAGGAGAGTCGGACTCTCGTGACACGCTGAGCAAGACTTCAAGAATTCCCCCGTTAGCCCCCATGCGAGAGTCTTCTTCTTCTGCCCAGCGAATCTCTCTCTCTGTTTCTGCTTCTCCTTCTTCTTCTTCTTCTTCTTCTTCTTCTTCTTCTTCTTCTGCTTCTGCTTTTGCTTCTTCTTTTTCTTCTTCTTCTGCGCACTTTAGGGTCCCCCCCCCCCCCCCCGTGGAGGAGACCCGGCCGCGACAGCCAAGTGGGTCTCTGCCTTTTTCTCGCTCTCTCTCTCTCTCTCTCGCGCGCTCTCTCTCGCGCTCTCTCTCTCTCTCTCTCTCTCTTCCTTGCAGCGCACGTGCCCCCGTTAGGAACCCCCCCAAGCCCCAGGCTGCGTGCTCCACTGAGTCTGTTGGTGTGTGACACAGGTGCCTCCCTCTCTCTCCCTCCCTTGCATTCTGTCATTGAACTTGAAAGTTTACGCACCACGCGCGCCCTGAATGGAGTCGTCGCTGACCATCTCTGCACAGGGCACAGGATCACAATCGATTCCCCCCCTTTCTTCATGCATCGCCACAATGTGCAGACCCCGGCTAAAGAACACTCAGAGGCCCCACTACAAAAGAAGGAGAAAAGAAGAGGATCCACCGGGCAGGTCCGGATATCCGGAGGCAGTCTGCGGGTCATCGTCGCCGTCTCTGTCTGGGGGCATAGGACCTAAGGAATGTGGGCGGAAGTTTACGGCTTACAGAGTTACAAGTAGGGTGAGGACCTGTGTCCAGAAGAAGGCTTCAAGGGACCCTAGACTCATCACACTTCCCGACAATCTGAAGCAGCAAATCCCAATCTGAAGCAGCAAATCCCGATAATGCTTGCGAAAACTCCAGAAGGGATCAAAGGCAAACTGCAACAGACCCTTCACTACAGTAGACCCTACTAATCCTCAAAAGTACGGCACTTCTGCATCTCTGATGTTAGGCTGAGCCAGGGAAAGCTGGGGGAAGTTTGTGGGAGCATGCACTCAAGCGTTTAGGTGATCGAGTTTCGTTTTTATTCTTTGGGCTTAGACGTTTGGGTGAAACCAGGATACCAAGAGGTATGGTATGCCGCTGGGGGCCTCCTCCTGCTGTGCCATTGCCCCGGCTGACTTGGGCTGGCTGCCTGGGAAAGGGGACAGCATTCTTCCCGCTTAACAAGCCAAGAGCCCTGCAAGCCCACTCGGTGAACTAGAACCGAACATAAGTACAAAGCAACAGAATGAACGTACCAAAAAAGGTGCCGGATTTGGAGGCTGGGCCGGGGGGGGGGGGGGGGGATTCTCATGGGGGAGATTTCTTGAGAGGTGTCCCGAAAGCCGCGGTGTCTCGTGCCTCTCGGGCTCCAGGCCAGGACCCCGCAAAGCCTGAACAGAGCCCCACACCGCTGAAGGCAGGAATGAGGGATGTGTCCTACCATGGGGATCTAACGACTTCTCGCGGCTCCAATTCCAGTTTGTGTCATTCTTCGGACGCTTGACTGGGGCTGGTATATGCTCAGACCATCCATCCTTCGTCCGCAAGTAGGTCCACAACAGCCCATCCAATCCTATCCCTTGCTTCGTCCCTGAGTCTTAAGGCCTCGGTGTTGGAAACACACGACTTCTGGCGCACCTAGCTGCGCATGTTAGAGACCCATATCCACCACCATTGCAGATTCACTCAACAACCAAAAAGAACCGCCAACCTTAGTTCAAGCCCTTTAAACCTCAATTGGCCCGAAATAGGGTTCACGAGCCTCCATGAGCGGCGTGTAAGTGAAGAGGCCCTTACCTTCAGATCCGGAAGAGGGTGCACAGTGGCTTGAGGGGTTCAAGGGGGGTAGGAGTTCGGTTTTAAGGGTTCGGAGGGCTTAGGGTTTAGGAGTGGCACAGGTTTCCCGTCTAGGTTTGCCAGGAAGTTGACGAGGCGGCCATGTTCCGAAACATGTGCCCCAAAGTCCCCGAAAACCCCCCAAAAAGAAACCTAAAGCCTGCCCAAACCCTGGATCCTCTCGCAATGTTATGTCGGGTATGGCTTCAGGGTGGAATCCCAGCGTTGCAGCTAGGAAGACGGAGTGCGCCCAGCTTACCATCGTTTTGGAAATCAAGGGGCTCAATCCGCTGAGGGTTTGGGGTGCTTGGGGTGTAGGCTTTATCCATCCTAGTCCTAGCCCTGCACCTTCCTTGCTCTGTGGGATCCTGTTCTGAGACCCTCAAGGTCCCAGGGTCCCGGGCCCCTTTTGGGCCCTTGTCCCTGCGGCCAATAGTATGCACTTTCTGAAAGAGGGTTTCCCAAGGGCGGCCTTGAAGACTCGAAAAAACACCGGCCAGTCCCCCCTTATGCGGCTCGGCTGCTGTAGGGCTCCACAAAGTCCATGAGGAAGAAGGCGGCGTCGCCATCTTCCTCACGAGTCTCTCTTGACGTCTCTTCTTTTGGGGGCTTTGAGGGCCCCCCATTTTAAGGGCCTCACACAGCCTTGCAAGTAACACCCCCAGCAGTCCGGCAGATCCAGCTCTTGAAGAAGTTCCCGCCTCAGAGGGCAGCCGGTAAGAAGATCTTAAAGGGCCCAGGAGGAATGACAGCAGTTGGTGATTCCGCAGCGTAGCGGAAGCAGCACATGTATGTTATGGCTTAGGCCTGAGTTCAAGCCAACAGCCAGCATTGTCTGAAAGCAACACAAGCTCTGAGAGCTCCACCAACATCCGACTGGCAGCACGAAGTCACCCTGCCCACTGCGAGAATACAGTGCCGACACGCACGGGAAAGTGGACTTCGTGGCAGCCGAACCTAGCCCCCGCACCAAAACCCTCCCCATGCTCTTTGCGTCTTCACGTGCGCGGAGTGCTCTGCTGCTCCGTAGGCCTTGTCATCCATAGACCTTTGTCAGGGACACACGTGCACACACTTAATGAACATCAGGTCAACCCCCCGTGGCACGGAGTGACGCGAAGAAGCCCACCAGAAAAGAAGGGTCAACACCAGACTCCGAATCTACAACTCAAGCTACGAGAAGTCACGGCTAAAGAATAGAGAAAAGACCGAAGGGCCATGCCCTGCGCAGCGGCAGCTATCGCAACACCCAAAGTTCGCAGGTTACTTCACCGAAGTCGAGTCTTGGCCCTGGGCTGCAGCACGCGGCATGCTGCCAGCAAGAAGTCCTGGCGAAGAAGCCGTTGAGATCAGATCGAACCGCGGTCATAGGGTTTATGCTTTTTACGGCAAAGCTTCGTGTGTTGGGTCAATCTTCTTGCCGCCACGACTCTCGACTAGTTATGCTGACGAGAGGTGCTATTTCGGTGAAGCCATGACCGGAAGCTAAAAGTCTCCTTTGACCGCCCGCCCTCCAATCTCTGGCAATGTCTGTTCAGACTTTCACAAATTTTGTCCATAGCTTTGGTGCATCGATTTCCCGGCGCCAAAGGGCTCACAAGCCTTGAAGTGCTAAAATGAAAGCAATGAAAGCACTCGGTACATGGAGGAGCCCCGGCCCCATCCCGGTCACCTTGGAGGGGATCCGGCCTCCTCCGCAGGAGTCATGGCAGCTGGCGACGAATTGTCACGGCGCTTGGCCGAAGCTCTTGTCCAGGCTAGGGCGGCTAGGGAAGCTCATGGAAGCTACTCTGTCTCTGCCGCCTGAAGCTCCTGGGAGAGGCGTGTCGTGCAGAGTCATACTTGACAGAGTCATGAGTCATGACGTTGGGCTGTGCTACCACTTCAAAAGTATGCAGCTTCTGAGGAGCAGGGTCGAAAGCATTAGGTCTGGTCGACAGGAGGCAAGCATGGAAACTCAGGGATTAGGGGTTCACTGGTCCGTGAAGTCGGAACTGCGTGCAGAGTACGTATGTCGCCTTAACACCTGCTAGCTCAACCTAGTACCGCGCCCCACGCTTTCCAGCTGCAAACAAACTGCATGCGTTCCGCCCCGTGGCATATATTGGTTTCCAATGCACAGCCTCGGAATGACTTTGTTCAGGAAGCTGTCACGGGCGTGTTTCTTAGTGTCGGGGGCTTCGGGGCTTGGGGACAAGGAATGCCAGAAAGGCTGGGACGTACCATGATGTACTCCCACATGCAATTGCCAACAGCTGGCAGCTTGCCGCTTGTGGGTCGGTACAGCTCTTTCCTCTGCCGAGTCAGCGTCGATGCAACTTTCTGGGTGTATGCCCATTCGGGTCTACACAGCGCCTTGAGGCACGGACCCTAGACCCAAATATCTCATTCGCCTTCGCCAGATTCTTCATTTCTAGTCACTGTACTTCTTAGGTGTTGAAGTGGATGGCTTCGCAAGTTTTCGCTGCCGTTTTGCCCTTGAAGGCCCATGCTGGGCATCGACTTCGAGTCGGCCCTAAACGAGGTCAGCCACCGGCGCTTCACTGATATAGGCCTGGCATGCCAATTTGTGGTGCGAATACTCTGTGCTGGTCTCGGTCTCAGCAGCCCCAAGCCTACACCCAAACGACTGACAGGGATTTATTAATGGAATAGACCCAGAACCTTGCGCAAAGCATAACATCCGAGACGAAGCCCAAGTCGCTGCTTGTACTCTCTTCTGGCCTCTTTTTTAAGGAATTAAGGAGCGCACAGCCGACACATGGCCAACCCCCCCAAAACTGCGGATCCTCCAGCTGCAGCCTCTGCCTGGCCAGGAGGAGGCCACATTGCAGAGGGTTAGGGTTAGGGTTGGAGGTTCAGGGTGGATGGTGCCGAGGTCATGACGCTGAAAGATAAGAATTTGCTTGGCTCTGAGCTGCTTGTGTTCCACGCGTGTGTCTGGCCCCTTCTGCCTCAGACCTTGCAAGCTGCTGTTGGCTGCACGCTTAGCCAGCCAATGCTTTCCAAACCTCCCAACACTGATAGTACACAGCCCACGTACACCCTTTCTAACCTCACGGAGCACTCCAGGCCCATTTACACGCAGCAACATCCGTGGTAACCCTGAATCAATGAAGCCATGAAGGCCCCTCGTGTTCTGGGGAGATCTTGGGGGGGGGATCCGTTTCAGGCAGGAAGTCCCAGCTCACAATGCAAAGTCACCTTCAACAGCTCCACGGACTCCCAAGTTGAATTGAAGGTCTTCTTAGTGCGAGCTCCTTGGGATTTATAGGGCTTCATTTTTCCAGCACCCCCTACCTGGGCATTGGAGCTTCAGGGTACTCGTATGCCTCCCTTTAGGAGGCGGCCGCAGGCAAAGAACTCCGCACATTCAGCGAAAGTATTATCGGACAAGATCAGTGTTGGTCAACGACCTCTTACAACATACGACAACACATCAGGCGATGTGAACTGAAATCTGTCAATGCAATCAAATCGTCCGATCTCGGCCCTAGTATAATTTCATGTCTATTGAGAAAATCGTGTCTGGCCCAGCGAGACGAGGCATTAAAAACTAAAGTGAGTTGGGCGTTCCTCGGTCAGCGGAACATCTTTGAACAGGACGCTTGGTGGTGCTTCCTTGCTTCCTTATGGACTCACATCTGCTCCACATCTGCTCTGAGTCCACAGCATGGAAATCCCCTTGAGAGACATGCACATACGGCCCTCTCGCTCGAAGTCCCCCGCATTAAGGACCCTGAACTGCGCCCTGCCCGTCCGCTGACCGAGTCACAGCTTGCCACCGGCATTTCACCTGAGCTCCTCCGCAGCCTGGGGGGGCTTTGCAGAGAGACGGCTTTTTTTAGCGGATCTGCCCAAAACCCCACCCACTTCCCTTGCCCACCTGCGGTCTTCCGGGGAGGATGTTCGTTAGCTTGCTGTCCCACCTGGGATGAGCAAGCCGCTTGAGTTCAGAGTTGGGGAAGACTGCACCTTTAAGACCTCGTGGACGAAAAGGGCTGCTGGACGAGTCTTGCGCCTCAACAGTGGCTGCAAAAAACGCACGGGGTGCCAGCTAATTTCTCGGGGGCTTTCGGGTTTAGGGCTTCCGGATCCCAATGATCCCCCCCAAGAAACATGGCCCCTGCAACTCCTGGGTGCCATCAGGACACGAAGACGGAGACCTGTCCTCAGCGCTGAGGCCTCCAGCGAAGCAGCACCACTCTAAGAAGACTTTAGGGTTTAAGTTTAGGGTTTAGGGCTTAGGGTTTCCCAACGCCCAACGCCTCAACCCTCCGACCACAACGACCAAACCCCGAACGGCAAAGTCCAACTGCTTAGCGCTGCCAGACTCCGGATCCCTCTTGCCCACAGAACACCCGGCCTACTCGAGTATGAGTCGATTCGTCCCAAGATGCTTCTTAGAGGCCCGAAACCCTAAACTTCCCAAGCGGGGAGAGCCTGGGGCGGTGGAGACGGAGCCGGTGCATCGGAGTAGAAGTTTGGGAGCACCCAGCTGCGACTGCCTCTCCCGAAGCACCCCCATGCGCTGTACATTGGGTAGGCGGTAGCTCGAGGAAGTCCCATTATCTCACACGTCAAAAACCAACCGTAGGCAACCAGTAGGGCAACGCACCGTGTGCTGAGCGCTTCTTGGGGGTCTCTTCGGTACTTTGGGAAGGTGCTTCAGTTTCACATCGGGGTTTAATAGTTGAGCTACAGGATCTCGATGGTCCCGTCGATATAGTCGAGCTGACAAGGTGCCCATTGAACCTCAGCTCAGTGCGACTCGGAAGATTCGCCAAAGACCCAAAGCAACCAATCAAGGCGCAACCAAAGGGTAACAAATAAGGCGCCTGCAGGCTCTGATGAAGGGGGCCGTTGTGGGGTGCAGGCAGGGCTTAGGGTTGAGGATTGAGAGAGGGTGCCCTGTTCTCATTTTGAACTCTGGCCTTTCATCCCTAACGGACTCCTCTTCAAAGCCCAAAGCCTCTTCACTCCTTGAAGCCTCCAAAAGCCGAACCTGCCAATTTTTACACAAGCCCTCCCACCCCCCGATCGTGGCAGGGCGCCGCAACCCCTGCGAAGCTGAAAAGGCTCGGTGCAGCTGTTGGGTCGGTCCGGCGGGCGGCCTGCAACAGGCTCTACTTAACCCCCCTCCTACCCCCCACCATGTAAGGGTTAGGGGTACTTCGGGTTTGGGGTTCAGGTTCTTCGGGGAGGCCGAGGGGGCTGCAGGAGTCTCCAGCCTTGGCTTTGCGATTTTGGGGGGATTCCGGGCGCGGTACAAGGTCCCCAGCGGGGAGCAGAGGCACGTTGAGAGGGGCTTTTGAAGGGTGCGCTCTGTGAGGCTCACAAGGCTTCTGTGAGCCTATGAAGAAACAACCAAGTGCCGGTCTCATTGCGTATTTGGCTCTGATCGCACACGACATGACATGTCATGACCCCTACTTCGGGGGACGGCAGCAGCTTAACCCCTAGAGGCCCTAGAGCCTACACTCGACACCAAAAGCAAAGGGGCCTCGAGCACTTCACGCAGGATCTCAGTTCCTGTATTCGGGAAAAGGGCCGCCAGAGGCATTCCTTGGCATTCCAAGCTGTTTCTGCTTTTGGCCCAGGCCGAATCCCCTGAGCCCTGATACTGTGACCTCGCCCCAACATAATGTGGACTATGCAAGTGTACTGCTAGTACGCTTCTAATTTTGGCTTTTGTTGATTTCGGGATCATTTACAGAGTTGAACAACCTTTTCTGTGACAGTACCAGCAATTGCGAGAGTATACAGGAGTACCTAGATCCTGCCCTTATACTGTAGGGCCCCTATGGCCATTAAATTCGCGACAGCCCTCCCATCAACATCGGATGTGGCTGTCAGCTTTTGGAGCATCCCCTTCTGGTAGCTCGAACCCCCTGCTGACACCTCTCCCCAGTCCAGAAACCAACCCAAGCCCGAAACACTCATTTAAAAAAAATGGTCCAAAGAGGAGTCTCAGTGTTGTCATTCTTGTTATCTGAGTCAGGGCCCTAAACCCTATAACCCTGAAACTCGAACACCCTCCAAACTACAACCTAATCTACCCTAATTCGAAAGCCAGGAGGCCGACCAAGCTGGCTGCAGGGATTGAGGCGCACTCCACAACCCAAGCTGTGAGGTCCAGCTGGAGGCAGATCACTCCTTGGGCTAAACTACGTGTGCTCGTCGTCTTCTTCTCGCATCTTCCTTTTGGGGGTTGAGGGCTTCGGAAAGTGTTTTGGGTTTGGGGGGGTGTTGAGGCTTTAGGGTCACGAGCAGATTCAGCATGCGGCCTGTACTGCAGTGATACTTCCTCTGTGGATGATATGTCGTTGATGGCTCAAGAAAACCATCTTTGTCTCACAAAGGCCAACCCAGTACCCAGACCCAACACTCACCGAGTCATTCACATTACTCATTGCACATAGCCACATGGCCACATCAAAGGATGAAAGTGAATCGCGAAACAACCCACCAAAGGGAGCTTGCTGTAGATTTCACATGACGCCCATTTAAGCAAGGGGTGCTCCAAACCCAGCCCAAAGATTTCTTTCAGAAACGGCCGGCCGAAAACAACAGGCTTGCAAGAGGTTTGGTGAGACGTGCTCCACAGCAGGTCCTCGGTTGGATGTTGACGTGCGATTTGAATGTTTGGGCGCTTCCAGGGTACGGGCTCAAAACGATCACACATCGACAGGTCAGTTGTTACAGGAGACTGATCGCCAAGATGTCAAACACTTGAACCCCCGCCCCCCTAAACCTTTAACCCCAAACCCCGAACCCGAAACCCTAAACCCTAAACCCGAAACCGCAACCGAACCTCTTCACTACTTCAGTGCACCTCAGGCTCTCTTAGGTTCTCCGTCTGCCAATTGCTCACAAACCTCCTTCGCAACTTCCGACGAGCAGGAGCTGACTTTACCTGAGATGAGACTGCCATGAAAAAGCATCTCTTCTGAGCAGCAGTAGCAGCAGTAGTAGCAGCAGTCGTAGCAGTAGGAGGAGGAGGAGGCTGCAACCGCTCGGTTACCCCGAGCCAGCCGTTAATTAAACGCCTGCACGACCTGTACACAGCACAATGGACGACCTCAAGCCGATCCAACTCTGACGCAGGCGTGGTGCTCGGACTCGTGTACGCGGAAGGCTGATCAAGCTGCCTCACGGCTCGCACGTCTGCTGGCCTTTGCGGGAGCTCCACATCAGAAATTAGCATCGGGCCCGAGCACTCCATTCAGGAACCAACCCAAGATGCATTCTGAGCTTTTGCTGCTTCACGCTGACCCTAATTACTCCGCTTCTGTGCAGAAGCGAAACAGGCGTGCCGATGCCCATCACATTGTAGCTCTATGCCAATGCGTTGCCTCTCTCTCTCTCTCCCTCTCTCTCTCCCTCTCTCTCCCTCTCTCTCTCCCTCTCGATCTCTCTCCGGCTCTCTCTCTCTCTCTCTCTATCTCTCTCTCTCTCTCTCTCTCTCTCGCTCTCTCTCTCTCTCTCTCTCTCTCTCTCTCTCTCTATCCTTCTCTCTCACATTCTCATGCAAATTGTATGCAACAGCAAAGCTTGCTTTGCGGCTCCTTCTGCTGATCCTACACGACTTCCATTCAATGTAATCCATTGCTGTCTGCAGTCTTACCATCGACACGCATTGAAGGACCGCAGAGACCCCTCCACCTGACACTGCTGCGGGCGCCTTGCCAAGGACTCTTGATCGGTGACATCCCGCAGACCCACCAGGTGGCATGTCTTGCCTCAGAGCGGCAACTCAGAGCTGGGGGGGAGTTGGGTTTTTGGCTACAGCAGGTCTTCCTTGCGGCTTCTTGCGGCACGCGATTCGCATCTTCAGAGGGGAGGTGACAACTGTTAGCGACTTGCTTTGATGGGAGACCTATGAATTGCGTTGGAAAGGCTCATCAGATTCGGTCCTGGGCCTCAGGGCTTTCCGGGGAACTCGGATCCTTCTTTTAAAGGATCTTCTATCGAGTTGATGAAGGCAAGGAGAGTCAACAAGGAGATGGGAGATAGGGCGGGCTCCGGACTCGAGCTGAGGAGCCGTCAGGCTTCTTGTACTTGACGTGAAAAGCTTCGCAGCTGAACTTGCTGGAGCAGCTGTCCACCTCAGATTTTCCCAGTGTCAAAGGAACCGTGAAACAGACTTGTCAATGGCACGCCTCACTTGACCCTAAGGCCCTAAACCCTAAAACCTAAACCCTGCACCCTAAAGCTCTGACCTCAATGGCACTTGCAGCCTGCCCTTGAACCATCGCTGCTCCGCCGCCAATCGGGTTCGAAATGCCTGCGCAGAAATGCTTCCAGACCTGGGAAACAAGGAGGAGGATGACAGCATGTGACGACCCTTGACAGCGCATCAGGTAGCAAGACATCCGAAACATGCCCGGAAAATCATCGGCGCGGCTCAGCTTACCGAACAGGCGAAAAAAATCAGCGCTGAATAGCTACAACAAAGCAGCCCAGCAGTTCACGGTTTCGCCACTCTTTTCTACAGCTTTTGGCGCATCTCCAGCCGCAACTAACTGAGTTCATAGCAGAAGATGCAAAGACTTGAATGTCAGCAGCTTTGCACAGACAAGGTGCGCATTTGCCGCCCTGGGCTGACGCAGCAGCTGGAGTGCTGCTCGCCTCTCTTCCTTGCTCTGGTAAACAGACTCACCCTACTTGGGGGGCTGGTCTAAGTCATGGGCGCTGTTTTGCCTCCAGTCTCGTATGCTCCTCAAAAGTCTAAAATCTATATTAGCCCCCTCTTCCATATTCACCCAAACGATCCTTCCTTATTTGGCGGGGGGGGGGGGGGCAGGGTGGTGGGATTTTGCATCAGGCTGGGATTTCTTCAAAAGCAACCTCCTTGCCATATGTGTTTGCCATTCTGGGCTCGAGGACCTTAAACCCCCGAACTCCCCAAACCCCCTAAACCCGCCCTAAGCCCTAAACCCTAAGCCCTAAACCCTAAACCCCAAACCCCAAACCCTAAACCCTAAACCCTAAACCCTAAACCCTAAACCCTAAACCCTAAAGCCCCTTAAGCCCGAAGTGAGCGGCCGGGTCAGCCAAGAAGTTCTCGAACTTGGTCCCAGCCAAGGAAAGACCGGGCCGATCTCTGAGCCTTCATCCAAGGGTTTAGGGTTTAGGGTTTAGGGTTTAGGGTTTAGGGTTTAGGGTTTAGGGTTTAGGGTTTAGGGTTTAGGGTTTAGGGTTTAGGGTTTAGGGAGGCTGGTCTTTGAAGCTCGAGAGTTTGCAGGGCTTTGGGGTTTGGGTTTGGGGTTTGGGGTTTAGGGATTAGGGATTAGGGTTTAGGATGGTTTTAGGTTTCGGGTTTAGGGTTTCAGGTTGGGGTTTGGGGGTTGGGGGTTGGGGTTTGGCTTTGGATAGGCTTTACAGGGTTTAGAGGGTTTGTACTTGGCATGGAGCAGGATGGCAGCCAACTCATCAGAGTGGTCTGTCATGCAGAGGGCCGCATCCAGCTCAATCACTGCGTCACAGGTCAGCTGCCTCAACTTGGCATAAACACTCCGAGAAGCACATGAGGCAGGCAGGTACACATCGTGGCGCTGCAAGCCCAGAAAAGTGCGACCTCCCCCCTCTCTTCAAGCTGCAGCAGCTCTCGTCTTGAACCCCCTTTGGCCTGGAAACCCTGTGCTCTAGAAACTGGACGCACAGCTACAGTGGCTGTTCTCTTGCATGTGGGGCTCGCAGCATGTGTTTACAGCCCCCTGAATCCCCGAAGTCGTGCAGCGGAAGCATGTGGTGAACAGCAGAGTGCCCGAAAGACTGTGGACCCGGTGCAAGAGAAGCTCCCACACCCGGGCTCGCACAGGAAGTGGAGGTTTACTCAAATAGGGGACCCCCAGTACAGATCCCCAGATAGTAGGATTCCCTTATAGAAAGGATCCCAAAAAAGTAACCCTAATTTCGAAAACCCCCCAAGCATTATGTCGAGAAGCAGGAGCGCCGTGGCCGCTTGGAAGTCGGTGGCAGTCTCGCTGAAGTTGATCTCCCTTTCCACCGCCTCTTACCCAGGAAGAGCCGAAACAAACCCTCGTCAAAGCAGCTCTTAGGGCTTTTGGGGCTTCTGGGTAGTTGTAAGGGAAAATGAAACGCTTGGCTAGATGCACAGGTCGTCGGCAGCTTTTTTCGGGGGAGAAGGGAAGGGGAGGGGAGAGGGGGAAAATCAACCCCCTGGTTGTTAGGGCCGTATACCCTTTAAGGGATTAAATAGGGCCCTCATTCCCTCATTCCCTTCTGAGAGCCAACGAAGTTGGTTCTTGCTCTCTGCGTCTGCCCTGGGCCTTCATGAGGGCGACCTGCAAGACGAAGGCCACTGCGAACGTGAAAAGGCCTTGGCAAGGATTTCACACGAGAAAAACGCCCCGAGGCTGGCAGTCAGATCTAACTGTCGCACAGGATGTGCTTTTTCTATATGCATATTCATATTTCTATACGTATACATGTTGTTCACGACCAACAGCACCTGCAAGCCCCTGTCTGTTTGCCATATGAGAACAGAAGAACACATGCTCAATGGCCGTCGAAACAATGGACGTCATACTGAGGGTGGATAGACGCGGATGAGCTTAGGTTAATGAGTGTTTCACATCGCCTTGCTTTTTGATGCTTTCTGATCTCGCCAGAAGGCCCTTCAAATTCTTCATTTGCGCAGGGCATTGGCTGATGGCTTGCTGAAACTGACGCTACATGTTTCCCATCATGAGGCCGCAAACAGCCTGATAAGCCGAATCGTGAAACACAATGGGGCTGGCATCACGTTGCACTGGCTTGTCTTCCTTCATTTTTCTGGATTGCATCGTGCGGGATGATCTACTTTTTCGCTTCACAGGCCGAAAAAAACAACAACAACACCACAGAGGTCAAACTGTGAAGAGTCAGGACCAAATGGTCACCACCCGCAGGGATGTGGCCAGTGCACACAACACACGAAGTTCTCAAGTTTGGCAAATAGGCCTCGTAGCCGCAGCCACGCCCAAAACCTATACAGACCTAAGCCGGCCTAAAACACTGAACCGAAAACTCTTCAGACCCCTGTAAACCCTAAACCCGCAAGCTTGCTCCTCAACTTCTGGCAGGGCTTAGGGTGATTGAAGGTTGGGGGTTCTTTTGTATATGGTACACCCTGAAAGACACTCAGCCCACACCCGCACACACACACACACACACACACACACACTTTGGCTTGGCATGAATTGATGCTGTGTCCAATCCTAACAATAGATTTTGTACCAGACAGGCCAGACACAAGGAATGGCCTGTGCAAACTTGATGAGATGATGCAAACATGAGGTAGGGTCCTGCCTCGCTGAGGAATGGTACAGCACGAAATGAAGTGGAGATGAAAATGAGGGTGAGGGCCCTGCCAGCTACTCTAGACAGAGTCCAGGCACAGACCAATGCAGGTACGTTTATGTGGGGTGTGGGGGGGAAGCTTCGGTGGGCAGAGCCACCCCCACACCCCGTCTGCCCCCCTGCACGGGAAAAGATGGAACTGCTTACATATCACCATGCACAGGTGTGTACACACACACCCCACCCCACCCGGCCACCTTGAACCCCAAACCTTCGTGCAACCCCTGAATCTCTACTCGACGCGCCCGAGGGGCTGATCATAAGTTCGAGCGCCGCCGATGGAAGCGGCGACACTGCCAACGTCACCTTGCTCTGAAAGTGCCCTCGCGAAAGACTCCTAAAAACCCACCGAGAAAGAAACACCGTAGAGCCGTTGTGATGATAAGCTCAGAGTCAAAGCGGATTCCAAACAGAAGCAGAGGCACGATTGAAAGTGCGACGTTGCCTCCCGTGGCTCAGAGAGGCTGCAAAGGGTCAGGTTGGGGGGTTTAAGTTCTAAGTACTTCAGGACACTAAGACCGGAGGGGGGAGCGTTGCACGAAGGCTGCTGTGGCCTTCGTTGTTTTTCTCTAAGTATGGCATAGGTCATAGGGCATAGGGGTTTTAGAGCTCTACAGCACTGAGACTTTCATGCGGGCTGAGTGGTGTCAGGATATGATGTTCTCAAACCTGGTGGTGGGGATGTCTGCAACACGACGCGGGCCCCAAACCCTAAACCCTCAACTCCACACTCTATCCCCGGAAGGTTCTAGGTTGTTTTAGGGTTTCAGGGTCCTTCTTGGGGGCGTTCGGCCAGGAATTCGCAGGCTCTTGTTTGCAGCACTTCTGTGCCATCGACCCGTTTTCAAGTCCTGGCCGAGGTGCACAAAACAATGAGCCAGAGGCGGCCTGTCAAACAAACGCCAGGGACCTCAGGGTCTGGTCAAGGACTCTTGGAATCTTCGGGTTTTTTGGGGGTTTTCTATGGTTTTTCTGGGTTTGGCGCTTTACGTCCTTACGTTTACTGATCCATTGCAATGCCTCTAGGCATGTGGGCAATACTTTGAGGCTTCCCCTTTCGACGGCGCACCCGGAAGAAGAAAGCAAAAATGAGAGGCGTCATGGCAGCTTCGTACACATCCGTATCAGCTGCAGATTCGCGGGAACGCATCTCATCCATTGCAGCATAGATCACCCCAATGCCCATGGCCATCCCTCCCAGATACAAGGCGAACGCAGTGACCGTGGAGAGGACACTGGGTCTTATGAAATGCACAGTTGAAGCTCCGAAAAAAGTCAAGGTGGCCCAGCGCTGCGCATCTGTCACCATGGTCTGACCGTGCCATGGGACCCAGATCGTCCAAGCAATGGCTGGGCCACTCACAAGCAGAAGTAAGTGCACGTAAATGTGGGCCGCGCGCAGTCGCAGTTCGGTAGCCTTTGTCTCCATCATATAGGACTTCTCTTCCAGGTCAAACCGGCTAGCGCAACATGCGCAACAATGCAGTTCAGTGATGGTCTTCTGAATCACCCTGCCCACTTGCCGCCAGTGCGTGAGCGCCAAGAAAAGACCTCGACCAAGGCATGCGACTTGCAAGAGCCCTACCAGTACCATGTAAGCACTGGCGGGCGCATCACCCCCGTGCATGTCCAAACTCAAGGCAACTAATCACGGGAGACCGCCCTGAGCCGAAAAGACCTGCAGAACACCCACTTCTGACAGAAGATTTCGCATGAGAAGAGTTTCCAGGTAAGGAAGCTACCGACCTGAAGATTGAAACTTTCCTAACACTTGCGGCCGACCCCCAAAACATCTAAGCCCCGAACAGGCAGGGCTCACAACCGAAACCCGCAAAGCTGCGGCGCCAGTGCCTTTCTCTTCTTGGACTTCTTCTCTTTCTCGTCACCCTCCTCTTCACAGACGGGGTCTCCAGACAGATTGCCAAAACACTGCAGATTCGGCAGATGAGCACATTGAGGTGATGCAGACTGCCTTCTGCAGACAGACTTACCTGGTTTAGGGTTTATTGTTTAGGGTGCTGGCATCTGTTGATCACATTCGGCCATGGAGAACGCCCACAGTGCCAGGCCTTCTCCCGAACCTGAGCATCCAAATGGACAAATCTGCAAGACTGATCACCTCCACTTAGCCTCTACAACTGTTCTCCGTTCGACCTTATAGGGCAACCTGATTTTAAAAATCTGTTACCTTAGGACCTTAGATACCTTAGCCTTCCTCATCCCTAACACCACGAAATCCTCAGAGCTTCAAAGTGTGTTGGGCATCCTGAGTGGCTGGCAGGTCGCGGCGGCTCCTCCAAAGCATTTGGAGAGCTCTCAGTTTCCCCCCCCCCTCTCAGACTCTCAGCCACTGCGCTCTGGTGCCAAAAGAGAAGAAGGCGCTTGAAAAGAGAGCGCACGATTAGTCCAGACAACCTGTGAGCCAACTTCATTGGGAAAGGGCGGGGGGGTGGCGGGTCGAAGGGGGGTGGGGCGGGTGGGTGGCGGGTCGAAGGGGGGTGGGGATAAGACCGTCATTGATACTTATCATTCATGTTGAATGCCTTTCGCGACCATGCCCAAAACACTGGTATTTACAGCATTGTCGCCTCTTTGTGCAACATACCGCGCAAGGATGTGGAACAAGACACGTTGTCACAAGCGTCCATGCCTTTCGCGGCCATGCCCAAAACACTTGCGGACTTCGCCTGTAAGGGTTGAGACCCCAGGTTAGCACACTCAATCTCAGAAACCGAAACACACTGTAACAAAGAGTGATCTGAATGCAATAGTTTCCTGGATGTCCAACTAACTACCGTGTTTTTCCTCCACTTCGCGCTATTCGTCCAAATCGCGCTAACGCCCAGGTATCGTGCCACTTTGCGTCTGGAAAGCAACGGGGCGCCCTTGCGCCCGAACCCGACGAGTTTTATCCGCAGAGGGCACAGGCTTGCACAGCCTAATGGGATCGTGGCTACATGATGGCAGCTCTTGTGACGGGCGTGCTGCGAATTGCCGCAGTCCTCATCATCATCCACAACCTCCACAGGCGCCACAGCGGCACCGGGAATCTGGCGGAGCATCACAGCACGGCAGGGTGAGGGAATCTGATTGGTGCTACAGAACAGGCATCACATGGCCTTCGGGGGTCTCCAGTACGTTATCATCCCTTCTGCTATAGGGTACAGAAAGGCACACAACACGTACCTAAAGGTAAGCCCTAAACCCTAAACCCTAAACCCTAAAACCTAATAAATTGACCCAAAAAAATCCTCCAAGCCCACCAAGCCTCGGCACCAGCCAGGTCTGATTGAACCTCTCAGCACTTCACGGGGTCTCATCTGTGTGGGTGTTGCGGGGCTGTGGGTTTTTCAGGGTTTGGGGTTTCGGGTTTAGATTTTAGGGTTTTAGGGGGTGTGGATTTTAGGGTTTGGGGTTTGGGGTTTAGGGTTTAGGATTTTAGGGGGCTTTGGGGGCGTTTGAAGGGGCTGCGAATTATGGGCAGGTCTGTGTGGCACTTCTCGCCAACGCCAAGCAGAGTCTATGTTATCTAGAGCTGCGTATAGGATCTATAAGGTTTAGGGAAATTCGGGCATCACCCGAAATAAACACCCGAAATAAACTGGACCCTGGCCTCCGCAGCCAAACGTTCTGCTTGCTGCCGCTGCAGCTTGGCCTATCGCAGACTCGGAGGGAGCGATTGCGGGTTTCGGGTACTTAGGAAGTGTCATGATTGCAACTGTTCGTCCTACTTTCTTCCTACGAAAGATTACAAATGATTCTGCTCTGTTATTGCTGCCTTGTCAAACCAGACAGCTCTCAACCGACTGTTCCAGGAGTTCCCTCACATGCGGGAGCTGCAACACCTGCCTGCTTGCGGTGCACACGCGCTTCGTGGCGCTGTCTTTTGAGCAGCTCGAGCTCGTTCTTGGCCTTTCGAAGCATCCGACCCTTGCGGAAGGGGCTCTGCTACCGGACCCTTAAAGAAAGTGGAGGAGTCATGTGCTGGCCTGCAGCAGATCTCCAGCAACTTTTGCCATGCTGGCCTGTAGCTTCTCGCTGTCCTGGGCTAAGCACAGAGACCGCGGAGCAAAGAGGGCTATGGGCCACCAGGCTCTCCACAGCACTGAGATGCACTTCATGTGAGTTCATGTGAGTTCCGTCCTGCGCGAGCTCCTTGCAGAACTCGACTGCTTCCTGAGGCGAAAGAGGTTGAAGAGATTTGACACAGCGGCACAGGGCGCCCATGGTTCCACGGTGTTTGCATGGGACCTCAGTGAGCTGAACATTGGTAGGGTTCAACCTCGATTCCATCCGCTGAACATTGCATGGCTCCTCACACTTCTTGTGGAGTTCCGCGTTCTTCCTGACCCAGGGCAGCCACAGCGGGAGAGAATCGGAACTGGGAGGAATGCTGAAGCAGAGCACTCATTTTTGCCAGGCACTTAATGGCTTGGTGGTGGAAGATGACCCCATCCAGAAACAAAACATCGCTCCCAAGACCTGCACATAGGGTTTAGGGTTGAGGGTTTAGGGTTTAGGGTTTAGGCTTGAATGATAACTGCTCAGTGTCCTCTGCTCGTTCTGCAAAGCCACGCGCAGGTCTGCCAATCGTTCCTGTTGCGGGACACTCAAGTTTCGACACCCTCGTGGTCGCTGCTGAGCCCACGAACCCCATTGTGGAATAAAATGGAATAAACTGGTGTCACTCCTATCTATCTGTCTATCTATCTGTCTGTCTGGTTCGTGTTCGGAAGCGGGTCTGCTGAACAGACCGCGGCTCAGGCTCAACCACCCGCATAGCTCACGAGCAGGTTTAAGGACTGTTCCGACCGGGGCAGTGGTTCAACAAGACACTGAAGCCCTAAGCCCTAAACAACTACCCCAAAAACAACATTTTGGCCCTGTACACCAAGACGATCTGATGATGTGAGTCTAAACCCTAAAACCCCAACCCTATAACCATCCATAAACCCAAGAGTCTTCGTTTGCATCTTTGTGGCCTCTCGCATGAGTTCCCCGAGCTCCCGATTCTCGCTCAGGAGGGCCTCATCAAAGGTGTCATTGTGGGGTTATAAGCTACTGGAAGCGCAAAGAGTGGGAGCCGCGAATGCCTTTGCTATCGCCGCCAGAAAGGCTCGTGCACTTCAATTACTGCATTACTCGGCCTCCTAGGTCCTAGGGTTCCTCGAGACATGCAAGACTTACCCCCGAGTTGTTCCGACGGACTCGGAAATGACACGTTCAGGGAGTACCCTGCCACGGCCTTGCACTTCTGCATCAGGGCCTGCAGGGCCAAACCCCCCACCAAAACAACTACACATAGCGGCAAACATCGCCAGTTCCTATGGTTCCTATGGGCTGAGAAGAAACACTCCTCGAAGTTCGTATGCCTTGCCCTCCGCGTTGCTTTGATCGAAGCGGTTGGCCTTCCATGTGCACCAGCTTAAGGGGAACCTTTCCATGAGCCGGATGCTCTGATAACAAGGGCAGTCATCATCGGATCAACGGGCAACACCTTGTGCCGGAGCCTCCACATCATCTTTCAGCTGGTTCAGACGATGCTCTTTGGCTCGTGCCTGCATGCTGCTTGCACATTGCTTGCGCACGCCGCTAACTCGCTCTCGGCCGAACTCAAAACCGAAGCCCAAGACAAAGCACTCCCAACCATGCCTGCTGCCGAAGCATGAGCACCTGCTCTCGTGCAGCTCATGCGCTGAGGCGTGGAGTTCAAGTATCAGGGGAGTGTTCTAAGATTCTAGTATCCTCCAACAGTTAGGACCGTGCTTTCCGTCAAGTTGCTCCCAAAGGGTTCGGAGAGCCATGCGGGCGCATGCAAGCAAAACCAGCATTCAGGACTCTGGAAAGCAACTGCGGCTGCTTTTGACTGAGCTGGGGTGGCTGTGAGTTGTTTCTTGCTGTTGAGGTTCACAGCTCGTATAATTGCAGCCTTGTTTGGGGCGCCAATGACCCTTTTGGGGGGTGTCACGTCATGTCCTTGCTTTTCGCTCCTGACAGCTTTCAGAAAACACCCTGACTGCACCCCGCTCGCCCTGGCCTCCATGTTGCAGGTGGCATCGGCCAGCGCACCTGGACAGCTGGTTCAGGGTTGAGGGATTAGTGTTCCCCAAACAATAAACCCTAAACCCTAAACCCTAAACCCTAGGAGGCGTGTTTGCCTAGGATGGTTGAGCCTCGCTTCGCAGCCAGGGATTGATCGCCGAAGGCGCCGAGAATCTCGCCGGCCAGGCCCCTGGCAGCATGAAAGAAAGCAACTGTCTCCATCTCCAAAAAGGCAAGGTTGAGGGTCTGGGGTTTAAGGTTTGGGGTTGAGGGTTGAGGGTTGAGACTTTAGGGTTTAGGGTTGAAGGTAAAACCCTAAACCCTGCCATACTGTCTCTCCAAGGTCCCGCCTGCTTGAGTGGTCGGCAGTCGCCAAGGGGTGACAATACTCAATTGGAAACAGACCGCGATGAAAAGCCGACAGCAACGCATTATAAGAATCCTCATCATCATAAAGGTCGTAAACTTGAGAGCAGGGCAGACGAGCTAGCAGAAGGCCAGCGCCCTATGTGAGCTGGTGTTGCACACATTTGAAGACAGCACATGGGCATCGCACAAAGTATATCTTATGCGAGCTTGTGCTGCACGCATCAAGACAGCACATGTGGGCAGCAAACAAAGTACATCCTAGGTGAGCTTGCGTTGTACGACTCCAAACAGCACATGTGCGAGAACAACCGTGCATCAACATCAAACAAAGTACTGGATCAAGAGGGGCACCCCCCCCCCCCCCCCCGGTCGCGCAACGTGCAAGACATCGCTTTGTGACGGACCTCCGCGGCGACACCTTCAATCTCCGATGTATCGGAGATTGAGGCCCTTGAGTGCTGTTTGTGCCAAATTGGAAAACAAGAACTCCCGCAAGCTCCGAAGGAGCTAGCTTTCCTGAATCCGAATGGTCATCCCAAAAACTAGTATTGAAAGCGTTCAGTCACAAAAGAGTCATCATCTTCACCCAAGAATCACACTCATGGGACCCGAGCCTCAGCTGGGTCATTTCGGCCTCCTGAAGGGGGGGTAGGGGGATGATGATCGCGAACTGGAACTAGGGCTTCATGTCATATGGTTTGAGGTTTAGGGAGTTTAGGGAGGTTAGGGAGTTTAGGGAGTTTAGGGAGTTTAGGGAGTTTAGGGAGTTTAGGGAGTTTAGGGAGTTTAGGGAGTTTAGGGAGTTTAGGGAGTTTAGGGAGTTTAGGGAGTTTAGGGAGTTTAGGGAGTTTAGGGAGTTTAGGTTTAGGGTTCACAGCTCAGAACTGGAACGGTTCCGAGTCCCTTGACAGTGTGGGTTCATTAGTGGGGTTGAGGGTTTGCAGGTACTCGGCCTGAAAGACGAGACTTTGAGGCAATGCTACAGGAAACTCAGCCACCGCCTGCGCCCAAGTAGCCAAAGTGAAAATTGAACGCATTGTTGAACCCCCCGGTCCTGGTTGACCAGAGCTGAAAGGTAGATGGTCTCGCGGGTTTTGTACTCCTTGCAGCTGACCAATTGATTGTCTGCCCTCCCCTCGCTCTCGGTGTCGGTCTCGCTCTCGATTCCGTCTCTCTTCAGACATCGGGATAATTATCTAGTGGGGATGCTCAGCCAGATGGACAACAACTTCAACACAAGAGATGATATACTGACTTCAACACCAGCCAGAACAAGGTACAGAAGCCAACCTCAGCCAACTCTCCATGCGTATGCGTCCGAAACCCAGAGCTCCCAACACTACTAAAAGCCCCAATCCTCAACCGGAAGGCCTGAAAGCCGACACCCTCCCAAAACGCCCAAAAGCCCCCTGAACTACATCCGTTACCCTGAACCCTTTTGACAACCCTAAACCCTAAACCCTAAACCCTAAGCCCTAAACCCTAAACCCTAAAAACCCGTCCCAGAACGCCCCTCACACCGAAATTGCAGCATCCGGCCTCCAGCTTCCTCTCGCCATCTGCAACCAGCGCCATGGCTGCAGAGGGCGGCTCCGAAGCCCCAGGCTGTCCCACCGAAGGTGGCCGAGGGTTTAGGGTTTAGGGTTTAGGGTTTAGGGTTTAGGGTTTAGGGTTTAGGGTTTAGGGTTTAGGGTTTAGGGGTTTAAGATTTGAGGGCTCAGGGCTTGAGGGCTGAGGGTTTAGGATGGGCTCGGTCTTTTTGAAAGGGGTTTGTGCAGGATAATCCCTGGCTTGGAGATCACTCCTTATAAAGCAGCCAGCCCGATGCGGTGCAGAGGCTTGTGAGATCCAGCGCAGCAAGCGATAGAAGAGCGGCTAAGGTTTGAGGTGTAGGACTCGGGGCTCAGGGCATACGACCTGTTGGGCACCATGCTGACTACTCCAAGGAAAAAGCTTTTGCAGAGCAATGTCGAAGTGGAGAACCGAAGGCGGCAGCCGGAGTGCGCCAGGACCAGCCAGCACAAAGACTCGCAAACGAAGCGAGGGACAACGGAACGAAACGGAACGAATGATTAACGGTGACTTCAGAATAGTCGATCCAAGTGCCAGCTGCCGGCAGTCTCCAACAGACCCAGCATCAAGCCGAACGGTGCAAAGAAAGTCCAACCAACAAGCCAACAATCGACACTCTCGAGCCGGATGGTTTTCTTTCGCGGGAGGACCCAAAGAAGCTGCAACTGCTGGCGCTAGTTACGCGTACCACCTCACAGGGAGTGTTGGCGTTCCGCACTTGAAGCCTCTGTTTCTGCCCTCACGCTCTGGGCGCTGGTGGCCCTGTCAGCGTCTGTGCCGCAGCGTCTCGACTCGAATAGCGAAGTCGCGGAGGAAATCCTGGGAGGTCGAGCACCTAGCGACCTAACGTGCAAAATTTTGCTGAGACGCTAAGGGTTCAGGTCGAAGTTGAAAAAGGCCTCAAAATTTGAGATTGGGGCATGTCTGCCTCCCCCTCTTCTTCCTTTTCTTCTTCTTCTTCTTCTCCTCATCCTTCTTCTTCTTCTGTCTCTCTGTGTCTTTGTCTCTCTCTCTTTCTTTCTTTCTTTCTAGGGGCTTGGGGCCGAAGCCCCCTGGATGCAGCTTGTGTTCCCCCCCTACCCCCCTGTTTCAAACCTGCCTCACTAAGTAGTCCCCCACACGCCCCGGCTGCTTCCTGGCCCCGCCCTGCTGTCGACTCTCCCTTCCAGCCGTTGTGAGACCATAGGCGCCTATCGGTCTTGGGTTGACCCTGCCCCTTTCCTTTTCCCGTCAATCGTAGGCCTGAACCTACCCCTGAAACTTCCCCCCCCACCATCAACCATGAGCAACCTTCCGAAAGCCTTCCCCTCCCCTCGATCCCTGAACTCGTTCTCCCTCGACCGCGGCTCTGTGAAACCTGTGGGTAGCGGGCACTTCATCTCTCTCTCTCTCTCTCTCTCTCTCTTGGAAATGCACAGTTCCTGCGATCCACGGTCCACCGCCCCTAAGCACTCGTGAGCCTTTGCCGCCCACACGCCGAAGGATTTTTCGGACCAAGGCTCGGGAACTTCTTGCCTGTTGAGCTCCAGGAAATCCTTGGGTTGCCAGCTCAATTAGGTTTCAGGGTTCAGGGTTTAGGGAAACCTCATGCGCCCACCTGCAGTAGCTCTGAAGTGGGCACTTGGGAGGAGCCGGCGACCGAACCCAAGAAACCCTGCCACGCACATGCTCCTGCCGTGAGCGCGCAGCGTGAAGCCTCAGCACGGCGCCTAGGCTGCAACCCCCAAACCCCAAGCCCCTGGAACCCCCCGAAAGCCCTTCTCAACTTCTCACGTCCGCCTTTCAAAACCCTTGGCAAAAGCTCTGAAGATCAAAGAACCCCTCGACCAAGGCTCCACGAGCTGGGTGGCCACCTTCTTGTCCTTGGGGCCCATGTAGGCCATGGCCAGACCAACCTGCGGGAAGTGAGGATGAAGGGGTCGCTCTTCTAGGCTTTAAGGGTGGTTCAACGAGCCTGGAGCCCCGACTGTCGACACCCTAAAACACAGCTGCCCAGCTTTGATTGGTGGGTGGCCAATGGTGCTTTATGGTGCTTTTATGCTTCTGTCGGCACTTCGTGATGCTGAGTTGGGGAACTGGGGAGCTGGGAGCTTCCAGCATTGACAGAACTGAGGGGTCTCGAGCGTTTGCAGGGGATGGGGCCTTATGTGCGACAATGGCCCGGAAACTGCTGCAAACCCAATGCCGCCAGACAGACGAATCTTAGACTTTCCACAACACACATCGCACTTTTTCGACAAGTGGCCTGGCCAATGCGCCCGGTTCTTCCCACTCCTTGGATGAGCGGCCGCCCCCCCCCCCCCCCCCCCCCACACACAATCTGTTGTAAGTGCTCCCTGCGTGATGGCATAATTTTACTGGCAGGGGTTGGACCAGTCATGCCAGCCACGCTGAAGAGGTTTAGGGTTCCACATCACCTGCCCAGGAGATTGCAAGGCCCCTCGTGTCGGACGCGCGGCGATGAGTGTAGACATCGATGTCCTCACTCCGTGGCAACAGCACAAGCATCAGACGCCTTTGAGTGGCAATGTGACATCCAAAGTGCTCCAGTGAACCAAGTAATGTGTAGAATTTCGAGAGCTGTTGCATGGCAAGCCCCTTTGCCGTCACTTCGCCGTGTCCTCAGGAAGGTTGAACTGAACCACCAGGGAAACGTCGGGAAAGTCAAGGCCGCGCGACCTCTTCGGACACTTCTTCATGACAAGTGTGGCGCATACAGCGAGCTCCTTGCGGGGGTGCAATTCATTTTGTGGGGACTGCTTGATATGCTGTGCAGGACATCGAAGAATACCACCGTTTGTAGACATTGTAGACTCTGAACGGGGGTCCCCGCGAATGTGAAAAATGAGGCTTGGGCGCGACGTTGGTGGCGACCAAGATGTCGAACTCACCTGCGACCATGTACTGACAGTGACATCGCAACTGTGAAATGACTGCTGAGACACACGCCACACACCCACAAACCCACACACCCACACACCCACACCCACGCACCCACCCACGCACGAGCATCCACTTCGCCCGCCTCGTCGGAATCCGTCAAAGACCTTCTCCCGGACTTCCTCGAATGTGCATAGCTCACACACCTCGCGGAAATCTACTCTTTTTCCTGGAGTCTGCAGGTTTTTTGAGCTGCCGTGCCACGGCACTACCGAGAACAAGAGCCTTCACATTGCAGAGCTGCACGGCAGATGAGGCGAGCTTGGTACGCTTCTCGCGGCCTAAGAGGCTTAAGGATCAGGGATTCTCACGGCACACGTGCAAAGATGTTGTATGGGCACCGCGGTTTTCCCAGCGTGTGAGTTGAGCAGGAGCTTTCAGAAACCCTTTCCGAAGGCAAAGACCAATTCTCCAGATGAATTGAAAGAGTACAAACTGAGCAACGAAGAACAGTTCAAGACGAAGCAGGTGTCCTGATCCAACTTGCCATGCAAGTGCCGGCAGGTCATGCCTGGAGATGACTTTACTGGTGCTTTACCAGTTGGGGAGTGAAGATGAGTGAAGATAGGGACGACTCCTACGCTTGTAGCTGAGCTCCTGAATAGGGCTCCATATAAAAGGACCCCCCTTGGGCCCGCAAAAAAAACTCACCCTGCTGTAGAAACCCAAATCTGCATTCAGCTGCTGCCACCTTCGCGCTGCAGCTGGTGCGCGAGATTGTCTGCAGTGATGCGCATGTTGGAGAAGATGACCACTCTGCCTTGACAGGCTGACTTACACTGGGCACTACGTCCTCTTGGGTGCAAAGTAGCCCTAAACCCCGTACGCAGTATGTGGGCCTCTAGGCATCGTTTTCCGTAGATCGTAGGGTGCCAAAATTCAGGGCCCTATGCACACTGCATATTTGATCTTCTTTGCTATCCCGAGAAGCTTGTCATTTGGGCTTGACACAACTGATCTACTTCGCACAACGCTTCTATTATAAACGTGTACTTGCGACAGCAACCTTATGCTTTTCGCTCTTCGTCAAGCTAAAGAGATGTTTGTAGACGGGTCTTGATGACGGATGGACACCTGCACAATGTGTTACGCATGCGCGCGCAGCAACATTTACTTCATTTCTGCAACGTATGGGCCAAATTTATGCGGCTGAAGACTGTACATGGTGTTGACGTCATCTTAGTTGTTTCGTATATTGCAACATGCCATATGTGGTGTTCCGCGACCACTCATCAGATAGGTACTAATGAAAGCAATGATACGTAAACTACGTTACCCAGTTGTCATTTTGAACGAGAAATATTAGAAAAGTAAGATACTTTTGCATTTCGACTATTTTGTCACGATGTTGCCGTTTTTGCGTCGAGGCATGTCCTGAACAAAGAAGCCGAAAGTCGAAATGCAAGACTCTGAGCATCTCAAGAGGCCCAGATGCCCTTGTTCCGATCCCAGTGCGCACGCAGATCCCGGATGAGCTCCTCAGAGGATGAAGGGAAAAGCCGAGAAATGTCTTCTTGGAAAGCCCCCACGCATGGAACGTCACTTTGTTCGGCCTTGCATGCAAGAACCCAAATCATGCTTATGATGAGACTGTCATGTCCCGAGTTTAAACGGACATTCACCTGCAACTTTGGCACCAACAAACAGCCACTAAACCCAACGCTGCAGTGGCTCGCCAATTCGCTGCTTGTCGTCGGGAGACCAGCGAATCACCTGGCGTCGCATGCCACAGTGCACGAAGCAGGTCTCAACAACTCACGATCCTAAGAAGCCCGAAGCCCTGAACCCATGGGTGGGCACAGGTTTGGCCAGGGAGGATTTGTAGCTCCTGTCAACCGCTCCGGTCGCCCCGAAGAAGCAAAACCAAAAGCCGCCATCTCCAACACTCAGGCCTGCTTGATGCTCTCGCACGAGCCACCCTTGTCCTTCAAACTCAGGTATTTTCTGTGCTGGTCTCTTGACAAGTTGTGATGGAAACTCTTGCGTTCCTCCGCTCCTACATGTTGGGTCTAGGGGGACATCCTTCAGGACTTCAGGTTTGCAGGGTGATCTTGAGGCTACGGGCTATTCCGCAATTCATCCGTACCCTTGTGCAGAAATATACGCAGACATCGGTACTTTTCTTGATGCCCATCCTCCGCATAGTGCCCGATGGTGAGGTGTCCCGTTCGCCTCGGGCAAGATCTGCCAACGCGTGCTCCAATCGTGAACACCACAGCTTCCAAACCAACAACCAGCCACCTTCACAGCACAGGTACCCACTGCACAGATGGAAAGCCTCCTTCAACGCCGAAGAAAAGAACAGCCAGGTTGGACTTCTTTGCCAAACCAAACAACGAAGGATGGGCGACAGAAGATCAAGCGAGCGGATGTCCGATGAGATGAAGGTTTCATCTGGATGCTAAACACCACAACATGTCAGACGAACGACGTGCTCAATCCTGACAGTGCCCAGAAAGGCAGCTAAGCTGCGACGCCCGTAGGATCTGCGGGCACATGTCTCGGATCTTCCTTGGGAGAGTGGAGAGATTCTACTCCTGAGCTCTTCCAACATGCGTGCAGAGCTGCGAGACATTGCGAGATGTAGATGCCGGTTTGCTGCAATACCCCCACAGACAGTGCGATCAAAGAAAAGGTGGGCGTCTGAGCCATGGAGAAGCTTCTGGCCGCAACCTTGCGGAACAGTCTAGCCCAACCCAAAACCACACCAACCACCCAAACCCGGATTTCCCTAAACGCCCCAAAAGACCTTTACACCCCTCAATCGACGACAAATTCCATCGAGCAGCTGTGGGATGGTCGCGCTAAACAGCAGCGTTTGCCTGCCAGAGCTCGGCGGGGGCATGTCCTCGATTCTGCGAAGCTCGGCTAAACAAGGAGGGGGCTGAAATGGGTTTGGGGGGTTCTGGGGAAAGTTTAGGGGGTTTGGGGTTTAGGATGTCGTGGGTGTCTTTGGGGACTACAGGGGGACAGCTATTGTGGAGTTTCGAGAGGCCCAGGTCGTTACCTCCTGGTTTCAGGGAACAAACTTATTCCGTTGCTGGCAGGCGGCCCGCCCCACAAGAATGTCGGCGCACATGATTTCCTGGCGACGTCTTCTACATTGCAACAGCTGCTGCATGACAACAGCTTGCCTGCAAAGACCGGATGAACAGGGCTGGAATGTGACGGCCTTGTCTTATTATACTGGTTCTTAGCAGGGATTTCAGGAAGTTTGCATAATATCGGGGCGGAGGACCCTGCGACAACACGTTCCATTCAGCCACGTAGCCAGGCGCTGCTCCAGCATCTGATCTGCCTCGTCCAAGATCACTGTCTGGACGTAGGCCAAGGACAGCCTCAAACCCTAAAACCTAAACCCTAAACGCGCACCCGAAACAGCATCCAGGGACATTGAGGACAGTGAGGCGCAGAGCGGGAAACTCTTCGAGACGTGCCGCGGGCGACCCGAGTTGGGATCCGAAACCCTGAGCCCTGCGCAAACCCTCAAGCCGAAATCTTCGGCAAGGCTCTTGGTCTCGTCCAGGAGTTGGATTAATCGGCCGGGCGTCCTTTACAATCAGCGGCAAAATTGAAGATGTGAATTGGGCATGTTGTGGCTCGCAGAGGCCTTTTGGGGTTCAGGTTCAGGGTTCCGGCTTGCCTTGCTAGATGGCCCCTTCAAACACAGCTCATTTTCCTAGACACGATCCTCGTAAACCTACTATGGTCAATCACGCCGCTAATTCAAAGCCCCCCATGAAAACATAAGTCATATGCGGGTCGACCTACTGGTATGGGCTCCCTATTTTCGTATTTTCAGGGTTCTCGTGTTGGGCGAGAGGAGAAAATGCCCTGTTCCGCCGGGCGTCGCGCAAATGATGTCGATCGGAGCCGCCTCGACTCGCCGCGCGGTTTCCTCGCAAAATGAGAGCGGGTTCAAGGGAAAGGCCTCGCAAGGCTTACTAACTTGCTATGAGCTGGCTCAGGGCCCCCCCCCCCCCCCCCCCCCCCGCCACATCCGAAAAACAAACATGGCAAGGCCCAACGCCAGACACAAGCCTAAACCTTCTGGAAGCCACCCCGCTCAACCCTTCAATGACCAGCCATCTTACCCTCAATCCAAACGTCGTCCTATGCTCTGAAGTAGAACCCCCGCACTGGCACCTTGATCGTCTCACCTCCATAGATGCTCATCCTTGGATGCACTCGCCTTTGGCTTGGACCCTCATATTCCGCCTCCCTGCCGAGTGCTTCCAAGTCTCTGAGACAGCTTCGTCCTTAAGGCGCGGGGGCGCGGGGGCCCTTCGGTTAGGAAATCTGTGTTGGTATTTGGGCAAAGCAGAAAGAGAGAAAGACAGAGAGAGGACAGGAGAGAGAGAGAGAGAGCGAGACAACGAGAGAGAGAGAGAGCGAGGGAGAGAGAGAGAGCCAGAGAGCCAGAGAGAGAGAGAGAGACAGAGAGGAGAGAGAGAGCGAGAGCGAGGCAACGCGAGAGAGAGAGAGAGAGTGAGATAGAAAGACAGAGAGAGCGAGAGAGCCAGACGGAGACGGGAAAGAGACAGAGAAAGAGGAGGAGAAGGAGAAAGAGAGAGGGAGGGAGGGCATAATTTGATTTCTGTAGGAAATATTCTAAACAGAAAAACCCATTGCAGCTGCATCAACTTTGAATGGTGTTCTACCACCATACACGTAGAAGACCTGCATTGAACGGCAATATGAGAGCTCAATATGTAATGAAAGATCTGTATCAACAAGGGTATGAATGGAGGGGAGGGAGGGGAGAGCCGGCTGGCAAGTAAACAGGTGCAGATTCGATCGAGGTTCCTGTTGAGAACTACTAGAATTGTCAACTGAACATATATCTCTAGCTGCAAAAAAAGTTGTCTATACGCCCAGGGCACCCTTTCGTCAGGACCTCCATCTCGGTGCAAGTTTGGATTGCCAGTTCGCGCGTGGGCGACAGCACCTGGCACCATTTAGAAGAGCCGAAGGCTTTCAAACTCAGACTATCAAAGGCTATAAGCACAAGAGGTAGTACATCACCAGTGTCGCACAAGCGCGGCCGGCATGCCATCACCACCGGGCACGCCTCGAAGTGAGGCTTTTGGGGGAGGGAGGGGGGGCGGGGGGGGGGGGGGCCTTGGGCGCATAGTGTTTCCCCTCTAAGCTGTCCCTCCACTCAGTTGTGCATGATAGGACCCCGACATCATGAGCAAATCCAAAGAGCAGTGCTACGAATGATCGGATCAGTAGCTGTAATCAGATGGCTGATATGACATACTTCTGAAGCAACCATAGTGGGTGTATTAACCGTGGTACTCGTGCCAAAAGGTATGTAGATAGAAGAATGAGCTACAATGGCGGCAACAGTCATACTGATACACCCAGGGTACTAAGAACAACGAACGACCATGTCCTTCATCTATCATCATCATTATCATCATCATCATCATCATCATCATCATCATCATCATCATCAAGAGCTTGCCCACAAACACCAGGGCCCCATTAGGCCCCAGTCGCCTGGGCCGTCGGTCCAGGAAAGAAGGGGCGTGCAGGGCAGCCGCGCAGAACAAGGCGGGCGATCCTGGGTGTGTTCGTAGGGGCTCGGGGGTGTTGGGTTTAGTTCTGCTTTGGGGGTACTGGGGGGGTACTGTAAGGCTCTCGACGCAAACAGCGCATGCTGAACCTTGTGTTGTCAGGCCCGCCATGGATGTTCTTGTGGTTGACTGCAACGACGGTTGCGGTAGCACGCAGAGCCACCAAGCGTCGTGGGAATCACGAAGGCGAAGGTCTTTCCGGAACCTGCGGGGCTGAAACTGGCATATGATCAGAAGTCTATGAAGGACTGTACGCAGCCTGGCCTCGGCACCTTGGCCTGGTATCTGAATCTGTGGAGAACGCAGAACAAACCCGAAGCCCTCCCCGCGCCTGTTTGCGCTTGTGCCACCTGAAGTGCTGCACATGAGCTCTTCATGCGCAAGTGCACTCAACCTTCGCCTCACAAAAAACGCAGAGGTTGGCTTTCCGATGCTTTGGGGGACGGCCTGCTGCGGCCGCCTCCTCTGGTGCTCTGGGGCTTTCGGGAAACTTCGGCCGCAATTTATCATGTGGTGGTCTAGCTATCATGGTTAAAGCTGCTGTCGTTCTCCTGCATGGGCAAGCGGAAAGTCCCATCTATTGCATGCACTCTTACTTCGGAAAGGAATGCCGACAGATCATCAAGTGACCATCGAGCTCAACGATCCTGGAAACCCTGAAGTCTTATCACATTGGCCCAAGCAACCAAATCCCAGTGATCTGCATGGCCGATGATGGGAATCGCGTGTCGTTGGATCCTTAGAGTTCATCATTGCAGATGACATGCATGCGACGTAAAAGGGCGCGGTTCAATCCTGAAAGCGCGTTGCCATCGACTCCGCATAACTGCTCTCTTCATTGTGGACATGTCAAGAAGATAATGGTAGCACACAGGGGCGCTGTAGCCATGGATGTCTGCAGCCAGGCAACAGAGTTGGCCGCTTGAGGCCAGCAGCATGCCTCAGCATGGGGACATTAGTCATGATTCCCTGGGGAGGAAGTTCTTGTGGGGGAGCCGGGGACAGTTGCCCCACGCAACTTGTCCGACGCCCCTTTGTTCAGCAATCGGGAAATTAGAATTTCGCGATCCTGTCCAAGAAATGGCGCTAGAGTTGGCTGTGAAGCTAAAAAACAGCGTACTCGACCCATCACTCTCCCGCATCTTGTTTTGGGCCCCACCTGCGGACAAACAAGGCTCGGGCCCAAGCGAAACTCTTTAGCCACGGCTTTGTCCACAAGTTGGCTGCACACTCAAAGGCACAAACCTAGCTTCACTGCATTCAGTTGACCTTGAATCCCGATCCTAACCCCTGCACCGTGACATGCATTTCGACCCCCGACGAAGACGAGCCTCACCCCAAGCCTGCAAGACTCGCGTAAACGCAGTGAGGATCTTGCTGCAACGGAACAGCGCGAGACTGAAGCTTAAAGGAGGAGGACGCCAGCTCTTGCAGAGGGCCAGGCGTTAGGGCTTTAGAGGTTGGGGGGTGCTTCAGCTTCATTAGCTGCTCTTGCCAGTCCCAGTCACAGCTTCTGCACCAAGGACGCATTCAGCAGCTTCCGATCAACTGCCTCACCTCGGTTGCATCTGGTATTGCCGTTCGTACTGCGCTTGCCAGTCTTTCTGCTATAACGACTACTTCTAGCTTGTTTTGAACGGCACTGTTCATGGCCGTGATTTGCTATGGTTGTGTACGCGTACACTATTTTTATGGTGGTTATTGTCCTATCACTATGTGCTTCTCGGTTGCCATGCTTACTCATGTTTACTGTTTCCGCCATTTTGGGGGGCCTCACGATGAGACCCAGCGGCCTCCGAAGGCGGGGCTTAGGGTTTAGGGCGTCGGGGTTCTAGGATCTTTTCAGATCTCTTTGTTGGGGTTGTGGGGCAATACACCCTAAACCCTCAGAATCCCTGGGGTGCAGCCAAAGTAGCGCCAGGAGCAGATCGCGGCCGGCAGGTCTGCGGGCTCCCGGTCCACGGGCAGGTCGTCGATGTTGGAAAGAGCTGCCTTTGAACCCTGAATGATTTAGGGTTCAGGGTTTGGGGCTTAGGGCTTAGGGCTCAGGGTTTAGTACGGGTTTAGGGCTTAGGTCTTAGAAGAACAATTTTGGGGGTCCGGTTACAATGCAGAGCCTTACAGCAACCAGTGAAGCAGGAAGCTGCGCTCACGGGACCCGGTGACCTTCGTGATGGAAAAAGAGAAGAGAACATGCAGAATGGAAGACTATGGGAGAGGCAAGAGAGGAAAAGCAGGACCCGAACAAACCATCACTTAACACAGCTGGCCCAGAATCTGGCCCTCAACTCTAAACCCTAAACTTTAAACCCCAAAACAGCGAAGGAACGCCCTAAACCCTCCACCCTCCACCCTAAACCCTAAACCCTGAACGGGAGAGCGCACAATAAACTCCAAGTGCCTCGTTGCCTCGCCGCTGATCCGCTCGCACCGTCCTGATTGGGTTTCCACAGAAGCCATTGGCTCAGGAGCGGATGGAAAAATAGAAGAAGGCATTAAAAATTAGTGATTTAAGGGTTTTGGGGCTTAGGTTTCAGGGTCTTGGTGATTTGAGGGCTTTGGGGATTTCAGGACCTTGGGATTTTAGGGAGTTAAGGGTTTTGGGCTTAGGTCGCATCCCGATCTGGGCTTCCGGATACGGCACGCGACGACAACCCGCAGAAGAGGAGACGACAGCAGCACAGTCATACCTTCCTCGACCCTAAACCCTGGTCCCCAAAACCCTAAACCCTCAAAGCTAAGCCCTACACCCTCGACTCTCTAAACCCTCAAACCGAGCAACCTCTAAACCTCCAACCAAAAGCCCTACACGCCCTAAACCCTAAACCCTAAACCCTAAACCCTGAACCCTAAACCCTAAACCCTAGATTACTTTCTGAGCCCGGCTCAGGATGTCGTTCTCATCCTCGCTGCTCGGCAACGTCTCCTGAGCTGCAGCCCCCAGAGCTGGCAGCGATTCCATGGGCGGCTTCCAGCAGTTCAGGGAGATGTGAAAAAAAAATCTTCCGAAGCCGTGCCGACTTTCGTTTCCAGAGCACAAGTCTAGGCACGGCGAGACTTAGCACTCGGCATAGACCGTGTTAAGTTCACTGACGCACGTGATGCCTTCTGCAATCCAAGGCTCCTCCTCTGGCTTTTCGAACTGCACCTCGACTGGCCTTGACTTCGTTGGACACTGAGGGCAAGAGCTTGGGAGGGAGGCAGAGCTTTCAAAGCCCTTGGGGGGGGGGGGGGGGGTGCGGTTTGGAAGGTTTCGGGGGAGGGGGGTTCCATCTTCAGGTGCCGGTCTCGGAGAGTGACAGCAGCTTTTCGGAGTTGTTGATAGGGGTCTTGAGGTCTCGTGTCCCCAGCATAAGCCCGTGGCAAAGCCGCGTCTTTCAGCAAGGCCTGCACCGCGGCGGAGGCAAGGCCTGGAGAGAAGCTTGGACTTCAGGGCTTCAGGGTCTGAGGGTTGAGGGGTTTGAGTCCTTGAGGGTTTGTGCCATGCCGCCTGTGGCTTGAAGAGCCTAAGCCCTGGAAGCCCTGGAAATACTCTAGCTCCTCCACACCCATCCCACTAGCATCATGGAAGAAGACTGCTCTAAACCCTAAAGCCTGCATCCCAGCTGAACCCTTTTTAGCTGCCTAAACTGCCGACGTGTTAAAGCCTACTGCACCCGAAGCCCTAAACCCGAAACACTAAACCACCGGCCTTGGCAATCCGTACTGGCGACCCGCTTGACAGTCCAGCCCGGCTCTACGCCGGCCTCAAGACACAACTGTGACAATTCGGATGTTTGGGGCCTGGGGGTTTAGGACTTCGGGGTGTGAGCCCTGTTCAAGAAACCCTAATTACTGTAAACGGTACTTGAACTTGATGCCAAGAAGGGATTGTGAGGAATGAGACAAAGAAAGAAAGGAAGAAAGGAAGGGAAGAAAGGATGGAAGGATGGAAGGGTGGAAGGGTGGAAGGATGGAAGGATGGAAGGATGGAAGGATGGAAGGATGGAAGGAAGGATGGAAGGATGGAAGGATGGAAGAAAGCAGACATCAGCTTTTGGGTCTTACAGGGTTTGGGCTTTAGGTTCTAGCGGCTTCCAGCGCTGTTTAGGGCTCAGCCAAGAAAGTCCAAGCCAAGTTTTCAGCGGGAGCACTGGACGGTTGCACTTGCCTGCGCAGCCGGCTTGTCTTCCGCGACCTTCTCGATCACATAGCCACTTTGGGCAGCCTCAGTCAGAACCCCAAATAAAGATAATAACCTGCATGAACCTCCAAGTAGGGTTCTTGGGTTCCCCCCCCACCCCTTTTGGAGCATCTGCTTGGGTTCGGCTTCCTGCAGTCTTCGGGCTGGGGCAACGCGGGGTGCTGGAATCCAATTCACGAGCTCCAAAACCTTAGAAAGGGCCCCCATGACTTAGAGGTCCCCCGTTTGAAGCCAAGGGCCTCCTTCGAGGGCGCCATGCCAAAGGGGCGTGTCGCCAGCGAGACGGTTACGACCTGGTGCACGGGAGAGGGCCCACATCCCACACCCTTTTGCTTCCCTGTTCTCGGACCCTCGGTGAAAGAACCCACTGAATGGAAGTGAAAGCTCACAATAGGGTCCCAATTGCAACTCAGAGCGCCCCCAGAGCAGGGCTCAACCTTAACAGAGGGAGGCCTCCTCCACCCTCCAATAAACCCTAAACCCTAAATAAACCCTCAGTAAGCCCTAAACCCTAAAAAAAAACCGAAATAAACCCTAAGCCTAAACCCCAAACACACCCTGACCCCCTAAACCCGAATGAGTGCGCGCACCTCACGCGGCTTGGGCGGCTTCGCTGGAGTCGGAGTAGGAGCTGCTTTCGGCGGCGACTCCTCTGAGGACAATCCCATATGTTGGGTCAAGAGGAGCTCAGAGTCTTAGGTTTTTGGGGTCAAAAAGGCGTAGGGTGTCAGGATGTAGGGAGGTGTTGGGGGTTGCTTTGGAACATGAAGGCGCTATCGAGTCGTGAGTCCTGCGGACGTCCATGTACTCGATTGTTCTTAGTTCTTTTTTCCTGATAGCAGAAGTGTAAGTTGTAGATGGCCTCAACACTCAACACCCAGCTGCTTGCCAGATGCCCCCAAAACCTGGCCCTTGCAGGCTTGAGCATGCCCAAAGAAGGCCTTGTCCGAGCTGCTGCACCTGGAGGACATGGGGGAGATGTTCTACATGGAGTCAACCTCTTCTTTTCCTTTTTTGTTAGGTGCCCCCCCACTCAAATTCCAACTCCACCTCCCCCTTCCACATGAGAAGGGAGCCCCCCCCCCCCCCCCCAACAAGGTCCGCCTCTGCCGGGATGGCTTGGAGTCATTCGGTCTCCTCTTTCCTTGGAACGCAAGGTACACACAGGTGCTTAAGGGCCCTGATGAATGGAACCCAAAATTCTGGAGAACAAGAGCATTGACAAAAGACTAGTCAGTGGTTCTAAGCTGCTGCCTCTTCGGAATCAAGCAATCGCCGGCTCCCCTGAACCCTTAGCCAACCTCACTGGGCAGTTTAGAAAAATTGCTGAGTTCATAAGCCGCAAAACATTGTACACTTTCAGTACCATAGGGGGGATTATAGTATCCCAGAAAGTGTCAAGTGTACCCATTCAGCTACTAAGTTAGGGCGTTTAGCGGCTTCGGAGACCTACACAAAATAGCCAGAAAAGCCTCAGTCAGCCGAAACGCGAAAAATTGAAAAAGGCGCCGAAAGACTCATCCGAGCCGCTGTCACTTCGGCTGCGGCTCCTCCGCCGGCGCTTCGGGCTGCGGTCCCGGGGCGCCATAGCCAAAGGCTTTGGTTTGCTAAGGGCCAGCCAAGGGCCCCAAGTTTCGAAAGCTTTGATAAGGATGCTCCATTTGGGGGCTGCGGGATGGTTCTTCGGGGTATCGGGCTTGGGCTCTTGATACCCAGACTTCCCAGTGGGACCCCCCTTCTTAGCGCCAACGTCATGTCGGTCTCCAGAGAGGGAGCGTGGAACGCCTCAAAACTTCATGAGCTCGAAGCTCGGCTTCTGAGTGAAGAGCTGCGCCTTGCTTTTGCCTCCTTACACGCTGAGATTAGATGACAGTCGAGAGAATTCTGCAACCCCCTTCACTTTGAGAGATTGTCGGAGGCTGAAGCATCGAGGCTGCAGCTGGCGGGCGGCCCGGGCTTGGTCCATTTGGTCTGAGGAGAGCACCACACATGTTTTTTTTTGGTAAAGTTGTGGGCCCTCTTTCTTGGTGTCCTCGAAAGTGCCTCGAAAGTGCCACAAGGAAGGCTGCAGAGCAAAAACTAAAACGTCCCCCCTTTTTCTGGCGACGGCGGAGCCTCAGCTTCGAATGCTCGATAACTGGGGAGGCCTTCAAGAAGGTGCAAGCAAAATAACCAACCGAACTGACCATTACTAACCATTATAGCAGCGATCAAAATAGCTATTAAAATACCCAAAAACACCCATTAAGATAACTATTGAGACAATTTTTAACACCAACTCCTTGAAGCGCCGAGCCACAGCCTCCACAGGCCGAGTCGAGCCGTATAGACCCTTAAGGTCGTGACTTCGAAGGTCCTGAGAACCCTGTCGGGAAATAGAAGAGCTGGAAAATTTCGCGCAAGCCTGCGAACACTTCTCCTGGCCGAAGCAAGAACAGCTCATTGCCGTGGTTGTTGCTCTACATGACAGCCCCCCCCCCCCCCCCCCGAACCGAACAGTTCTTGGGCTTTGGGCTTCTTTTGGGTTCAAGCATGGTTGTGCAAAACATGCTGCCGACCCCCAGACATCAGCGCAGGCCTACTTGCCAAGGGGCCCCCGACCCCAAAATGCAGCAGCTGCTCTTGCCGCGACAGGGTGAGCTCGGTCATTGAGGGGGGTTGCAAGAAGCTCTTGATCACAGTGCCAAAGAGTATCAAGCGGTAAAGAACACGAGAAAGCGATCATGTGCCAATATGCGATTTCAAGTACATGGGGAACAGTTTAAATGTCAGGAACAGGTTCTCACCAAAAGGAACCCGGCAACACCTTCTGCAAACCCAAGAAGTAGCTCATGTCCATGCCATGAACTGCTCTGCAACTCCCTATCCTCAGAAGCCAAGCGAAGATCAATGAAGATCAGAGGGCACGCCCCTCGGTTTGGTCGAGCTTTACCTCAGACCTGAGAATCCCACGCATACCTGCCGAGCCTTTCCGCACATCATAGCCTAAAGCCACAGTAGGTCTGAGACTCTGCTTGCCCAAGCTCCCCATGACAAGTAGATGCGTTCTTCAGCAGCATGCTGCCAGCTGCATGCTGCGATGTGTTGATCAGGCTGTCTGGGCTCGTGGTTCAACACACACAAGGGTGGTCCGGCTTGCAAAAAGTTACGCTAGGGTGATGTATGCATTTCTCTGCAAAGGCAAAGGACCACCGCGGGATTGCATCGCCAGGTTGAAGCGCTGCATCGGCAGTGCTCGCAACATGAGCAATTAGGGATTCAGCTACGCAGCCTGCATTGCGCTGCGGATACGGTATGACACGGTATTGAGCAACCAAGGCTTGGCTTAACACTTCATCTCCAGGCCAGTCGTTGTTGGGACTCCTGCCGAGACAGGGCGAGCCTCCGCGTTTAGCACTTCTAAGATGCCAAGGTCGCTAAAAACGCCCTGGTTCAGGTGTCATTGTTGGCAGTCTCGAGCTAAGGAGCAAGCAGAGCACGGGAAGGAACAAGCTCAAGCACATGCCCACTCCGAGATTGACCCCAAGCATCCCGCAATTAAGATTGGTCTTGCGCAGACTCAACTGCATTCGGCAAAGTAGGGTCACAGGGCCCTGGGACTGGGTTGGTGACGCGGTGCGGTTCGGGTTTGCGTGTCGAGCGATGAGGACTGGAGTTGAAGGGATTTTGGGGGCATGGGAGGCTCAGGAACATTGAGGGAACCCCCACTCGTGGGTCCTTGCGGCTTTGGTCCAGCAGCCACTTGAGAGACCAACCAGGCCTGGGGATCCCGGAGCTGCTGCGGGGGGGTTTGAAGTTCTAGGGTTTTTTTTAGGTCTTTGTTTCTTATGTTCCCCTTTTTGGGCTTCCGGGCTTTAGGGCGTAAAGTTTGGGAGTTTGCGGGTTGAAAGCCCCAAGGAATTGCTACCCTTCAACCCGAACGCTAACAGCCTGACCAAAGCTTCCGAGCTTTACAATCAGAGTCAGGTCGCTCGAAGTCGGGGGCATACGGCATTTTCCAGGTCCAGAAGACGGACTCCCAGCTGTTGCCCCTGAAGGCGGCCTCGGGTTAAAGCTGGAAGGACCATGGGCGCTTCTCGCTCGCACAGCTCGGCGCCGAAAACTTCAACCCTAAGGCCCTAAGCCCAAACTAAGCCCGGAGTTCGGGGCTTCTGGGAAGCTCTGCCCCTGTCCTCCGAGAACTTGCCTGACTTAAACTTGCCCTGCGGCCGGGGAAGCAGTGCAGGATCTGGCCCACTTCCCCTTCTCCACCCCCACGGGCACTGACAAGTGCGCCCGCATGCATGGTCTTTCAGGTGGGTGGGCGGGTGAACCCTGCCTTTGCTGCCCTGTGGACTTCTTGGCAGTTGCCCACATCTGCCCGCCCCACCCGAGCCTTGCTTAAGAAGCACACAAGCACAGGCAACAAGTGCACCGAAAGTTTTGCACAGCTCTCGCGTCGTTTTCGCAGCCCGTGCGGACTGGAACTCCGAGGAACTCCGAGGTGCGCTGCTTGGACCGCCGACGTGCACGTCCCGTGGCTTGGGCGGGCTGCCGAGGCGGCGCACGCAAGCGTTTGCAGAACCCTTTTTTCAGTTGTGCTGCGGAGGAGTGTGCCTCCGAGACTACATTCCAGCCAGCTTAAATCAGCCTCCATGTGCAGAACAGAGGCCAGCTGTGCAGCCAGCATGGCTCTCAGAAGCGGAGGCTCCTGCACATGAAGAAGACTTTGAGGCCAAGCATCTTTAAGGGTTGGGGCGTGATCAGTTTAGGGTTGAGGACCACAATGATACGCGCCTTGCAAGCAGCATTGGGGATGTCGGAGCTGCCAGATGAGAACTCACTCACCTGATCATTGGGAGGCCATGTTCCATGAGTCTTCAGCTCTGGCTTTACGCCAAGACCTCAATGAGCCCGTAACGCCCCCAGTCTCACGTTACAGAGAACCACGCATAGAACCCCCCATTCTAAGAGGCAAGTTTCGGCCACAAGCTCGTGCTGCTGAGCCCATCGGGTTTGCGAAGTCCTCGCCTTAGCAAAGGCATCACAGAAACCTCCGAACACCCCCCACACCCAAAGCTGAACGCCCTAACAAACCCTCGGAGTGGTTTGGACATCCAGAGGCGAATTTAAGCGACTCAGATGTACGTGTGTAGGTCTTCCACGGCGTGAGAAACTGCAGAGCTTTCGGAAGAGGAAAGCCTTACACGCCTGGATTGAATGCAAAAACCACTTGAGATCTTGGCGCCAAGTCCACGCAACAAAAACAGGGGGGCGC